GGGGGGGGCACATGACCATCACATGCACACAAACATGTGGTGGTGGTAATTCAATTAAACAAAGACAGGACAGGCTACTTCGAAAGCGGTTCATTTCGTTGGGGGGCTGCTAGTGGTGAGGGAGGGGGTGGAGGGGGGGGGGGCAACCATCCACAGCATCCATCCATCCATCCAGCCACTCTACTTATCATGCGCCGTGCCTGTATTGTTGGGTTGTTGGTGCTGTTGATTTGTTATGTTGCTGGTGGGTGACCGGGGGGGCAGGGGGTGGGGTGGCTGCTGGGTTGTTCGTACTATGCGTGTTGCAGCGTCGGCGTATGACCTGACACGGACATACTTACTTCAGAGGAGAGAGAGAAAGGGGAAGGAGACGGAGAGAGCGCCAGCGCCCCCCACCCACACATCACATCCCTACACTCTTGCACACCACGCCATCCCGTGCTTAAACTTTTTTCTTCAAGAGGAAGGAGAACGGACCATTACAGCGTCTGCGCAGGCAGAGACAGACACAGAATGAATCAGACACAGAGAGGCGGAGAGGCCGGCGGGTGGATAGGAAAGACAGACAGACAGATAGGTGCAGCGAATTAGCGATTTTTCCTCCCTGTGTTGGTAGGGCAGGCCAGCTGAGCTCAGCTGGTTGGTACTTCTTGGTTGGTTTGTTGTGGCGTGTGTGGTTCTCACGTCAATCAGTCAGTCGAGTCAGCCTCAGTGAGTGAGTGCATCGCTAGTCATCAGTCAATTAAGCCAGCCACGCCATGCTAGCTACATAACGACATCCAAGGGAGGGAGGCCGGATGGATGGATGGACGGATGGAGCAAAGGCTTCCATGCGCACAGCCCGCTCCTCTCGAATGCACTATATAATGACTATGTGCCTGCCTGCCTGCCTGCCTGCATACACACGTACCTCTATATGACGAGTGCCACCCAGCGCGCCCATCAATCAGTCCCCCGTCTGTCTGTCTGTCTGTCATGGTGTGTGTAGCTGTCTGTCTGTTGGTTTGTTCTGCTGCTTTGCGAACGGATGCCGGATGCCGGCAACCATGCACAATATGTCCAGCGCTGCATGTCCTGACTGCGTGCGCATGAGCCGACGTGCGCCTTGGCTGGTTGATGGCAATGATTGCGATTGCGCTCCTTCTGTGTCCGTGTCTGTCTGTCTGTCTGTCTACTGGACTGACTGCCCGTCCGTTTGTCGTCGTGGATTGCATCATGATGTCGTTGCTTGTGGGTGTGGGTGAGTGAGTTAGTGATGAGCAATTAAAGAGCCGCCTGCCTGCCTGCCTGCCTGCATGGTTCGTGCGTATCTCCTGCCTGCCTGCCTGCCTGCCTGCTGTGTGAGTGTGTCCATGGAAGCAAGCGGTGCAGAGAACGAGCAATGCACGCGGATGATTGGATGGATGGACACAGACAATTAAGAGCCTGAAAACGTCCCATTGCAAGTTTACTTACCCTACGATCAGTCGAAGCTGTGTTGCTGGTCAATCATGGCGTCCTCATCTAATGACGGTTCCGAGATCTCCGACGACGAGCACCAGCTGGGCCAGCAGCTTGGCGCCCTCAATGAGAGTGTGGTGTGTGGCGTGCTGGTCAAGACGGCCAACAAGGTGCGCACCGTCGGGTTTGCCATGTTCGACCGCGACGAGAAGCGCATCAAAGTCTGTGAGTTCAAGGACAACGAACACTTCTCCACACTCGAGGCCACACTCCTCCAGGTAAGAAAGATCTCGACGGCATGATCTGATCCATGCTGCGCTGTGTGTGTGGATTCGGATGGATGTGTGTGTGTGTTTGGATCACACACACGCACAGGTGCGGCCCGTGAGCTGTGCGTTTCTGGCGCCGGATGACCCCGTTGACGCCAAGAAGATCGACGAGCTGCTCAAGGCGTGTGAGATTGAGGCCGTACAGCGCAAGAAGGCCGAGTTCAAGGGTGAGGATGAACGGCGCAGCGCAGCAGACACGAAGCTGCACATGACACGTGGTGGATATGTGTGTGTGTGTGCGTGTGGTGCAGCGGCTGATTTGGAGCAGGACATCGAGCGTCTGTTGTGCGAGGACGACAGCATCAAGAACCACCTGGGTCAGCTGCAGCAGGCGGCGGGCATGGAGGCGCTGGCCGGCCTCCTGGGCTACTACCAGCTCATGGCCGACCACACGAACTTCCACCAGTGCGCCCTACACACATACGACACCATGCAGTTCATGCGAGTCGACAAGGCCGCCGCAAACGCCCTGCAGATACTGCCCAAACCCAAAGAGAGTAAGAGGACGGCAGAGCGAGAGAGATATATGGTGGGGACAGACCACACTCTGTGCCCACGCGTGTGTGTGTGGTGTGGTTTTCTGCAGCTGCGCGGAGTCCGACGTCGCTGTATGGTTTCCTCAACAAGTGCCGCACGTCGCTGGGCAGCCGTCGGCTCAACACCTGGGTGGCGCAGCCGCTGCTCGACGTCAAGGAGATACAGATGCGGCTCGACGTAGTGGAGATCTTCAAAGAGGTCGGTCGGGGATGAAGTGCGCACCGCACCCCTCACACAACAAGTGAAGTGGCCTGGCCTGTGTTCCTTCGTTGTGTGTGTTGGGGGAAGGAGGATGCCCGAGACTTACTCCTTCTCTCTCTTTTTTGGCTGCCCCCCCGCTGTGTGTGTGTAGGATGCCGAGTTGCGTCAGTCGCTCCACTCGGAGTATCTGCGGAAGGTGCATGACCTTGACAAGACCACGGCGAGGTTCCACCGCATCTCGGCCCTCGACGAGCAGCAGCCGCCGCCGGCCAAGGGCAAACTCAAGGCCAAGCTGGACGACCTCGTCAAAACATACGATGCCGTCATACACATGAGGGTCAGTTAGTGGGGTGGGATGGCTCATACCGACACACACATCTGTGTGTGTGTCTGTCTGTCTGTGGCTGGCGCGTAGGGTGCCGGTCATGTGTTGAAGGAGTACGTGTCTTCACCTGCTGCCGCTGGAGGGAGCGCCAGTGCCGCTGGTGGTGGTGGTGGTGGTGGGGGTAACCGTGAGAGTTTGCGCGAGTACATTGTGAAGCCCCTCAAGCAGGCCCTCGAGGGCTTTGAGAACTTCCTGCAGCTAGTCGAACACACCGTAGACCTAGACGTGAGCACACCACGCCCCGCCCTGCCCCGCCCACACACTGATGGCTCATCCACTCGTGAGTGTGTCCATGTGTGTGTGTGTGTGTGTCCATCGCATCGATCAGGAGTATCAGCGGAGCCAGAGGTGCATCCTCCACCGCACCTTCGACCAGCGCTTCACGCAGCTGGCCAAGGAGAAGGACGACATAGCACAGGCCATAGAGGACCACAGACGACGGGTACACACAGATCCCTCCACCCCATTGAGAGAGAGAGAGAGAGAGAGAGAGGCTGGCTCCAGGAGCTCACCACCACAACTCTCTCTCCCTGTGTGTGTGTGTGTGTGTTGCGGTGTCAGGTAGAGAGTGATTTGGGTTTGGATCGTGGCAATCGCAAGAGCGGCAAGGGCAGCGACGAGCTCGTCACCATCAAGGACGACGGCCAGCACGGCAAAGTCTTCAGAGTCACCAAGAAAGACCAAAAGACAGTAGAGGTATCTCAACACACAGCACAGACCACACAGTACACACGAGAGCCTGCGTCTGTCTGTGTCTGTGTCTGTGTGTGTCAGGGGTCCAAGAAGGGCCGCTACCGCCAGGTGCGCATCAACAAGGGCGAGTACCTCTTCACCACATCCCAGCTGGCGGGCTACGTCAAGCAGCTGACGGAGAAGGAAACCGAGTACGAGGACCGACAGAAGAATGTTAGTGAGTAAACACACACGCGGAGAGAGAAGGACAGGCAAACAAGAGCGTCGCTGTCGTGGCATGCCATCCCTGGCTCTGTGTGTGTGTGTGTGTGTGTGTGTGCAGACTGTGTATCGGGCGGTGCGTGTGGGGTCGACCCACTGGCCGTGTTTGGAGCAGCTGGCTGACGTGGTGGCCAAGATCGACATACTCTCCACCTTTGCCCTCATAGCCAACAACCACAGATACAACAAACCGACCCTCGAACCTGACGGTCCGTCAACCGCACCATAATCCCCACACACACCCTCTCTCTCCGTGTGTGTGTGTGTTTAGGCAGTGTGGTGTGTCTGGAGGGGAGCCGTCACGCGCTGGTGGAGATTCAGCACCACACGAGCCACTTCATCCCCAACGATGTGCACATGGACCGCGACGCCTCCCGCCTCCACATCATCACCGGCCCCAACATGGGCGGCAAATCGACATACATACGACAGGCAGGCAGCCCTACACCCCCACACAGCCAAAGCCACAGCCACAGCCACAGCCACTTACATGCCTGTGTGTATGTGTGTGCAGGTGGCCTTGGTGTCGTTGATGGCGCAGATCGGCAGCTTCGTGCCCTGCAAGAGCGCCCGGCTGCCCATCTTCAACCAGATACAATGCCGCGTCGGCGCGTCCGACGTGCAGCTGCGGTAGGTGAACCAACACGCCACACGCCACCACACATCCGCACGTCTAAGATGGACCCATGTGTGTGTGTCAGTGGTATATCGACCTTCATGGCCGAGATGTCCGAGGCGAGTGCCATCCTCAAGACGGCCGACAAGAACAGCCTGGTGGTCATTGACGAACTCGGCAGGGGCACCTCGACCTTCGAGGCAAGTCGCGTCGCCAACGACGGCAGATCAGGCCACACAAGGAAGGGCACATAGGCAGCAAGGCAAGACAGACACGCCATTCATTGCCTTGCGTGTGGTTTGTTTGTGTGGCGTATGGTGTGCAGGGGTTTGGGTTGGCCTGGGGTATTGCCAAGGCGATTGCCGACGAGCTGGGCTGCTTCTGCCTCTTCGCCACACACTTCCACGAGATGGGCGCCCTCGCAGGTCTGTGGGCATCTCTCTCTCTCCCTGTGTGTATTTGTGTGTGTGTGCACTGAATGTCAGAGTGCCCCGGAGTAGTGAATCGCCACGTGACGGCCGCCATCGAGACTGGCCATGGCCGTAGGGACCTCAAGTTCCTCTACAACTTACAAGACGGATGCGCGGTCAGTCAGTGAGCCATTACCCCACCCACCTCATCAACTCAACTCAACTCCCTCCCTGTCGCCATGCAGGACCAATCGTACGGTGTGCACGTCGCCGAGATGGCCGGACTGCCCGCGGCGGTCATCGAGCAGGCCCGCCAGAAGAGCCAGGAGCTGGAAGCCGTCGAGAAGAGCCACCCGACAGGCAACAAGCGCAAGAGGGACGGCGATCAACTTGATGGGGCAGTGGCAGAGGACACCACCGACAGCACCGGCGGCAGCACTGGCGAGGCCATCAAGCGGCTGAAAGGGGTGCTGCGGGAGATCTTCCAGCCGCCCGACGCACAAGGTGCCTGGCGCAGGGAGGGAGGGAGGGAGGGAGGCCTTGAGTGGTGTTCCGTCACGTCACCCCAACAGGTGTGTGCCCGTCCTGTGTGTGTGCAGGTTTGCAGGAGCGTGCGGTTGCGTCGCAGGCGGGCCTGGCGGAGGCGGCAGCCGTCTTCTGAGGAGGGAATAGGGAATAGCAAGGAGCCAGACAGACAGGCGGCATCTAGTGTAATGTACATAAGTAAACACACACGCGTGAGCAGTTAACTCCTATCCGCCGTAGAATGGATGGCTCGTGAAGGAGTGAGGTGACTGAGTGTGGGGTAGATGAGGGTGTGTGTGTGTGTGTATGTGGGTCGGTGAGTGTGATTGAGTGCGGACCCCAAGACCCCTTTGAGGGCTTCTGCCCTTTGCGTGTTGGATGTTGCGTGTTGCCATCCGTTCCATATGCGCAGCCTCCTGCCTGCCACGGTCAAAAACGGGTCGGATAACCGGGTCACCTTCCAAAATGACCGCAAGACGATGAAGAACCTCTCTGTGAAAGAGCGGGCCGATGAAAGAGTGAGTGATTCCATGGAGAAATGCTGTGGGCCTGGAACACGGCCCAGGTGGCCTGTCCCAGTGCATCCCAGCCCGGGTGGGCCCGGAAAAGAAAAGAAAAAAGAAAGCAACCCGGCCGGCGGCGAGGATGAGGAGAGCGAGCAAAGCAAGACCTTGAGCGTCGCTTGAGCGTTGACTGGCGAATGAGTGATGAAATGCGACGAGCAATCGACAGATTGAGTGATGGAATGTCCAAAAACACACATGAATCAAGGCGAACTTAAAGATCGATTGAGGTGTGTGTGTCGACTGACTATCATATGGAACTGCAAATGGGCGAACATTCCACGGCACTCCTAGACACACACACACATACCGATCCATCCGTCCAGATAGCCCCTCCCTCCCTCCCTCCCTCCCAGGTCGATCGCCCGTCAGCCATCACTCAGCCATTAGAGCAAGTCAAGTGCCCCTGACCCCCAATCAGGCGCACAAACAAAACAACCGACGGACGAGCAAGAGCACGACAGCACACAGCCCCACCCTGCCCCCAGACAGACGTCCATGTTTGTGTTGTCAGTGGATGGATGGACTACGGCATGATATGGTCTGGTGCTGCGATCCGTGACCGTAATGGAGGATGATACTTACGTAGCAAAAATAGCTCCACACACATACACACACACATCAATAAGGAGCACTCAGCGATCGGTCAAGAAGAAGACTGCACGCACATGCACAACACAACACACACACACACACACAGTTATGTCAGATCCAATGCACTCCTAGTTATGTCAGATCCAATGCACTCCTCTCTCCGTTCCTCTCGATCTCGTGTTGGTTGGCGGCTTACGGTGTGTCCAGTGTGTCCGCCAAACTGCCCGGGCTGCTGTGATGAGAACGACTCACGGCCTGGTACTGGGGCTGGGCCTGCTGCTGTGCCGCAATACCGCCATACTGCAGCGCCTGCTGGTGTGGGGGCGCCTGTGCGTGGGGCGGCAGGGAGGGCTGCTGAGGCGGGCCCACCACGGTCGCACCACCAGCAGCCCCAGCAGCAGCACTCCCAGGTCCGCCGGCGGCCACCTGTGCGGCCCCCACATCGAGGAGGACCAACTGGAAGAGCTTCTTGATGTCTTGGCCCACGACCTCATGCTTGAATTCATCCTCCCACAACTTGCATCTGCAGACAGACAGATGTGTGTTGGTGTGCTGAATGGCATCGCTCTCTCGTCTGTCTCTCCGTGTGTGTGAGTGGGGTGTGTGGCGTGCCGTACCTTGGGTTTCTGATGAGTTCGATGAAGGTGATGAGGAGGCCCCAGGGATGCGGGCGGTCCACTGCCAAACGATCCAACAACACCCTATCAACAAACACAAGGCACACACACACACACACAGAGAGAGAGAGAGACAGCCACGACGGAAGTTGGTTGGGTGCGTACGCTTCATACCCTTGATAGAAGGCTTTTGGAGAGGATGTCCTCCCACAAGGTCCGGTAGGCTGAAAGCGGACCGATCGCTCGAGATGCAAATTGAACATGATGCGTTGGTCGGTCGGTCGGGCGTGTGTACTCACCTTCCTTCTCTTGAGTTGCAGACCATTGATGCCAGTGGACTTTGATCACAACAGGCAGATTCGCTGATCGATCGCCGGTAGGAAACTCAAACAGGACACATGTATGTGTCACTGTCGTGTTTTCACCTACTGGCTGTCGAGGGGGGGCTGCTGTCGGGAAAAGAGAGCATGTCTTGAGCACAAGCAGGGGAGGAGCATGTATCGCGTGTTCATTCCGTCCCTGCTTGTGCTCCTCCCGGCATACCTTTCGACACGTCAGCGAAGAAGGCGATTCCATGGCCGCCGGCTGAAAAGCTGCATCCGACCAACAGGCAGCAGAGCATTCAACACATCCCCCTTCCAAAAACGACGGGCCTCGGCCTACATCATCTTGTAGTCCATCGCATCGAGCGTGAACCGGCTGTGGTCGTCCACGAGGCTGAGAACGGTGGTTCTGTCCTTGCCTTCCGTGGTCGAAAACCTGTATGGCTCCACTTTATCCACCCCTAACGAGTGGTCAGGGCTGGAGTGGACCAAAGTCATGGAGAAAAGCCTCGTGGCTACCGTGGGCGTACACGTGCTCTATGGAGCAGACGCTGACAAGGGGGTCGCCGTTTGAGTCGTCGTCCATACTGTCCGACTCCACAGGCTGTAGCAAGGGCGTGGTGTCCGCCGTCGATGCTCTAATGGGCCACCTCGCGCAGAGAGCGACCAGGAGGGAAAGGAACTTCAGCTTCATCTTTACCCTCAGTACTGATCTGTAGAGACGTCACGTAGGCCCCCCGGCCCGCCCCCGCGCATGCATGATGCGGGCGTAAATTTAAACTTCGCCAGCCATCCACCACTTCGCCCGCCTGGGCGCATCGGGAGCCGCTGACGGCTGGCATGGCGGGTCAGAGAGAACCGACCGCGTCATAATGACGGCACGCAGCGTTGAGGTCGCTTTGCTGACGTCTGCTGAGAGTAGGCACTGCTAGAAAGACGAGGCGAAAGAAAGTCAGATATCCGCTGCTTTGCTGGCGGCAGGCTTCACTTCACTCAGGCAAGCTACAGGGAGGGGAGCGGATTGCGAGCAGTTTCACGGAATGAGCTTCATTCGACGAGAATTTCGCGTGTTCGCGAGACGGGAGACGTCTCTCTGAGAAAAAGCGCGATTTCATCCGTTTTCCCCCTCCTGTGGCCATCCTGCTCCTTCCTCTGCTCATCCTTTCTCTTTGGGCGGCTTCCGCAAACGGCTTTCTCTTTGGGGCGCCAATTCAAAATACGCCCACAGGTAGACCTACCGATGGTGGCCGCCGGCGTTTCCGAAGCTGCTGAGGAAGCCCCATGCTGCGTGTAGTGCGCACAGCGCACAGTCGCGCCCAAGAGCTGCACCTCTTGTGCCGTTCCCCGCAACAGCAAGAACAGCCGCTACAGCAGCAGCAGAGCATGGGAATCCTATCGCGCGGCGAGGGAGAGGGAGGGGGAGTTGATCGGGGCGAGGGACGAGGTCGAGGACGACGAAATCGGGGACCAGGAGCCCGCTGCTCTCCCACTGTCAAAGACCAGCGCCACTGCCACACTGCTCGAGGGGCGAGGAGGTGACAAAGAGGACGACTGGTGCGGTGATGTTGGCGATGAGGAGACCGCCATCCCCCCAACGAACACCATCGCCACCCACTGCACCAGCATGAGGCCCAGCAAGGCCGGCGACAGCAGCAGCAGCGGGGACGGATCAGGAGAGGAGACCCCTGTGATGCTGAAAGAGGTGCGAATACCTGCACACAAACACCCAACGCACGCTTACCCATTCGACGTCTGTATTGTCCTTTCTACATAGGTGATGGCCGCATCATCGCCAAAAGAGTCGACGCTAGACTCACCACCCCTGCCGTCGCTCCTACTCAACTGCCCCTCTCCCAACTGGTCAGCCATCGACGACATGGGCACACCCCCAGCCATGTTCGCATCCCCATTCACCGGCGCCTTCCCTCCCACCTCCCCATGCATGTATTCTCGCCCTTCGGCCCACGACCATGGGAGGTGCTTGCACCCAAGGGACCCCCCGTGCCTCTTGCCGTCATGCCGGGCGACACGGTCCCGCTCGGCCATGGGGTGGAGTCCGAGTGTGAGCGCCTGTTGCGGGGCGGGAGGGGGGGGTATATGGTGGCGGGGGGCATCTTCAGAGAGGGCGAGAGGCCCCAGCCTTCATGAAATGGGTAGCGACAGATCACCGGGATGCGGGGGAGTGTCGGGTGAGGGAGCTGTGTAGAGATCTTGAGTTTGAGGCGAGCCAGCTGCGCAAGGCCGAGGCGGCGGTGGGCATGATCCAGCAGCTCCATCACACCCGGCTCAACAGCACCCACCCATCGGCGGGCGGCACGCGCCTCGTCCCCCGGGTGCTGGCGGAGGCCGCTGACGTAGAGGCGCTGCGACCGGTGGTCAATGAGGACGGGGAGAGGGTGGTGGGCACTGGGCGATGCCTAGTCATGACCAAAGTGGGCGACGGTAAGTCTCTATCGGAGCACGCAGACAGACAGACACACAGACAGACAGACAACGGGCGACATACACACACAGATTCGTGAATGAATGTACCTTGTCTGCGCCTCAGGTCTGTCGCTCAAAAAGTTTGCCGAGGGCCGCAACGCCGTTCCCCCGTTCCTCAAACCCACAGCCGCCGTCAACACCAGCCGCGCCATCCTCGCCCTCCACAACGCCGAGATCACCCACAATGACCCGCATGCGGAGAACTTTTTGATGGCCGACGAGACGACGGGTGAGGTGGGCGTCATCGACTTCGAGACGTCACGCGACATGCGGCAGGCGAGCCCCCCGCCACTCGACAACCGCATCCGCCCCCCGGCCACGACGGTCGGCAACATGCAGGCCGTGTTGAAGGAGCGCGCCATGCGGGATGAGGAGGTCGGCTACCACGCCGACCTGGTGGCCGTGGCCAGCTCCCTGCTGCCGCTGTGCTGCGACAACTCGGTCCTGTCGGCGGTGGTGTGGATGGACGCCCGGGACCTGGTGAAGGGGGTTCTGACCAAGTGCGAGGATGGGCGGCTGAGCAGCATGGAGGAGGTGACGGCGGCGTACCCGGAGGCCATCAAGGAGGCCTACACCAAGGCCGTCAAGACCATCGGCCAGGACGAACGCCTCACCCCGGCCACCCACGCCATCTCCCTCAAGACGGCAGGCCTCTTCCGCGACGTCTGCATCGGCCATGCCGAGGGGCTGGCACCTGAGGTGCTGCGGGCGAAGATGGCCACCTACTGCGACGAAGTGACGGCGGGTGAGAGAACACTTGTGGTGTGGGTGCATCCGTGTGGCCATCTCGCTATCGCTCTCTCCGTGTGTGTGTGTGTGTGCAGACATGGTGAAGATTGCACGTCAAGAAACCACAGCTATGTAGCGGGGTGTGTCGCCCTCCACGCCACGCCACGCCGACTCCCCTCTTCCACCGTGCGTCGCGCCAGAAGCAGGTCACCGACCCCGACTTTGCCATGCCCGCCGCAACACGATCGGTGGCCCTCCCACTCCAGCAGCAGCAGCAGCAGCAGCAGCTCGGTGAGGGCGACGCTGTCCATCTCAGGGGCACCATGGACCTGCGTGGCAGGTGTGCCATGTAATGTCATGCTGTGCTGGTGACTTCTTGATCATGTGAGTTGACGGGACGCACGTCAGTCCGCCACTGTAACGATCGTTGCCTACATTTTATATCTGTTGGTTCCGTCTATCCATTTCTCTCGCTTTTGCGCGGTGTGTGATGGGGGCAACGGAGACACACACATATGCTGATCAACTCTAGTCAAAGGTGTGGTCCTACTACAGTACTCGCCCACCCACCCACCCACCCATCAATGTAGGCACAAACTCAAGAATGCGGGATCCAACAACGCACACCAATGTGTGTGTGAGCTGCGCCTGCTGTGAGACGTGGCATAATACCAACCCACCCCGCCTCACCCATCCATCCATCACAGTGAAGTGTGTGTCTCTCAGGAGGCGGATGGAGCGTCATCAGCGTCAGAGGTAGCTCACACACACACGCTCAACCTTCGGTGTCTCTCTTTTTGTGTGTGTGTGTGTCAGCGAGCCTGATTTCGCCTCAGCAACTCGATCGAGTATGAGTGGATCGGCCGGAGTTCTGCCGCATCCAGGGTCGCGAGATGAACCCATTCGAGCTAGCCTATGTGATCAACTACCTCCAGCGGTCAACCTAGTGGCGCAAGCACATTCTCCCACATGTTACGTGGACGTCAATCATGTTGTGTTTCTGTTTAGAGTATATGCAAGACGGCTACAATAACTGCAAGAGAGGAGGCGGCGGCGAAAGTGTAAGAGCCAGTCAGGAAAGAGACATTCATGAGATGCTTTCCAGTGCGGCCTTTCTGTGTCTCCAGTGCGGCGCCACCAGCAGCAGTAGTTCCTGCTTCTGACCGACAGAAAAACCACAACGACGGAGAAGAAGGTACGTAACCACACCCACACACACGAAGCAGGGAGGGGTGCATCCATATGAATGTGGCGCTGTGTGTCTGTGTGTGTAAGTGTGTGTGTGTGTGTGAGTGATTTCGAGACGAGTGATGAACTGCCAGAGATGAACCAGCGTCGATGACAGTCACAGACTGACGAATCCATGACGACTTCCGTACTGGTGCACATGTCAAGTCAACACACACACATGACGTCTCCTCTATCGATCCTAATTAACTACGCACTCTCTCTTGATGACATCGCTATTCAGTCAGTGATCCAGAACTTCTTGTCTATCTATCTACACGCAAGTCAGGCAGGGCAATTAAGGCAGAAAGAAGTAACTGAGAGAGAGAGAGAGACACGGACAGATAAAGGGCTGACTGTAACGAATAAACCGGACGAGGATCATCTCATCTAAGCAGCCATTCACCCACCCACCCACCCACCCACCCATCAACCCACCCACCCACCCAACACACCCCACCCCACCCAACACACTGAACCGGTCCGCGCACAGCACACGCAACCAACACATATATACACATAGACAGTCAGACACACTCGCTCTCTCCGTCGTCGTCTCGCGCTGGTGAAGTCCTTATCAATCATCTCATCTCCCCCTCGGCTGGCCATGGCCGTGCTCAGGGAACACCCGCACCGTCTGCGTCATGCCCTCGGCGGCGAACAGGAAATCACCACCCTGGTCGAAAAACAGCGAATGCTGCGGCCGGCCAGGTGCAGTGTGAGGGTGGGACTGCTGGGAGATCGCCGGCGTCACTCTGGCGCGGGTGGGAGCGTGGGAGTCGTGTGCAGACGCTTCGGCGGGGGTCTGCATGCCGTGGGTGAGCAGGGGCTGCAGGTCGCTCTCGTCTGTTGCCGAACGACGATGGAGCCGCTTGTGTGGCTGATGCTGCTGTGGGTGGGCGGGCGGGATGCCAGGCAGAGGGCCGACGTGGTCCTCTGCAGTTGTGGCCGACGTGTACTCGTCGTGCGGTGTGGCGGGCTCGCTGGCACAGGCCTCCTCGTCGATGCAGGAATCGAAACAACCCTTGAGGCAGCACACGGTACCCACAAAGATGACGAAGCCCATCAGCTGCAGCGCCAAGATGCTCTCGACGGCCAGCTCTCCCGACAGCCGATGGATGAAGCGGCTCGCACTGCCCCTCTCACGCACACGCACCTCACGGACCTGAACCAGCCGAAGGACACAGACAGAGAGCATAGCCACACATGCGGTGTGCTGGCTGCACATATGGCCGTGGAGCATCCATCCCACCTGCATGAGTGCCTCCATTTCCCTCTGCTTCTCCGTTTGATGCCGCGTGCGCGCGAGCGGCTGGTGCACCAACGACACGGAGGGGGGAGAGCCGTGCTCCACCAGCACTGTCACGTAGTTCATGCCGCGGGCCAGCCTGCACACAGACAGACAGACACACACCCACAGAGAGAGACACACATGCAATGCGGCGATGGGTGGTTTTGGCAGTGGTGGCACGTACCAATCTGGTGGGATTTTCATCTCGTGTAGCTCTTGTAGCTCCTCGTGTTGCCGCTGCTGCTCGTCACTCTCATCATCAGGAGAGACGTCTTGACTGTTTTCGTAGGGCGAAGAAATGGCAGTTATCGACCCATGGTGGCCTGAACCAACACGCACACAGACACGGCAACAGAGACCTTTGTCCGCACTGAGCCCACTGGTATCGCCTCACTGACCGATAAGCCTGTCGCTGCACCAAACTTGCCCAACAAAGGTGCCGTTGACCCGCAGGAAGTACCGCCCGTTCATCACGTTCGGCGTGTGCGGCACGTGAAATGAGTAATGCGACCACACCATCGCCGACCCCTCACCGCCCCCTCCCCCTCGCCCCCCATGCAGCCCGGCAAAGTGCCACCAATCCGCGACCTTTCTGCCGTCCACACGCACCTTGCCCCCTCCCAGCCCTGTTCGGTGTATCCTGGGGGCCCTGCCGCTGCTGGTGTGATATGCGACCGGGGGCTCGATTGAGTGCACCACAGAGAGGAAAGCCAGGTGCCTTGTCGAAGCTGGGATGGCCACGGACAGCTGCACGAACGGCTCGTTCGTGCCGTTGGCCGTCCGCCGTTTGCGTATGGGTGCCGCGAGTGGGGGAGTGGTGAGGAGGAGGGAGGTGTTGGTGAAGATGTGCATGTGGGAGAACTGGTTGGTCAGGGGGAGGTCGATCTGCATGATCCGCGCCTTGGGGGAGAGCCACTGGCGGACAGGAAGATACGTCACGTACCTGGCCACCACACACACACACACACACACACACAGTCCCGTGTGTTTCATCCGCTTCACTGACTGACCATAGGTAGTCGGTCTTGCCCCTGGTGACGGCAATCTGGTCGATCATCCCTCCAGCCCGCAGGCCCGCCCTTCCCCCTCCCTCACAGCACTGCCCGTCCTCACACACACGCGGCACCTTCACACCGATCGTCCGCACATCGCCGGGAGGTATCACCTGCTCTGGCAGTAAGTGTGTGGGTGCCAGTGCGTCTTGATAGGGGGAGGGGAGGATGGCTGGCGGTGAGGAGGGGAGGGGGTCTGTGGTGGCGTAGAGGGCGGTGGGGTCGCTGTTCTTGACCAGCAGGCAAGACCTGATGGCGGACGGCACACAGCAGAGTGCCGCGCTCTCCGCGTGGACTTGTGGGTTGGTTCTTACCAGGGGAGGATTGAGTATCGACATTTCCTCCACCACACCCGGACGGGTGACGTAGCATGGTGGTTGCACAACACGCCATGCGTGTCGCCCCACTCCCACCCAATGCCATACCCCCGACCGCCATAGAGCACCCTGCCCCTCACAGACGCATGTGCGCCTCCCTTGCGAGTGGTGCCGTTGTTGCTGGCCTCAAGATGCTGCTGCTGGAGGTGTCTGGCGATCGACGGCATGTACTTGGATATAAGGGTCGGTGGAGGGGGGAGAGAGTCAAGAAGGATCCACTCGAGTGTGTAGTGGAGGTAGGCCGCGTGTGAATACGCCTCCGTGGGCTCGGTGTACTCGTCGACAAGTCTGAAACGATGCGAGATGTCCGCTTGCCAGAGGCAGGCAGCCGTGGTGTGGGTGTGTGTGTCGTTACGTGTGTGTGTCGTATATCACTGCAGCGCCTCCCCTGGCGACAAAGCGCATCGACGCGAAGGCACGGTCCTCGCCAGAGTACTCCAAGCCATCTGCACACACCAAGAGCCGGTCCGGTTCCACATACGAGTGTTTCGTCTGTGCTCGCCTGTTTGCCTACCGTCTGTCGGCCACTGATCCAGCCACAGACAGGGCGTCCCCCGCTCTGAAAACAGACAGGCCATGTGCATCATCATCACACGAAAAGCTGCGTGCCGTGAATTCCTTTACTTATGCAGACGTCCTGCAGCCAGTCGCCTGTGACACCATGGTGACTCCCGGGGTAGGGTGCGCCCGGCCCGCCACAGTATCGTCCGACGCACGACGGCACGTAAGGCCCAAAGCGACTGACAAGACAAGGGCGGCCATGCAGCTCGTCGTCGCTGTTGTAGTACCTACCTTTTGTTTCCGAAGAGTGTCTTGGCGTGTCCGCTTCTCTCGCAGTGGAGGGGCCAGTCGAGCGCCCAGATGACACCCAGGTCCTTCCCATGACGGGCGGGCAGAGATGCCAGCCACTTGACGTAATCTCTGCACACACAAGCAGACAGACTCATTGAATGAGAACCGCTGTCTGCAATGCAATGGGCCGCTCTCACTCTCACTCACTCACCGTTTCGCTGTGGCGCATCCTCTGATATGGCTCAGCCGCATCATGACGATGGGCCCGCCGTGTTTGGCGCTGTCGTCCCTGACGATGGCCGTAAGCTCCCTTACCCACCGCTCCAGCCGATGAACCCACGGCAGACTAAACGAGTGGAAACGAAGCGCCGGCCGCACGTACTGCACCACACACACCGGAGCAGAGACAACAGGAGCAGAGACAACAGTGCTAATGTGATTGATGCACACAGATGGACTGAAGTAAGTGTGTCGTGGGCCGTGGCAGTCCAGTGCAGTGGGGTGTGGATGTCTAACAACTAACCTGTAGCCAGAGGGGCATGCCGCCGAAGGTTCTGTCTGATATGGGAGAGAAGTCAGGGCCGATATGCAGGATGACATACAGCGAGAAGGAGGCCGCCACGCGTAGGAAGTGGGCCAAGCGGGATGTGTGCAGCGTCTGGGTGCCATTCCACGGCTGGTGGTAGCCCCAGTACACACGAGTCTGACACGGACAGACAGACAGACAGACAGCTGTTCTTGATTTGATAAATAGACACGTACATGCACCTCTTTACCTGCACGACATTGCTCCCCATCCCCTTGGCGGCTTCAAGAGCCTTCTCCACCTCGCCCTCACTCACCCCGGCATACTCGACTGTCGCACCTATCAGCAGTGTCCGCACGCCGCCAATCGACACATAAGGCGACGCCGCGCTGACGTTCACCGCGTAGCCGCCACTGTGGCCGTCCGTGTGGTTCACACGCGCCTTGTACCGCACCAGTGTGGGCGACGGCCGTGAGCAGCCGGAGGGGGACGATGAATGTGCGGACCGCAACCCCGGTAGGTGCGGCCGGATGACCGGCTGCTGTGCTGCGACAAGGGTGACGAGCAGCAGGGCAAAGCCGGGGAGGGACAGCATGCTGCGCGAGCCCGGTGCTTCATTCATCATGCTATTCACAGTGGCGGGTCGGGTAGAAGAGACGACACGAGAGGCTATATCCGATCAAGCATCGTCCTTTCAACCATTCTGGCTTCCTTCCGTGCCAGATCTCATTCCCGCAGCAGCGGTTTCAGGGAGCGCCAGGTCCCATTTTAGCTCGCAGAGGAGGGAGAGAGGGGGAAGGAGAGAGAAGAGGAGAGAGTTCGATCCCGGCACTCGGCGATCACGTCAGCTCCGAGTGCCGGGTGGCTTTCATCTGAACAATTGAGGCCAGAGAGCAGGCACAAGTGTGTGCTCTGCCTGCTGCAGAACCATCGCTAAGTCGATGTCACTTATTGATTGAGGTGCGCATCGGTCAGAGAGAGCCAAGTTTCATGTATGTCGATATAGTATGTCTGTGTGAGATGTGTGTGTGAGTGCAGGGCGCGTGAGTGGCCACTCCATGACTGCCAGTGCACACGGCCAGCCACCACACGACTTCGTGCCACTCGAGGATGTCGAAATCCTCCACAGCTGCATGGATCCCGCCCCCAGCAATGCGACAAGGCGGCTGGCCGAGGGCATCATCTACAGAACCTTCACCCATCAGCAGCAAGTGACGGACCTCATACAACAGCATGGCGCTCGCGCAAACGCCTCAATCGAGCTGCCGATGCGGGGCTGCAGCGGTGGCTGGGCCTACTATCTCCTGTCGCTCACCATTGACAACCTCAGCGACAACACGATGCCGACCATCGCGGCAACTGATGAGGCGCACACGCCAGGAGCTATTCGCCAGCGGCCCGTGATCCTCCCCCGGTGGCCATCTCCTCAGCTGGAGGCGGCCATCATGAACGCGCTTATCGACAGCGGCGCCGACGTGAATGGGCCGGCTGGTGGCGAACAACTGCCAATCAGGATAGCAATCCGGGCGGGCAATGAGGGGGCCCTTAGCGTGCTCTTGGCGCGCAACGCTGCGGTGCGTTGGAATGACCATCGTCATCCCACCGTCATGGATCTTCCCCACACCGGCGAACATCTCGGCTACAAGGTGCCCCCCGCCTACGAGCAGCGGCTGCTTTCAGTCTACCGGCGGCTCATCCAACACGACCCCACACTCGCCACCGTGCAGGACCACATCGGCCGCAATCTGATCCACTCGGCAGCCCACGACGAGCGATGGAATTATTCGCAGGCCTTCATCGACTCATATTTGGACCTGCTGGTGGCCAATGGGGCGAATCCGATGGCGATGAGCACCAATGGATGGACGGCTCTTCACGATGCCGCCTACATATGGGAGAATGAACTCGATGATCCCTACGACAGCTCCCCCTGTGTGGTGGATTATGTGGGGCGCCACGTGCCTGCTGAATTCGTCAACAGAGAGATACACGGCGGTGAGACGGCGCTGTCTCTCGCCGCCGAACAGCTTGAATGGGCGATTGCGGTGCCGCAAGATGACGATGCAGACCAATACATCAGGGAGCGAGCCACTCGCAAGATACCCCTTCACGAGGCCACCATCCGCAATTTGCTGAGATGCGGGGCCGACATCAGCTTCTTAGCTAATCGGCCGCCGTCCCCCTACATCTACATCAGCTACTTGGCTAATCGGCCGCCACCCCGGGAGCTGGTGCTGCCCCAGTACACGGCGGTGCTCAACGAGGTGCCCGCTGCGGCGATGGCAGCCGTGAACGCGGCGCTGCGGCCGCAGCGGTCGTTGGCCGCCCTGCTGACGCACCTGCTGCCCCACGTGGCGCACAACGACGGCGAAGACCCCGCCCCCTCGCCCCTCTCATTCGGACCACACGAGTCGGCCGCCATCGGCTGGAAGATCGCCGCTTTCTGCCTCGACATGGAGGCCGCCCACGAGGCCATCACCCGCACACTCACCGTCCGCAACAGCGACTTCGCCCGCCGCGTATGTGGGGCCGTCGAACGCTTCGTCAAGTCGGCGCTGAGCGCGAGCGGCAACCAGGAGGTGGTGGGCGGCACGGCCAATGTGGACGGCGTGACGGTGCGCGTGCCGCTGCAGTGCTTCGCTGTCAATGGAGGGCAGCAGGGCGGCCATCGTATGGTGGGCGTGCGTGAGGTGGTGCACAGGGCGCGGCTGGACGAGGCGGCCCGACACGGCATCGAGGGGGCGTCCATCGCCAAGGGCTTCAACGAGCAGCTGGCGAATGCCGACTGCCAATTCCTGTGGCAGCAGCTGCGGCGCGTCGACGGGCGGGGACGATTCGTGACCCTCGACATCAACTGAGGAGGCTGGGGGGGATGGGGGGCATTTTTAGCTGCCGACTCATCGTGTGAGAGAGGCTGGCACAAGCCGATGCTATCAGAGGAAGCGAGACCTCAAAGAGAGAGGGAGGAACGCCTGTAGTCGGACGAGAAATGACGTCTGTCATCACTGTGTTCGCCTGGTCGGCCTAGCTGTGTGTGCGCGGATGCTCATTCATTGGATGTGACTCAACTCCACGTGTGAGACGTATGAGTGCTCGCGCTAAGAGGGTTTGACGGCCACACACAGGTTCGCGCATTGCTATGAGTCGACACTTCCTTCACACGCACCCACCCTGACGACGCCAAATACACGGGTGCCTCGACAATGTCCCTTTTGCAATGTGTGATTGATTATCTACAGTCTCTGCACAAGCAGCACGCCTCGCCCGGCGCGCCAACAGCTCAGCTCAGTCACTATGTACAAGCATGCACTGGCAGATCCTGACAGACTCCCTAGCTAGAGCTGATCTCCCTTACGAGCCGCTAGAACCGTCTCGCGCGATGCCAGCGACTGATTCAGGAACTTCTCTAAGAAGGCCTCCACCTGCACCCACACACGCAACGAACAGCATCTTGCTTGACTCATCAGCGGCCTGCAGTGGCCTGCCTGCCTGTGTGTGTGTGTTGCTGACCATTCATACCATGTCGTCCGAGAATGAGGTGAGTGTGGGGAATGCGACGACAAAGTCGTCCCGGTCGTTGAAGCAGTGGTGGGATGGGGTGTGTCGGCAGATGGCCCACGGGTAGGCGTTGATCCAACGCTGAGGCACAAGACGCACCTGCACAGCACACCACACACACACATCAGCCAGCCCCATGATGCGCATCCCGTCCGTCCATGTCATCATGTGGCCATACAAACCTGTGTGGGATACTCCAGCTCGTCCCATGAGGCGGGCCGCCATGGATTCCCCCCGTTGATCTTCGACAGGTCGTACATCTGCAGGCCGGCGCTGCCCGTGCTGCTGTCCTGCCGCAGGGGCAGCGGTAGGGGAGGTATTGGCGTCGTTGCCAAAGGGCGAATGAGGTGCCACAAGAGGGAGAACTGGTCTCTGACATTCAATTCACACAGACAGACACCATACACAGTGGTGGTGATGGTGAGCGGGGTGTGGGGTGGGTGCAGTGCGTGGTCTTGTCTGGTGACCTGACGTACCTGAGGTCGTGTCGCAGGAAAGGGTTGGACGGCCCATCTGGTCCGTATACCTCTCGCAGGAACTGCTTCGACCAGGGACTGTTGCGGACCAACCAGTTCCCTGCACACACACACACGGCCACCAATGGGATGGACGAGATGGCCTTTTTGCTTTGCCTGTCTGTCTGTCTGTCTCCGTGCAGGCTCTGCTCCCTCTCACCTCCCGCGAGCCCTCGCCCGTCCTCCGATATCAGCAGATGCACAGATGGATCCAGCCACGGCCAGCCATCTGACGTGTTGTTGTTGTTGTTGGCCCTCGGTGCGAGATCTTGGCACTGGTGCTTTGCACGGCACTGCCGTGCTGCCGCTGGTGTCGCTGGTGGTGGTGTGGCCGTCCCTACAGTGTGGTGGATGAGGAAGTCTATGGTGTGTGTCATGTTGGCGAACATCGAGTCGCAATCCATCCACAGCAACCAATCGTACGACTCCTGACACACACACACACACACAGAGAGAGAGAGAGAGATTGGCCCGCCGACAATATTTGGCTGTCTTGCTGTGTTACCGACCGTCTCCAGGTGGTGCAGGGTGAGTGCAATCGCCCCCCACACAGGATGCCTCTGAGCAGCCGGTGTGGTGGCGCTGCCGTGTGGTGACGCATGTGGCGGCCTCGATGTGTAGAAATGGTTGGCGTAGCCGTGGAGGGACGTGTAGCCCTCACGGTTGGCCCGGGAGGTGCGGGGAAGGGGCGAACCTATCCACACACACACACACACACAGAGAGAGAGAGAGAGATCCATGCGCTTTGTTGTGGGGGCCCTAGGCTGCCCTGTCTGTGTGTGTGTGTGTGTGTGTGTGTGGTCTGACTGACCTTCTGGGTATTCACACAGCGTCACCACGCCGATCCGCAAAGAGCCTGAGATGAGCAATCTCGGTGGCTGCTGTGTGTGTGTGGTGCAATGGATCCCGTCCCATCCCATCCCATCCCCCACCCCTCCCTCGGTCGTCCCTCACTTTTGTAGTCGATGGGTGTGTCCGCCTGCGGCTGGGGCAGGCCCTCCACCTGGTTGCGGCCCAGCTGAGCTGAAAAGCACCAGCAGTAGCGACAAACAGACAGACAGGTGAGATCAGCTCCATGTGGCTGTAGGTGTGCTCACAGATGAATACCAGCAAGGGTGAGGTAGTCCTTCATGAAGTCAGACCACTGAATGCCCCACAGATGTCCGCCATCCAGACACTCGAGGCCTGAATGAAGAGAACCAAGCAGAAGGAAGAAGAAGGAAGGCATCACATCATGGGCGAGGGAGGCGACAGTGGATGTGATGTGTGCAGTGCAAGCCCGCGTGGCGCCTGACCCTTATCGGTCCTCGAGGTTTGCCACACCTGGCTCATGGCCAGTTGGTGCAGATTGTGGGCACGCTGGTAGTAACCCTGAACCAACCAACCAACCAACCAACGAAGGGGAAAGAAGCACATGTGTGCTGATGATCCATCAATCCCCCCCCACCTGTGCTGTGCCCACCCGTTTTCTGAAGAATGTGGCCAGCCGGTACAAGACGGCCGCCAGCGCCATGGGACACGCCAGGGCGGTGGCGGCGTCCATCCCATAACCATCAGCTAACTCCAGCCACACCGACTGCACACACACAGCCCAACAGACACACACACACACACACACACACAGGCCAGCAAACAGTCAAATGCCTTCACCGTGTTCCTCCTTTGGCCGTGCGCCCACCAGTGCTTCGACGTCCCTCCCTTGTGCCTCGAGAGCGCTTGCAGTGGCATAGCCGTCACGAAACACCGCCCATCCTGACCGACCAAGGCAGCAGCGCATTGCAATGGCAGATCTGTCATTGCGGTCCATCAAAATATATGGGCACCTCGGGACCCTGCCCTGTTGCTGCTGCTGCTGTCGCTGTCGCACCGGACAAACAGCCGCTCGCACTCTGAAACACAATCATACACATCCACACACACGCGGCCATGCATTCATCATTGTCAGTTTTCGCCGCTCACCGTCAATTCCCTTTGATGAGGCTTGATTTGAGGAGTCAGAAGCAGCATTGGATCTGTGCAGCATCGCGGCCGTGATGAGGAGCAGGGATGGAAGGGAAGTCATGATCAATTGCACTCGTGTTGGTATGATCTGTGGGAGATTGGTAGCTGATCCTCGCAGTCCAAGACGCTCTCCACGGCGTCGATGTCCACTCCGATAAGCTCGCACTTGAAAGCTCGCACCCCAAAAGGCAACACTCGAGCAGTCCGCCAGCAGTTTCGGCGAGGCATTGAGTTCGCCAGGGCGGTGATTGCCACTCTCAATTCGTTCCGGCTGCTGTGATTCGCCGTCGTGAGGGATGGAGGTGAGCAGCGGCGAGACGAGCGAGCGGAGCGCCGCCCTGAGCCCTCTGATCAAGCGCAAGCTGGAGGAGCTGCTGCCGGGCGTCGATGCGGACGTTTTGACTGAGTATGTGGAGCTCTTCGCCGCACAGAAGAAGGACAGGGGCGACTTCATCGAAGATCTCAAGGAGTTTCTCGGCGACAAGGTCAGTGGACACAGCGCACACGCAGAGACACACACACGTCAGTCTTGCCTGTCTGTTGTGTGTGTCGGTATGCGTCAGACGGTGGACTTCGTTGACTGGTTCCTGGCCCACCAGCAGCGCGTGTCGGCACCTCCCGAGGCAGCACCGCCACCAGCATCCCAGGAGGAGTCGTCTCGCGGCCGCAGCCGCGACGACCGGCGGGACGACCGTGAGGACCGTGACTATGACCGATACGACAGCCGGGATGACGACAGATACAGCAGGGACAGAGACCGCGACAGACGCGACAGGAGATACAGGGTCAGTGAGGGAAGAGAGGAGAGTGGAGTGGCCACGAGCACCCTCTGACTGACGGGGCAATCCAATCAATCGTTGCCCTGCCCGTCTTGCCTCTGTCTGTGCTGTGTGTGATAGGATGAGCGGTCGCGTCGTGAGTACGAGTATGACCGCGATCGCGAGAGACGTGAGAGGGACAGGTATCGTGAGGGGGACTACAGGCGCGACAGGCGGGTGGACGAGAGGGACAGGCGGCCCAGGCCGCCCTCATCAATCGCCAACGAGGACCTCAGGAACGAGGTGAGTGAGCCACCAAGGTCATGTCGTCATGCTCGTGCATTGAAGTGACGGATGCACTCCACTGATGCACCTCGTAAGTCTCTGTTTGTGTATGGTTTGCGTCTGTCTGTCTTTTTACTTATGGCATGGCAGATTGACCGGCGTGCGCAAGAGCGAGACAAGCGAGAAGGTGAGGGAGTGAGTGAGGGCGTGGTGTGAGCTGCAGGATTCCACTTAGGATTCCACTTCCACCCTCTCTCACTGTGATGTCCATTCCCTTGTCCTTTCCGTCCACACAGCCGGTGGTCGTGCCCGTGGCGGTCCCTTCGGCAACCTGATCCTCCGAGCTGCTCAGGAGGCTGCTGTGTCAGCGGGCGGGGAGGCCGCCGCTGTTCCACCTGGTGCTGCAGCTGCTGCACCCAAGACTGAACACAGGGTGAGCCACGCAAACACAGATTGCCACAGAGGCCACCCCTCACCCCACACAATGTAATGCCGCCCCGCCGTGGATTTCTCCTTTGTCTTCCACATGATCGATCCATCAGGAGGGCGAGGAGGTGCACATGCAGACGTCCATCGAGATCGTTGACGACACCCCCGCCCCGCCCGGCCCCACACCCATCCCGTCGCCCGCAGCCGACCAGGAGCAGCCTGCAGCGGCAGCAGGATCGGCAGCGGCCGACCAGCAGATGGGTGGGGCGCCCCCAGAGCGGCCGGACCGACGCAGGCCGCGCGAGGAGCCGCCTCACCCAGAGGGAGGACCTGCTGCTGGTGGTCCAGGTCCTGGTGTTGGTGGCGGTCCCTTCATGCCGCAGCAGCCGCCACATCGTGTTGTGGTGCGTGTGGACCCCATCACGGGTCATCGTGAGAACGCCCCGCCGCCGTTCAGTGCGGGCAGGCCGCCGTACAGCTACGAGCCGCCCTTCGCACCGGCCATCCCTGGGTGAGCGAGCTTGTAAAGGAAAGAGGGGAACACACACGACGACGCCTGTGTGATGTGATTGGTCTCTGTCTGTCCCTCTTGCTTGTGTGTTCAGTCCGCGAGGCCCTCCCCATCCGTATGGTCCGTTCCCCTCCCACCAGGCCATGCGCGGCCCGCCACACTTCGCCCGCCGAGGGGGGTTTGGTGAGGGTCCGTTCGGACCAGACCGCCCGCCACGCTTCCCCTTCGCCCCCCGACCATTCAGCCGCGGCGGCAGGGGACTCACCCTCACACCCGGGCCGGGCGCCTGGCAGGGCCCGCCGGGTGGTGGCGCTGGTGGTGGCGGTGGCGGCCCGCCGCAGCACAATGGCATGGAAGAGGACACACCGATCCCGCCCGACCAGCAGCAGCCGCAGCAGCAACAGCAGCAGCAGCCGGACATGGGAATGGGTGGTATGGGTGAGGAGCCGCACATGCCGCTGCCACCGGGTCAGGGTCCGTTCAGTGGTCAGCAGGAGCCGGGCAGGCCTGAGGGCGACGTCGAGATGGAGGGCATGCAGCCCACCAAGAAGATGAGGGCCGTCCTCAGGTGGGGGGCGTGGGGTGGGGGAGGCGCCTCGTGGGCTGTGTTGTGTTGTGGGGTGTCCCATCTCTGCTGTATGTGTGTCATTTGTGACATGACAGACCCAACCCATCGTTTCAGTGGCCGGAGGACGGCATGCAGATCGCACCGCCGCCAGGGTGAGTCAGTGAGTGAGAGAGAGAGAGAGAGCAACTCGCACCCAATGCTCTGTGACCCCATCCCATCAGTGTGAATGAGTTCGGTATGCCATTGGGTGGTCCGGTTGGCGCGTTTGATGGCGGGGGTCCGATTGGCGCGTTTGATGACGGGCCGCCGCCGCCCCCCGAGGACCCCATGGCGGGGCTGCCCAAGGGACTCAAGCAACTCGCACACCTCTTCCCCGGCAAGGTGCGCAAATGCCCTCTGACAGACGGACGGATGTGACTGTTTTGCACGTCTGTTGTGTCTGTCGTGTGAACGGAAACATCAGAAGTTGAAGCGTTGCCGGAATTGGCCGGACTGTCCGTTTGGCGACCAGTGCAAATATGTCCACCCGTCCTCATTTGTACGCACAAGGGGAGGGCGGAGGGGAGGGCGGAACAGCAAAGCGATGCGTCGAGAAACCAACCATCGATATATGCTATGCGTGTGCTTGGCTGTGGTGGTTGGTTGGTTCAGTGCAAGATGTGGCCCGGCTGCAGCTTTGGCAAGGAGTGCCTCTTCATCCACCCACAAGTGCCCTGCAGATTCGGTAGGTACACATGCATCCAATCCACTGCATTCCCACTCTAAGTCGATTGATGTGACATTCGCGTGTGTGTGTGTCCTTATTACCAAAATGACGTGATGTCAGGTATCCGCTGCAAGAACGCCCGCTGCAGCTACGCGCACCCGCCGGGCTGGCAGCCATACGGCATGCTCGACACCATCAACAAGGGCGACCAATACTTCAACTCACTCACACCGGTTAGTAACCACTCTCTCCCACACACACACGCAGAGGCATCGACGCATAATCACCTCTCCACCGCTCCCTCCCCTGTTTGTGTGTCGTGTGCACGTCAATCAATCAATCAACTAATCAAGCAGCACTGGTCCAAGGCCAACCGCAAGGCTCTCCACAAGAACCTGTCCCTCAACAGGTCGCAAATCGACCAGTTGGTCATCAAGCAAGACGAAGAGCGACAGGCGGCCGCCTCACAGCCAGGCGCCGAGGGGGACGCATCGGGCCATCATGACTGCATGCATCCCCACCAGGAGGGCGAGGTGCACTTGGGTGCCGACGGGGACGTTGAGATGGGTGTGGAGGGGGGCAGTGGGCACCAGAACGGCTGGGGGATGGGGTACGGCGACGAACATTACGGCCATGGCCACGGGGAAGAGGAAGACGATGAGGAGACCACACGGGTCAGTGAGTGAGACGGAGACAACGCGCACACACACACACACTTTGTCGAATCTCTTTCTCCTTCCATTCCATCCACCTCAGAGGCAATTAGAGGAGCTGCAGCAGCTTGAGAAGGCCGAGGCAGAGCGCGACACCTCTGACCACCCGCACCCACACCACCCACCCGGCACATCGGCCGACACAGCAGCGGGCGGCGGCGGCAACACCACCTCCAACCCCAACGCGTCCCACTCCCTCACCCGAGAGGAGTATCTCCGTGTCTATGGCTTCCAGCCGTCGAGTGCGGGCGCCACTCCTCGCCAATTCACTCAGCAAGGCAGCATCGAGTCGCAGCAGAGCCAGCAGCAGCAGCCGGGCCCTGCTGCTGCTGGAGGGGCGGGTGGGGGGCAGACGGCAGCATAATGAAGGGGAAAGAATTCGATTCGCAGTGTGCATGTTGATGCTTTCTTGTTTAATGGGCTGAGGGATAGGGAGGGAGGGAGGGAGGGCCCGATGACTGACTGACTGACTGACGGACGTACGGAGTTTTGTCTCTCAGTCAGATGGTGGGGTGTTGTTCGTGGAGTCAGCTGTTCACGCTTCCATGCAATCCTTGCTCGTCTCGTTCGTGCTTTGAATCAATCAACAGCTTTGGCTGTCTGTCTGTCTGTGGTTGTATGGGTGGTGTGGTGTGGTGCCGTCTCCATGCCACGTCATACACACGCACACACACACACACACACATTGGTGTGAGCCACTCTGTCCTCGTGAGTGTGTGTGTGTGTGTATGTGACCTATGCTGTGCGTCCCGTCCCGTTGGATCCCGCATTTTTCAATAGCAGTGTCTCGTTCCATGACCTCATGACATGTGCTGGGTGGGCTGGGCGTGGTTTTGCCCGACAGACAGACACCCGGCAGACAGACAGACGGACAGGCAGGCGCAAGATGCGGGTGACAGACTGATACACAGAAAAGCTTATGGGTTATGCGTGTGTGGGTATCTGTGTGTGCCACTGTGTGGGTGGATGGACGGACGGATGCGTGGGACCAACCAACCCGTAAGTATACTGAATGTACTGAATTGAATGATGGAGAGAGTCATGAGGGAGTGGGGGATCATCACAGCATGTCCACACCGCGCAAAAGGCGAGAGAAGTGGATGAACGGAGCCAACAGATATAAAACGTAGGCAACGATAGCCACGACACCACACGGACGACACGAGGGAAGGCACCATTCGCACACACACACTCCATCCGTTCCATTGCGTGGCATGAGTCAGTTGCGTCACACACACCCGACTTGTCACTTGTCAGGCGATGTACGTATTCCCCACCCTCGTACACCCACACACACAGACCCACACACCATCCATCCATCCGTCCAGCACTTCCCCAGCCCCCGGCCGCACTGCACGGCCTATCACTCTCTGGGTGGCGAAGGGAAGGCAGACAGAGGTGGAGAATGGCAAAAAACAAGCTCTCTCCGTGCACGGCCTGCAAAAGGCGGGAGAAATGGATAAATGGAACCAACAGATATAAAACGTACGCAACGATAGCCAGAGTGGCTGCCTGGCGCCCACTTTGACTGGCATCTCTGCCGCAGCATGAGAACGGGTGCTGCAGGAAAAAGGAGGGTGGCTCAGCCCCCTTCTCCTTCTGCCGCTGCTGCTGCTGCTGCTGCTGGGCCTGTTGCTGCTGGGCCTGTGGAGTCTTCCATATCATAATCTCTCCGCCGTCGCTGTTGGCCTCCTCATTCTCTGCACGACCTGACACATCCAACACATCCGACCAACACATCCGACCAACAAAAACAAGTGCAGTGCAGTGCAGTGGACACCATACACACGTGATTGGATTGACAGACACGCCCTGCCCTGCCCTCTCCCTGCCCTGTACGTATGTATCTGCTTTGTGGCTGGCACTGGCTGCTCACCTTGTTGCGTCTCCTCCTGCTGCTGCATGGCCTGCATCAACTGCATGGCCTGCTGCCCCGAGTGACACTGACGAGGACAAATCACAGAGACAGAGGTGGGAGCCATATGAATGGCTTGAGTGCTGGGTGCTATGCTGCCCTGCCACTTACGGGTTGCACTTCGAATGGCGAGGGCTGGATCCAATCTGGGAGAGACTCCGCTGACACAAGCAGACGAAGAGTCAGTCAATCAGATGTTCATATCACGCGATGGACTGATTCTCACTCTCTACCTGATTGGGCTCTTTGTGTGCGCCCCTCTCCCGCATGCAAGTCATGTCGGAACTTTTCGACTCCGCTGGGTCCAGTAATACCTCCTCAGGCAGCGCACCTGACATAACGTACGTACATACAGACAGACGAGAGAAGAGGAGCTGACACGAATGAAGGCTCGCCCGTCCGTCGTGTGTGTCTCGTGTGTGTGTGTACCTAGTCCGATCATGGGGTCTGTTGGTGGTGGGCTGAGCCGACCGACTGCAGGCACACATTGATGGATGGATGCTGCAGTGTACTGGCTCTCCTTCCATACGTACATACTTATGAGATTCAGCAGCACAGGGTGTGATTCCTCCGTTCCCCAGTCTGGTCCCAATAATTGATAGAGTGGGCGGTCGAGGTCTTGGTCACTGTGAACGACAGACACACATACACACACACACACACACACACACGTGGGCTCGGCATGCAAAGATGCATACACACGCACCTCGTCTCTGTGAATTTTCTCTGTGCCCGGAACACCGCCGCCGGTTTTCATGTCTTTCTGCCACACCTGTCCACATGCGTCAATACACGTATCTTCAGAGAAATATACAGGCAGGGAGGTCCCCCACGTGGATCTGCAGCTTCTCTCGGTGGGTATCATGACGCGCCACACGCACAATTGAAACGTCCTGAAGAATACACACAAGAATCAGCCATATGTGCGAGCGAGTTGCGCACGTACCTTTATCTCTTGCGCGATGAGCAGGCGGCTCAGCGGTGTCGTTACGTACTTCTCCAGGTACCTTGATGGTGCATATGTGAAAGGATGTGCACACACCACTCAGCAATGCGTCTCTACTACCTGCTGAGTGGTCTTGCCCCGTATGCAGGTGGTCTAGTGCCTCGACAGAGAACTCTACCTGTGCACGCACTAATACTTCTGTCTGTATGTGCGATTCTGTGTGCTGGAGTGTTTGAATACGGAGATGTCTCGGCCTGAGAGTCTGTTTGCCAGCTCCCTCGCCTGGTTCTTCAGCACACCGCGCAGCTGCGCCTGCACACATGCGAATACGACTGCGTATATCAAATTGGCGCGGCGGTCACGTCACCCACCTTTGTGAGGGGCTCGAACACCATCACTGCATCCAGGCGGTTCAAAATTCTGCACAGGACACACATGCTCGTACACGTGTCATCTGTCGGCGTGCTTGACACACACCCGGGCGGAGAACGGCCTGAACGTCTTTAATTGCCCGAGCCTTTGCCGCTTGCTTGGCCTTCTGCAAAGGCCCATCCCATCGTTACATCTCGCTTTGGTGTGTGTGTGTGTCGTTGTGTGTGTGTGTGTGTGTGTGTGTGGAGAGCGACGCACGTTGTCACGGCCTTCGAAGACCCCCGCCACGGGGTGCCGAGTGCCGACGTTGGATGTCATGATGATGACCTGCACGTATACCATGTATGCAGAGAGATGCATGTGTACGTAGCAATGCGGCATACTCCGTGTCAAGGTCCAGCTCGTAGATGGAGCTGGCCGAGCTCGAGGGGGGCGAAGTTGCGGAGGTTCTGCAGCTCGATCTCCTCCAGAGGATCAAGCGGCATCAATTTGGCCCCACCTGATCATGGATCGATGAGACACGAGCGACACACACATAAAGTGACCACCATAATCCGCCCGCCCTTCAGGGGGGCCAGGCCAGGCCTCCTCTGTAGTGCAGCCGCTGGTCTGTGCCGGTCAGTCGGTCTTCTTACCGCTGGCCGCATCATCTATGCTCGCCGGGATCTCCTGCTGTTGATGCAGCGGTGCCGGCAATTGGAAAGGCATCTGGGGCTTGGGTGCGGGCGGGATCGACGGGAGTACCACGTGAGACGACCCGAAGCCGCCAGCCATCATGCTGCCGTCACCGAGAGTCGGGCTCACCACACCACGTGCTGGTCGGATACAGCGGCTTGGGTCATGCCCTGGGGTGACGACATGGTGGGCAGAAACGAGGGACCAAACCAAGGGTGATCCAATGCCTCTTGAGCTGACACACAAATCACAGAGCGTCTCTTCAGGGATCCATCCAGATGGGAGAGCTATCCTAACCTCACCTGAGAATAGTCTGTTGTTTGGGTTGTACTCAAGGAGTCTGCTGACGAGGTCAGTGGCCGCAGGGAATCGCTTAGCCACCGCATCATCAAAACTTACACCCTGACACAGATGAAGGGGTCAGTTGTGTCTCAGGGCTTGTCTGTGTTGATATGGCTGCTGTCTCCCGCCTCTTACCTGACTGAGTATTCTTAAGACTTCCTCGTTGCTTTTGCAGCTGGACAAGTCATATGGGAGATAAACCGTGAATCAACACATACGCGTGGGGGGATGTCTCTGGCTTACAGGATGACGCCGCAGCTCCACAGATCCGACGCCCGTGTGTACTGGCCCTTGTGGCACTCGGGGGCTGCACACAACAGACACACTTTCCCACTCTGGTCTGTATTGCTTCCTTCGCTCATTCTCTCACCATGTAATCTTTGGTGCCGACTCCCCATCTCGAAAACGAACGCAGCTGATGTGACAGCACAATGAGATATACTTCCCTTGGTCTGCTATTTCCTTCCGAATACAAATATGTCGCTTACTGTCCCATGGGTCTCCCCATCCGTCCAGCGGTGCACCTCCACGGCCCAATACCGAGGATCTCCCTCGCCTTCCCGCCTGCACGACACATCAGAACCGAGCCCACGAATGTGTCAGTGTGTGAGTGATGCTTGTGTGTTGATCACTTACGCAGGCACTGCCGCCTGGTGGCGGAAGCCGCTCAGGCATGCCTTGAGGAATCTGCCGTTGGTCAGCACCGCCTCAAACAACAGCACACGCGACGGCTTGAGGCCACGGTGGACACAATTGCTGAACACAGGCAACAGAAAATGTCTGTGCGCGACTGTATCCTCACAAGATGTCTGCCTTGCTGACCACTGATGCACCACTTTGAATCCCTCCAGAGCACCCCCTTCGAACCACCCGATCAGCGAGTCCGACGCTGTCTTGACCTTCTCACTGAACGACACACACGATGCCGAGGATCAGTTTGGCTCTTGTAGCTTCATTTTTCGTTCAATTTACCTCTCGAGCAGCGATTGTACGTCGCCGCTGGCTCTTACGCTGGGGATGAACACGTATGAGTCCTTGACGGTGGCCTATCCGACAAGTGCGATGTACGGTGACCGTGCAGCCACATAGGACTAAGCGCAGGCGGCACACGTGATCTGCATAAGACACGCACACAACCTGTACTGATGCATTCACGTATGCAGCCATCGTACCATGACGTAGGTGTGTGGGCGTGGAGTGATTTGGTATACCTGCATGACGAAATGTCCAACACGTTGCCTGCTGGCTGCGGCAACAGGGACGCTCTCTTCGCCACCACCAACTACCTCCAGTCCATGCGTCACGGTGTCTAAGTGAAAGGGAGAAAGGAAGAACCATGCACGCCGTGAGCGCTTTCCTCTTGCGAAGTCCGTGTCGTGAACAGCCGTCCCATGGACCTTGTGCGGTCGCTCACTTGGCTTGGGTGTCTTGGTGTATTCAAGGCGCTTCCGTGCCATCCAACCAAGTCGGTCTGCCCATACGACCATCTGCACACAAAGGCACACAGAGGGGGAGAAGGAGAGAGACACTGTGATACGCACTCTAGAGTGGTGCTCACTTGTTGGGCGTCACGTCATCGGTGTATCCACAAGACTGTCATAGATATAAAACGTAGGCAGCGATGAACGCGGCCCTCCCGTGCGCGACCTCCGACTGGCCATGTGACGGGTGCGCACGCCTGAAAGAAAGAACGCGGCTTCATTCATCCTTACTTGTGCGCCGCTTCATTCATCCTTACTTTTATCAGAGAATACCCCTCTTCCCCTTTGTTGCCTATTCGCTCACCAGTGGTGCTACTCGGCCCTCTCGGCGCGTTCGATTGGCGCCTCCTCGCCACCTTTGCCACAGCGCCCGCAAAGGCGACAGCAGCCAGGGCCGCGACCGAGACGACGGGGAAGGTGAAAACCATAAGGGGCAGCACATGGCCGGCGACAATCACCAAACGTTTCCCCTGCGTGAGCAGTCGTATGCATGCATACACATGAATGCAGCTGCTGCATATGCACCGACCTGTGCGTCTGTGAGGCGGCCGTCGTCCAGCTCTTGCAGCAGCGTGTTGAATATATGCGGATGTGCTTTTTCCATTTCGTCGAACAGCACCGCGATGTACACATCAATACATATGCACGTGTCAGGGGAGTAACGACATATGTGTATAAACACACCTGTAAGGGCGCCTCTTGACGGCCTCTGTGAGCTGGCCGCCCTCCTCGTAGCCCACGTAGCCGGGCGGCGAGCCTGATGTGTATCATATAGAATGTGATTACATGTATATACATACATCTTATATACCAATGAGTCTGCTGACTGAGTGGCTTTCCGGGAACTCCGACATGTCGAAGCGCACAAGGTTCTTCTCGTCGTCGAATGGCTGCATGCATGTGTGCACACACGTGTACACATGTGTCTCTGGCGGTCTGTCTGTGTGCAGTGAGTACGTCACCTCTGCTGCGACTGCCTTGGCAAGGTTCGTCTTGCCCACACCTGTTGCAAACACGTTGTGTTGTGTTCTGTGCGAAGACTAGGCCTGGATACCCACCTGTAGGCCCCAGAAATAGAAAGGAGCCCAGCGGCTTCCCCCGCCGGCTCAAACCAGACCTGAACACAAACACACAGAACACAAACAACCTTTCTATGTTGCGTGCGCGTGTGTGTGTCTCGAAACATGCGCGTCAGCACCCCGATCTCAGCACGGCATCGACCACGGCTTGGACGGCGTAGTCTTGCCCCACCGCTCGCTGAGATCAGCAAAGATGCCCCTCTCTCTCTCTCGCCCTGTGTGTGTGTGCGGACCTGGTGGAGGCGCTTTGAGAGGTCCAGAAGCCTCTCGCTCTCGCTGGTGGTCAGCTTGGTCACGGGGATGCCCGTCCAATCAGACAGCTGTGCACAAATGGATGTGCAGGTGTATGCACGTGTGAATGTGCTTCTCAAACCAACGAGCGCACCACAGCGGCGATCTGATCGGCGCCGACGATTATGACATTCTGTACACACCATTAACAGGTGTACGTGTGTGCAATGACATTATGTATACACGTACCTGTGCCGAGATGCCTGGACGACCGAAGCCTTTCACTTCACCGCCGAGCACGGACGACCGAAGCCTTTCACTTCACCGCCGAGCACGCCTCGTCGACTGCAACGCACGAATGCATATGTGTGATACAGTGCTGTGGCATGTGAGAATATGTGCACCAACCGATGTCGACCGCCTTGTCGGGCTGGTTCCGGTAGGGGACGTACCGATTGCTGCAAAGGCACAGCGGCATCCTTGCGCACCGGTATTTGAGCGTGGCGTATGTGTACGTGAGCTGCACGGCGGCCATGAGTGCGTCGTCAGCGATGCGGACGTTGTGGCTCTTCTCGTACTTGTCCTTCACGCCTGTGTACATCCACACAAACATAAAAAGTACGTGCCTGTGCTCATCTATCTAGGTGTGCATGGGTGTGTATATGAACCGCGCAAAATCGATCTCACAAACACCTGCACGCAGCCAGAGACACGGACAGGTCATATATGCAGCTCCCGTGTCTCTGGCCGCTTGCCTTCTGGAACCGTCTCTCAAATGCGGCGTCCTGTGTACACGGACATGCACAGAGACCCACACTTCTTCTTTGGATGCTCACCTTTTCTATGTGCTTGTGGTATTCGTCTTGAGTCGTTGCGCCGATGCGTCTGCATGCGTACGCATTAGTGGGCTGTGCAGATCCCTCCGCGGTTGTGTGTGTGTGTACTTGACGCTTGGCGGGCTTGAGCAAGTTGGCGGCATCCATGGCACCTTCTCCTTTCCCTACATACAGTGTATGTGTCTTCGCTTGTGTGTACACAAGTGTGTCTAGTACCTGCCCCAAGCCGAAGATTCAGCTCGTCAAAAAACAGAATCACCTCGCCTGCATTCCACATTCGTGAAGGAAAACGTGTGTATGCATACACATGTGCACTGCTGTGCACCTTTGCTCTCTTCTGCCTCCTTGATCACTTGCTTCAGCCGCTCTTTGAAATCGCCGCGCAGCTTGGCACCTGATCGATCCGCCTCAACACGCGTATCCATGCAGACTGAGTGAGCAACGAATTGTATTGTATTATATGTATTGGTCCACCCGCAATCAGGCCAGCCAGGTCGACTTCCACAACACGACTGCCTTGGAGCTGCTCGGGCACGCGGCCCTCTCGAGCGCGACGGCCCAGCGCTTCGACGATGGCCGTCGTGCCCACTCCCGGCTACTCCCGGCTCACCTACGAGAAGAAGGCTGCTTTTGTTGTGTCAGACATAAACCAGCCACAAAGCGAGCGATGGGGGGACGAAGTAAAGACTGAGATCTTTTCGTACGTGGTCTTGCTGAGGATGGTCACGACGCGCTCCAGCTCTTCTTCTCGGCCGATGACTGGCGCAGCTGGACTGTTTGTCAGGTCCCTGCACCAATGGGATGACTGTGTGTGTGTGTGTGTGTGTGTGTGTGCGAGTGCTGGACCGTATGCGTACCAGTTGGCGTGTTGAATTGGCGCCCAAAGAGAGAGCCGTTTGCGGAAGCCGCCCAAAGAGAAAGGATGAGCAGAGAAAGGAGCAGGATGGCCACAGGAGTCGGAAAATGGATGAAATCACGCTTTTTCTCAGAGAGACGTCCCGTCTCGCGAACGCGAAATTCTCGTCGAATTTTGTAGCTCGCATTTTGTCTGTCTAGGACATTCCGTGAAACTGCTCGCAATCCGCTCCCTGTCCCTCCCTCCGTGTGGCTTGCCTGAATGAAGTGAAGCCTGCCGCCAGCAAAGCAGCGGATATCTGACTTTCTTTCGCCTCGTCTTTCTAGCAGTGCCTACTCGTCCGCAGACGTCAGCAAAGCGACCTCAACGCTGCGTGCCGTCATTATGACGCGGTCGGTGCCCTCTGACCCGCCATGCCAGCCGTCAGCGGCTCCCGATGCGCCCAGGCGGCGAGGCTGTAAGAGCTGTGCTGATGTGGTGAGGATGGCTGTGTGCGTGGTGATCTTCTGCACGCCCTGCGTGGGAGAGAGGTTGCAACGTCTCAAGAGAGATTTTTCAGCATCAGGTGAGGGATAGAGTGGTGTGCATGCCGATCTACGAGCACACATCCATCGTGGTGCATCTCTCTGTGTGTTTGTGTTGGCAGCGTTCCTCACCGGCCCGCAAGCACTCAGCCAGCCAGAGCAGGTGGGCGCACACACGATATATCTGGAATCGCACTCATCTGCACCCGTGTGTGTCGGTGTGTCATCTCTTGGTTGTGTTGGTCAGCGGTCAGTGTTCCGGCGGCTCTCTCCCTCCGTGGCCTCTCTCCGCGCACAGCAGGCGCTTGACGAGCCCTTCCCAATCAAGAAGCAGAAAGCTACCAGCAAAGCTGCACCGGCCAGAGGTGCCCACACACCACGCTCCAAGACTCTCCCGCATTCGTGTGTGTGTGGTATGTGTGTTTTCAGGTGAGTCGCGTCTGTACAGTGCGACAGCGGTGCGTCCGGCGCCGGCCGTGGTGGAGCGAGCTGAGGAAGAGGAGGGCGACTTTGACCTGAAGGCCTTCTTCAAGGACAAGAAAGCCGCGGTGAGCCTCTGGGAGAGAGGGGAGTGAAGTGCGCCCACATCTGTCCGTCCGTCGATGTATGTGTGCAGGTGGACCATGCTCTCTCCCTCTCTGTGCCCGAGTTTGCATCGCATCCCAGGGCGTCCCGGTGAGGCAGGGAGTAAACACCCACACGCACGCACACCACGGCCACTGGTGGGTGCATGGATACACGTGTGGATGTGTGTGTGTGTGTGTACATCAGGTTGGCCGAGGCCATGCGATACAGTCTGCTTGCGCCCGCCAAGAGGGTCAGGCCCATCCTGTGCCTTGCCGCCTGTGAACTCTTCGGCGGGTGAGGGACAAAAACGAGCATCCACAACGTTCATTTGTGCACGTGTGTGGATGGCTGCGCGTACTCTCCGTAGGAGCGAGGCGTCGTGCATGCCGACAGCTGTCGCCATCGAGATGATCCACAGCATGTCACTCATCCACGATGACCTCCCTGGTGCTTACTGCAGACCTGACATCAGTGCACTCACTCACACACATCGGTGAATGGATTTGTGTGTGTGTGTGTATGTGTGTGTGTGCAGCAATGGACAACGATACGTTGCGCAGAGGTCTGCCGACAAACCACGTCAAATACGGAGAGGACATCGCCATACTCGCCGGTACGTCCGTACGCACACACATCCGTTCATGTCCATATGTGTCCCCATGTCGCAGGCGACGCATTGCTGTCCCGCTCGTTTGAGTATGTGGCCAAGTACACACACGACGTGCCGCCAGAGAGGATCGTGCAGGTATCGACACACTCAGTGATGCCTCCACACACGCACATGGCACATGTGTACCCCTCTTTCTGTGTCTGCCTGTGTCTGCAGGTGTTGGCGAGACTCGGCGAGTCAGTGGGCGTGGAGGGCTTGGCGGGCGGACAGGTGAGCAGATGCACACAGACCTGCTCGGCACAACGAACGTACTTGTACGAATGAACATGTGTGTAGGTGTTGGATTTGGAGCTGGAGGGTCAGCCTGATGTGACGGTCGACGACCTCAGGTGGATTCACAGACACAAAACCGCTGCACTGCTCAAGGTACATCGGCACACAGCTCACACACGCACCTGTACCCGCACCAATGCCCTCCTCGTGTCGCGTCCTTGCAGGTGGCTGTTGCGTGCGGTGCCATCCTGGGTGGTGCGAGCAGCGATGACGTGCAGCGGGTGGAGCAATACGCCGAGAACGTCGGGCTGGCCTTCCAGGTCAGTGAGTGAGTGAGACGGACACACCCTCACACACAGCTGATTGATGTGGTGCGACGCACGGCGTGGATGGTGTGTGTCTGGTCTGGTCTGGTAGGTGCATGATGACATCTTGGATGTGACGCAGTCGACAGAGGAGCTGGGCAAGACAGCAGGGAAGGATGCGGTGAGCTCACACGACAGGAGCCCTCAGCTGGCTGGCACCACACGCACCTCTCTGACGCGACACATATCCTGTTTGTGCATGTATCGTCTCAATGTATGTATCGACTAGGATGTGTCCAAGACCACCTATCCAAAGCTGCTGGGCCTCGACGGCAGCAAAGCGGAGGCCAAACGACTCATCAACGAAGGAATACAAGTATGAAAGCAGTGGGCACAGCCGCACCGACGCGACGCAAGACACACACGCACATCCGCTGTGTGTGTGTGTGTGTGTGTCAGCTGCTGGTGCCGTATGGCGAGCGCGCCATCCCGCTGATTGCTTTGGCCAAGTACATTGTGGAAAGGAAAAACTGACCGAGGGAGTGTAGCGTGTGTGCAAGGATTGAGGGAAGGAAACAAGACGAGACGAGGAATGCCAATTTTTCAGACAAAGTCTGACACACACACACACATACTCACACGGACTGAAGGAGGGACGACGAGCGGGACGTCGTCAGGGATAGACAATATTTTTACCCGTGCGTACCGTACCCACATTACATTGTGGCTAGTGCGCATTGTAGGGAATCCAGTGGATGGATGGATGGAGGGATGGAGGGATGTGTGGAGGGAAAAGGCTTTTTAGCGTGCGTGATGATGGATGTACAGAAGAGGAGGATCCAGAGGATCGGCCCGCCCCTAGGAAAGGTTTTTCCGTCCCCTGCTGGATGGATGCGCATCTGCGTGCTGTCTGTCTGTCGTCCATGTACGTGTTGTTATCGCTCCCTGGCTGCATGGCCATCGTGAGGGCTTTATGACACGCCATCCATCCATCCATTCATTCACACCCACCACATCCACCACGACTCACCCCCAACCCACCCAGTACTCACACCACCCACTTACTTGTCTGTCTGCCTGCCCCCGTCTCGTCTCCTCTCGTTTTCACGCCGTTGTCACTGTCATTGACCCACGTGTGTGTGCGTGCAGTGTCCTGGTGGTAGGTACGTGGATGTGAATTAACCACTCACACACACAGAGACATACACACAGAGGGAGAGAGAGGAGAGAGTGTAGGAGCAAGTCCGTCTATGCGTGTCGTCGTCATCCGTCCTTAGCGTGTTTGGTATGGTAGTAATGGAATGGAATGGATGCCTCATTGTCCATCCATGAGCAGCGGTTCCCTTGCTGCACGTCACCCTTTCCAGCTGCTCCACCCGACGGAGCAGCTGACAGACGTGGCCTGCGGGCAGGCTAACCTTTGCTCATACAGGATGGACGCAGACGAAGGCGCAGACAGAAAGACAATCACCAATCCGCCCACACACGTAGATACAGCGGATTTTTCATCCGACTGTCTGCCTTTTCCTCTTCGTCTCTCTGTCGCTTGGACGGATTTTTCACACTGAGAGAGGTATGTCCGCGGCCGTCCGTCCGTCCACCTCCCTTTGTGTGTACGTCGATCTGTCGCCTGATGTGTGTCTCGGAGAGGGGGCGAGGGAGAGAGAAGGGAATCGCAAAGAGAGAGGTGTCAGTAAAGCGGTGATTTGTCTTCTCGGTCGCCCCGCCATCACGTGAGCTCTCTCTGGTACTCTCTGGGAAGACAGACGCCTCGGGATGGATGGAGATGTACAGACAGCCGCGTGGACTGGATGGGTCAGTGGAGGGATGTGATGTGATGGGTTGTGTTGGGTTGTGTTGGGTTGTGTTGGGTTGTGTTCGTTGCAGTGTTCGTTGCATGTGTGGCACCGCGGTACATATGCCGTACGTACGTACCATAGTTAGCGTTGTTTGTGCAGACGGCGCAAGCGATTCAAACAGTGATCGGTGCCATGTGGACAGAGCTTAATTTTTGGAGATTTGGAACTACCTAACAACTTCTGCATGCAATCATGGGGGCGTCCCACGGGGGCGTCTCAAGAGCGCGGTGATCTGAAAGGTCCTCCTTGAGCAACGTGATCTGGAGGGCGCATCGCATTGGAAAGGACAGCGCATTGGAAAGGACAGCGCATTGCAAAGGTCAGCTCATTCTGCTGCTGCTGCTAATGGGGCTTGTCAGTGGTCATTGCTGCCTTGTCTTTCTTAGACTGAGTGGTCAACCATGGCGGCCATCAGCGGCGGCGTGCAGAACATACTCCGGAGGGCGGGAGATCTCGGTCAGCTGCGTGCCACGGGGCAGCTCCTTTTCTCTCTACGGCTGCTCACAGTGTGTGTGCTGTGCTGCCTTGTGTGCAGATGCCAAGTCGGGGAAGATGTTCGTCTTCGACCAGGTGAGTAAGCATGCAGGCAGGGCATCCTTCTCAACTTCCTGTGTCCGTCCGTTTGTGTCTGCGTCTATCTGTGCACTCTGCCTGCAGGTGTTCAATTACCTGGAGAACTATCACGAGGAGTACCCGTCCCACCAGCAGCCGTCCGAGCAGGCGGCCAGGGAGCCAGGCGCCAGCCGGGCCTCGGTGCGCCGGCTGTTCCTCGAGGAGAGCCCCGACCTGTTTGCACGGATGCTGCGCGAATGTCGGCTGGAGGTGTTGCCCTTCGATAGGGACAGCCGGACGCTGTACGACTTTCTCAACGACTACCGATTCCTCAAACTCGACACGCAGCCCAACGACCGAACGCTGCAGGTCAGTCGATGTGCGAAGAAAAAGAAAAGCACGAAGAGCTGGTACAGGCGATTTTATGTGTGGGCAGGAGCACACACCGTTTGTGTCGAATGGCAAGCTGACGATTGCCTCGAGCGAGGCAGTCGCCATCAACCTGCCTGAGTTCCACTCAGGCGCCGAACGGAACATCACCTTCTCGTTCCACTTTGCACTCGAGAGCTTCCCCGTCACACAGACGGAGGAAACGCACAGTAGTGCGACCCCCACAGCTGCCCAACAGACTCCTCAGCAGCAGCAGCAGCCAACCGCCACGGCAGCTCAGTTCGGCCTTTCCTTTGGGCAGACGAGGGTGTATTTCTCGCCAGAAGGGGAGGAGGGGATCCAGGAGCAGCAGCAACAGCAGCAAAAGACACAGGCGGGCAAGAGAGGGACCTCTGCTGCTGGAGCGGACAAGTCTAAGCGGAAGGAAAAAGAGAGGAGTGGGGATGAGGAGGCGGAGAGCGGCCCGATTGTGCAGAGTCAGTTCCGGCAGGTATACTTGCAGGAGGGCAGCGAGCCTGTGCAGGCCACCAAACTCACATCATTCTCTTTCCTGGAAGGTAAGGTACCTACAGACGCCGATGGATGCGTACGTATGTGTGGGCATGCATCCTTCGGGTGTGTTGATTGGCTGGCCTGGCAGGGGAGCGCATTCGTTGTGTGGTGAACATCAGCCTGGATGGGCTTTCATACCTGTCTCTATACAAGGCAAGCAGACCGGCAGGCATTCGGGGAGGGGAGCCAGCCTTCTTTGCACAGACATGTATATTCGTAGTGGTGTGCCTCTGGTCTGTCTGCAGGGTACGAGCAACCACTCATCCAATGTCAAGCCCTTCGTGCTGCCCCTCCGACTCAACCGATCGGGATTCTGCCAGTCGGACACACACCACACCAGACAGACATCAGACAAGCCATCACATGAGCACCCAGACAATGACGTGTGTGGATGTATGTATGGACCTTGTGTGCAGCCCCGCCAATTTGCAGACGTCCTTCGTCACAATCTTCCTGTCAGGACCTGGTGGGTATGCAAGGGTCGTTTGTGCATGTGCATGTGAATGTCATGGGTTATTGTTTGTCCACGTCTGCGCTGCACACTGTATATACAGGTCCGAAGGTGGTGTCTCTTGAGAGTTTGGCGTTCTTCCAGACCTATGTTGAGGTCGACTCGTCTCTGCTGGGTACGCTATTCACTTTTGCGAACCGCTACCGTCTCATGTATGGGTATGTGTACACATCTCTGCATAAGGACAGATCCGATCGACATGTCCGTGAGGGACAGCGCGCTGAAGCTGCTGCATCTGATCGAGCCCATCCTAAGCCCGGCGACGGGCAAGATCATGCCGCAGACAGAGGGGGCCGACAGCCGCTCGTCGCTCATCCAGTGCGTCATGAAGATACTCACCTCGGGCATCACAGACGCAGGTACATACGTGCTTATGCGGGAAGGGTAAGAAAGAAAGTGAGTCACACAAAATGCACAGTGGCATTTGGATGTGGGTGTGGTGTTGCGGACAGAGTCGGCGACATGCAGCATCCTGAATGAGTTTCAGAAGATTCTGCTCCGGCTGGAGGACAAAGTACAAAAAGGCCTGACTGACACCAGAGATACGCACAGGGGGGGATGTGTACATATGTGGCCACCCCACAGGCGACGCTGGGCAGCTACGTGAAGGATCTCATCGACCTGCTACAGCACTTCTGGACTAAGCACTCACCCAAGCAGCAAACTACACCTGCTGCCGGTGTGCGCAGAGTGTTCGGCCGCGCGGCCGCGCTGGCCGCCCCTGCTGCTGCGGGGCTGCCCAGAGACGATGAAACGAGCACTGAGAAGCGCCGCGTCTCCTCTGCTGTCGGCACTCTCATCCAAATGATCACCGCGCTCGTGGCAGATGATGAAAGACGGTCAGCTCGACTCGACGCCATCCACATGCACAGCGTCTCTGTTCATGTGTCGCGGGTGGGGTGGATGGCGTGAATGGGTGTGTCCTCAGGTGCACGGAAGCGCTGCGTTACAACGACAACGCGCTGTTCAATGTGTTTCGTCGCATCTTGGACACGTCGCTGTCGTCTGCCGGTGTGGGCAGCCCGATAGTGCAGCAGGTGGTGGCCACACTCTACGCCCTCAACATTGTTGGCAGGCCGCAGAGAGTCGCCGTGCTGGTACGCACGCACAAGGCCTCGTGAATTCCATGGCAAGAAGGCAATCTGATTGTTTGTTTGTGTGTATTTGTGCGTGTGTGTGTGTGTGTGTGTGGTGAGCAGGGTGGTCCCATGTCCGAGACCATCTATCTCAATGACGCCAAGCGCGAAGTGGCCCGACTCACGCAAGGAGTGAGGCAGGCCGTCACAGAGCCCACCATACGTAGACACAGATCACTAGGAACACATGACACAACGGTGGATGCGTATCGATATGCATAGGACGCTGATTCGTTGTTCGGCGGTGCGAGTGCGGCCTTCCCCTCGTATACCATCTCATTTACGCTGGACTTCACCAAACCATTGTCAACTGCCCCCGCGGCCATCCCCACCTCAGCCAGCGGCAGCGCACCGCCCGGGACGCTCATGCAGGCCCCGGGGAGAGACAAACAGAAAAAGGAAGAAGGTATCCATCCATTAACCCGATCTGATCCAATGCAGAGACAGACAGACAAGGGCTCTCTGCTATTTCTTTCTGTTTGTGTGCTGTGCAGTTGTGGAGGACGCCCGTGGGTTTCAGGCGCTGCTGGACTGCTCTGCGTGCAACCTGCCGTCTGTGTGGATCAGCTACCAGGACCACCGTGTGTGGGTGCAGGTCCCCACGCAGGACGACCACCTCGAGTCGGCCGTCTCGTCCGCCGCTATCGACACCTACACTGCACAAGCCGCGGGACTCATCGTCACCGTGGTCAGTGAGCGATGGATGCACCCATGTCATCCTGTCTGTGGCTTTGCTCTGGGGGAGCACTTCTTCCGTGTGCTTCGTGTTTGTGTGCAGGTGGTGAACGGGACATCTGTGCAGTTCTACTTCAACTCTCATGCGCAGCTGACGGCCCAGCCCTTGCGGCTGACAGCCTTTGCCAAGCCAGTGCACGAGGGCGCCATCTACTCAGGCAGACACATCGACATCAGAGGCACGCAGGACACACGCACACACACACACACACCCAAGGGACATGACCCTCCCTCTCTGTGTGGGTGCAGGACCGAATCCCTTTGAAGGTCGTCTGGTCAACATCCGACTGTTCCCCAGGTCAGCCGAGACGACACGCATCAGGTTGGCCGTTGTCGGCCGATGTGTCACGTCCCTATCTCACACACATACAGGGCGTTTGCCAAGCACGAGGTCGAGAGTTTGGTTCGGTCGAGCAAGCGTGATCTGCAGAGCATCAAGACCAAAGAGGGAGCCGGCAAGGGCAGGCGCAGAATTGGCAAACAAGAGACCGCCGATGCCGACCTGGTCACCGAAGACGAGCAGGAACAAGAACCGTCCACCGACCAGGAATGTATGTTAGTTTTAAAACATGGAGACATACGCATAACATATGACACCCACATCTGCCCTCGGTGTTCGTGCAGCGTCTCAGAATATTTTGGAGGTGACGCAGCTGCTGGCGTTGTTTGTGGAGCGCACCTTTGCCCCCGCCCGGCACAAGAAGAGCCGCGCCATCACGAACCTGAGGTTGCAGCAATGGATGCTCCTCGACCTGGTCAACTCAACCACAGACACACAGACCCGGAGCCGCGCAGATATGTGTTTTGGACTGCAATGTTGCAATGCCTGTGTGTGCGGGCTGCAGGGTTTGTGTTCTCTGTATGTGCCTACCACCCACCCTGCTTATGGGGACCTCGTGCGCCAGCCATTCGACCAAACACTCAAAATGGTCGGTCAGCCGTGTAGCCAGCCGAAATGTGTCCCCATATTTCTGCGTGCATGTGTTTGTGTGCTGTCAGATAGGTGTGATGCTGGATCGTGAGGAGCTTGTAGAGGAGGCTGCCATGGGTGTGCTGCCGCCCGAGGAGCAGTCGGTGATCCTCGCGGCGTCCGTGTTCGTCGCACAGATCCTCAAATCACCCAGAGGTGCAGACAGACAGACACGCTTCACACTCATGGATGTGATGTGTATTCATGTGATATGTATGTGTGCGTTTCCAGGCAAGCAGATCTTGGTGCAGGACGACACTGTGGCCACGACGGTCGTGAAGATCATACCCTTCAGGTACGTGCACACACTGTGTGGGGCCGCAGGATGCACAACATTGGCAGGCACCAACAACCGTCTGTCTGGCCTGTGTGTCTGCATGCAGCGAGATCCCGATCGATTTGCAGGAGTATGTGTCGCGGCAGCTAGAGGCCCTCTCTGTCAAAATGTGTGTTGTGCTCCTGCACGCAAACCAGACCCTCGCCACAACCGTAAGCTCCACACACGTGTGCGTGTGCGTCAATGTCACGGCGCCGTCCGGTTCTATCTATTCAGACGTTGGTGATGCAAGCTTTGGTGAAGCGGATCTTCAACGAGCAGGGGCTGATATACAAGGAGGACCTGCAGGAGATACTCGTCAACAGAGGACTACTCGCGCTTGAGAGACTGCTCGTTGAGGCCGGGGGCGACACCGTCGTAGACGACACAACCGCGCCCGGCGAGTCCGAAGGTGAGCACAATAACCGTGGCGACACGACGGACGGATGCAGGAGTATAATTTCTCGCTCACTGTCTGCTCGTCAGGTCTTCTTGGGTGTGTCCGTCGTGTGTATCGTCAGCTGCACACACAGCTGCACCATGTTGTCGATGAGCTCGTGCGCGGCCTGCCGCTGGACCCACACACGGTGTCCTCACTGAGCCGGCTCGTCAACACATCGGCGGGTGTACCGTTCGTAAGCAAGAAAGGCCACACGCACCAGCACAGTTGTGTGGGTGAGGTGGACGACCATTGTCTGTCTATGTTGCTGTCAGAACATGTATTTCCCGGCGGAGAGCACCAAGCTGACGCGTCTGCCTGAGAGTGATGGTGGGAAGAGTTAGATAGACAGACAGACACGTGAATGCAGACCACTCAGCGAGTGTCCCCTGTCTATATGCAGATCCCCTGACGGCCTACGAGATGATGCAGCCGGTCAATGTCCCCACGGCCAAAATGCTACAGGTAGTACACACAAGAGACAGACACCTTTCATGTGTGGCGACTCACCTCATGTCATGCGCGCCCTCCATTCATGGGCGCTGATGCTGCAGGTGTATTCGTATCGGTACTACCCCCTGTCGTATCGTGTCCGTGAGTGGAAGGGCGCCCGGCTGCGTGTGAGCGACAGCATCTCGTTGCGCGACGCGCAGACGGCTGCCTCGCCCGCCATAGAGGAGGGGGGCTACACGGCAACCAATAGTGTCTACATTCACATACAGGGCAGCAGGCACCACACCAAAGTCGACCTTGAGGTAACCTACTTACCGTGGACACATTTGGAAACTGCACATGTCTATTGAGTGTATGTGCATATTTCTGTCTCAGGTCCGCATTCGTCCAATTCATGAGCCTCCCTTGTGTCCGCAGAAGACCGTGCAGTTCCTCACGGCACCGGAACGGATTGTGCCATACTGCCTGTTCCTGCTGAGGTCATCCAAGTTCGCACACATGCCGGAGGTGTGGGCCAACGCAGCCCTGCTGCTGTCTGCCACAGCAATCGACGTGACCACAAACAGAGAGAGAGGCACGGAAAACGGCCGCCAACAATCGCTTTGTGTTGCAGCGTAACGACCCCGACATGGTAGCGCGTCACCTGTCGTCCCTCGTGCGGTCCGCTCTCTTGTCCGACTGGAACTGTCGGACGATCTGCATCGAAGTACTTCATAAGTAAGATGCATCCTCGCCATTCATCCATCCATTAATCCATTCATCCATCCATGTCAATGTTGGCCTCACTCAGAGTGTTGTACCCCGATCGCCACTTGATGCCCCTGCTGATGGCCGCGGCCATCTCCACGAAGACCCCGCAGGAGCACAGGGCAGACCTGGTGCGGCTCACAGCCAGGATAGGCCATCCATCCTTCACACCCGACGAAGGATTCGCTGAGTTCCTCGCAATCACTCGTAGCGCCGACATGCGCGTCTTTGGCGCTCCACCCGAAGGCAAGTGCGTCGACAAAATGTTGAGACATATTATGACAGGTCGTGTTTTCAAGTGCAGGCAGTGTCATCAGCGTAGGATCCGGTGAGTTTGAGGGTTGGGTGATCCAGCCGGGCAGCCAGGAGCACGGCGAGCTCGTGAGGAGCCTCACCATTCCCGAGTCCGGCGCATTTGCCCGTGCCCAGCCGGCGGGTGTGGCGACCATCCTGCTGGCACAAGTCATGGGCGCCGCGGAGGACCTGCAGCTGGCCGCTGTAGAGCTCACAGAACAGGTAGGCATAGCGTGGTCTATATGGTACACACAACGGCGATACTGCTTGCACAGGTCATATTGCGTGACGACGAGTCGCTGTCGCGGCTTGTGTCTGAGGTCAAAGACAAGCAAGGGGCACTGCTACCGAATGGCACGATATTCAAGGTAGGTATCATACATACTGTACTGGCTGACGTGCGGGGAGTCTGTCCATATCCGTTTTACAGGTGTGGAAGGCCCTCTGCGACCTACTCGCCAGCAAGAATGACGCGCTGAGGGTAAACACAAAAGGCGGAAACTGTGGCGTACACAACGAACGTGCTTTGACGTTGTCGCTTTGCAGGCGTCGTCTGCCCGTCTGCTGCACAGCATGTACACCCGCAGGCCCGCGCAGACTCTGTCACTGTTCGCGCCTCCGAGAGACATCAACCTGTGGATCCTCCCGAAGCTTGTCAGTGGGCAACCAGAGAGACTACACTCGTCTCAGGCCATCCCGTATCAACGTATCTTCCTGCTGTTGTGCCTGCAGCTGGGCTGCTTGGGTCATCCTGACGACAACACAGTGACTGACGTGCTGGAGATCCTCTCGCCACTCGCAGAGGAGCAGGGAGGTCCGTGGAATGAATGACACAAGCGTCCGTGAGACGGATGTGGCGAACTCACGGTCCCTGTCTGCTTGTTCACAGGCAAGGAGCTGGTGCTGGGCAAGAAACCAAAGGCCGAGTGAGCAACGGCACCGACACAGAGACCGACAGTGACGCGACTCCGCCCCGTCACGTCTGCTTGCAGGGTGCTTGTGGAGCTGATCAAAACCATCCGGCCTAACTTCATCCTCAGCGCAATGGAATGGAAGGTATATGCCTAACCACCACGGGGCAGCCCGTTCTCTCGGTGTGTGTTGTCAGGCGTCTGTGCGCAACTTCATCTTGACAATAGTGTTGCACGAGAAGGTGCTGACGGAGCTAACCACGTCCTCTGACCTGGTGGACGAGTTCTGGGAGGTCGTCGTGCAAGTCCTCAGGGTTGGTGACAAAAACACCCGCTCACAGACATATCGGTGGACGAATGATTGCTTGCCAGACGGGAGGCGTGACGGGGCAGTCGTTTGTGTCCAAGACCCTTCAGTCACTGTCCACTCTCGCCGGCAAACGGGCCTCTCAGTCCAGAGACCTCACCATGGTCGAAAGCGTATGCTCCAAACGAGGTCAGTGGGACACGGGAATGATGCGGCGGAGAGGCTCCCTCTTCATGTGCATGTTACCGCTTCAGTGCTCGTGCCTCTTGTGACGCATCTGTCGACCATCCCTGAGAGGGCCGGCAAGCAAGCCAGCGGCGCATCTGCCATGGTGAGCGAGTGACCCCGTACATATGAGCGCGATGTAACACACACGCCTGCACTCATGTGTTTGGCCAGGCGTTTGTCCCCGACGAGATATTGAAACTGCTCCGTTTCGTGCCGACGACGAGGCAGACGGAGATCCTCTCGGACATCCTCGAGAGCCTCCTCACGCAGCCAGGACAGAGCGAGAACACCAGCATCAAGGCCTATTGTGCGCGCATCCTGCTGGTGTATTTCTCGTCTGCTCTCGTGCGGCCCTTCCAAGCCCAGTGGTTCAACAAATCCACAGAAGAGGGCGGCATCGACCTGGCACCGCTGCAAGTAATACCACATGTGTCTCATCCGTGTGTGTCTCGTGTGTGTATGGCCTCGACCCTCCACAGATCTCTGTTCCCGGCGTGGCAAGTCTCCGTATCCGGCTCGAGTCACGGAAGATGGGTGGCGGTCTGTGTCCCCTGGTGTCGACTCAGAGCAAGGAGGCGGCGGTGTCTCAGGAGAAGGCCGAGCATCGGCTGATGAACCTCAATCAGAGCACACCCGACATTTCGTTTGCCGCAGAGTTCCACAACGTGACCACCGGCACCGTGTGGCTCGGTGTGGAGAAGCAGCTGGTGTCGACCAAGGGAGGTGAGGAGTTCTGGGTCAAGATTGTGCCCGCGTTCCTCTTCGAGAAGATCAGTCTCGACGCCGTCAACTCCTTCCTCAAGTCCGGGCACTTCAACAAAATCGTCGGCCTGCTTGTGCAAGGTAGGTGGCCTTTCCAACAATCCGCCGAAGCCACAAACGGCAGCAAAGCATTTGTGACTGTCCAACAGGCAAGGATAATCGGTTCCGCGCGTCATCGTCCGTGCTGTACAGTCTGAGTTGGCTGCACGGCGTCATAGCCAACAGCAACATGACCGAAGAGCTGCCCGAGTTCGACCCTGCTAATGTCGACCTGCTGCCGTTGCTGCGGCTCACACGCACTCTTGTGCAGAAGTGCGCCACGCTGAGGCCCGATGCCAAAGAGTTGGAACTCATGAGGGAGCATCTGTCAATCACTGAGGTACAGAATGGTTGATGATGAGAAGTGATGGCTTCCGTCAAATTCGTTTGTATGTGTCATCGTGTCACCAGAGAACTCTCTATCGCCTGGCCCAGATATCCAAGTTCCGGACAGCCCTTCTTGGCGGAGAGGACTGGGAGAACCTTCCCCTCTTGCTCGAGATCCTGCAGCACCGCCTCACACCCGAATGGATCGCAGCCATGACGCGACTGCTGGCAGTCCTGCAAGACCATGACCCTGCCAGCGTCCCGTCTGTCTTTTCAGCGCTTCTCCTGTACGTCCCCGAGAGGGCAGAACTGATGAGTGCCAACCGTGCCACCGCAGTTGGGCACGTGCTGAATGCCTATGGCCGTCTGTTGGAGGAAGGCCTCATCCCCACGTTTCTCGAAACGTTCCGGCGGGGTGGCTTCACGAGTGTGACGGGATCAGGCCCCATGTCAAGTGCGCTCAGGGGAGCCGTCGACAGCACGAAGCGGTCTGACGTGAGCCACGTTGTAAACATGCTCACGTTCCAGGAGGACACGGCCGTGCGGGCCAGCTGTCTTCGAGTGCTGCGGGCGCTGGGCACACGGAGATACCGCGAGCAGCCGATTCTATCTATCTGCCGCCTGCACAACCTGTCGATGCAAAACGCAGCCGCCAGCTTCGCAGCAGCCAAGAATCAGACGGGCGAGGGACTTCCATCTGCCGGCCTGGCATACCCCCTTCCGTCTGAGTGCCTGGTCATGCCTCCCTTCGCCTACTCTGTGTGGGTCTACCCCGTGCAGCCCATCACCCAGGCCGTCAAGTCGCAGTTCGTCTTTACTCACGTGTCAGACTCGCATGCAACCTGGCCAATCAGCCTCGTCGTGACACCCATCGGCACTCTGGGGGTCCGGATCGGCCCCGAGTCGGCGCCGAGCGGCCGCACAGAGCTGGTGGTTAGGGAACTGCAGTGGTCGCATCTCGTGCTGGTCGTGGAGCGCAAGAAGGCCGTCGCGTACGTCAACGGCATCAAGGCGTGCGAGGCCCACCTAGCAGCGCAGGATGCTCAATCTGACATCTCTTCGACTCAGACCGCACGGACGTCGAGAAGATTAGGGGGCGTGTGCTATGTTGGAGTCCCTCCACCGGATGTGGTGGGTTTCAGCACGGCGAACTGGTTCTTTCCGGGATACGTCTATAGGCTGACATACCATGATGAAGGGCTCGCGGCGCAGGTACACGAAAAACGAAAGAATGCATGACTTCGGGAAGCTTGCCAACATCACTTGTCCTGTCTCTCTCACAGGACGTCGAACAGATCTACGACATGTCAGTAGCCAACACGTCAAGCCTGCCGTCCGCCGAGGAGCTCGAGGCCCTCGAAGGCCATCGCCGCACCCTCACCTTCCCCAGTCATCGATTCCTGCCCAACCCACTCTACTATGTCACATCCAGCGACTCGTGGGACCAGCTCAGCCCAGTCATCAGAGACACGCTAGCGTCGCGAGCTCATTTGACTGACGAAGGGAGAAGCGGCCCCATAGCTGAGCTGCGAAGAGAGGGCGGCGGGCTGTTTGCAACGCTTCTGGACCTCGAGAAGCAGATCAAGCCGTACCAACGCAGCTATGCGGCCAACTTCTCAAGCCTCGTCGGCCCGAGTGTGCTGCGCCTCAAGATCATGCCAGACTCGCCCGAGGACTCGGACTTCACTATCGAGACCAAACTGAGGTGGCGACAATACCTCGCGCAGAACGAGAACGTGCCAGTGCAGACCATCCTTGCGCAATCTGGATCGAAGGGGCGCTTCGACGCGGGCAAGGAGGGAAGACAGTGCCTCTTGACACTGGAGACAGGCCCGATGCCCGCGGATGGCAGCGGCATGCCGGCAGGAGACGGCGAGCGAGGCTGCTGGCAGGTCGTGTTCCGCTACTACGGCTTCGAGCACCGACTGGCCATCCCGCCGATCACTGGTGAGTGGCTGCACATCGTGGTCATGAATGACGGCAGCATATGTAAGCTGGCGGCCGACTGGGACGGCAAGCAGCAAGCCATTTACGAAGGCCAGCACGGCACCAGTGACGTCCGGATGAACATGAACTGCACCATCGGGTGCGACTTTGACATGACGACCGACAAGCCCCTGCACCCCCTCATGTGCGACATGGCCTTCCTTCGCGTCTGGTCTGGGCCAGAGGAGCCCACCAAGTTGGTGGAGTATGGGTTGCCGACGGCAGAGCACCCCTACGTGACAGCCACACTTACGGACGTCGAGTGGTCGCTCGTGCCATTCGTCAAGCGAGACGGAAAGGCCTGTCTCCTACAGCTGTAAGACAGATGTACACAATGCATCTCACATTGTCAACACACGTCTTTGTCTATGTCTATCTCCCTGGCTGCAGTGCACCAAGACGGTATCACCCGCTGAAGGAGGACGACCGCGAGCTCTTTCCTGGCGTTGCTCTAGTGTGCAGCGACGCAGACATCCCCGGCCTCACAGTGTGCCACGCTGACCACTCGACCGACTTTTTCCTCGCATCGTCCGCAACCCGAAGCAGAGCATCGCCTCTCGTGACCGGCGCGAGAGACAAGGGCCTATATATCGGGGCACGAGAGCTGCGCGAGCAAGCCTTCATCCACCAGATCGAGTGCTGCATCCACGACAGCGGCCATCGATACGCCGCTGAGAACATGGTGCAGGACCACCAGCGGGCCAGGAAGCTGCCCGAGTGCTGGATCGGCCTCTATGCTACAGAGGGCGGCAGCATCGACAGCAAGCAGCCCATGTACAAGCTGAACCTCGTCGAGTGCCGCGCGCAGCCCGACCAGAGGCTCACCACACCCGTGCAAGACTCACGCCTGGACGATGAGGCAGGCATCAACTCGACATTCAAGCAGCTGACGCGGCGGGGCTGCACCGTGACGCTCCAGCTGTGTTTCGCCGATCAAACGCTCTGGGTGTCAGCGTTTGTCAACCGGAAAATCGTTCACTCCGCGTACATTCGCCTGAATGCCTTTGCCAGGCCCATCACGGCCGTGGTGCCGGCCGCCTTCGTGTCTGACCGCAGCCACTGCATCCACTTTCTGCCCACCCTCTTCACCAGGCTGTCGATCGGGGCGCTGGAGGTGCGCCTGCCCGACAAGGGCACCACGAGGAAGCTGGCCGCCCATCTGCCGCACTACATGATCCCGGACATCTCTGGCAAGGCGATGCCTCCCAGGCCAGAGACATTCACGTCGGTCTTCACGGTCTACTGTCCTGTCTCGGCCAGCGAGGCCAAATTCTCGCACCACGACACCGACAGAAAGATCTTTCAACGAGTGGCGCTGCAATACGAAAACGCGGCTGAGGGTGGGTGCAGGGGGGTTTTGGAGGTGCTGCGTGAGGGGCTGCGAGTGAGACGAGGGGCAGAGATGCCCGTGACTTTCCCCGAGGATGCCATCGTCCTGGCGGCCCTGTGCAGGAGCCAGAGTGTGTGGCGTCAAGTCAGCCAGGAAGGTGAGTGCATTCGGGGGCCCGTGTGCTTGTCTAAACATTGATGTCACCCGTCTCTTGTCTCCGATGCCCCAGATACCCTGCTGCACGACTGTCTGGCTGAGATGGCGACAGTAGAGCTGAGAGGGTCTATCGAGCAGGTCTTCACCGCTCTCAAGCAGAAGGTGGCCGTCGTGTCGTCCCTGCAGATCCTCATCCGCATACAGCACACCCACCGGAGCCTCGTCGACCAGGGCTACGACCGCATCCTCAGAGACATCTTGCGGGAGGGGCTGGAGGATCTGCGCGACCAGGTGTCTGCCATCACGAGTGTGACCAACAAGATGGCCAATCGCGAGCAGCGCATACAGGGCTGGAGGATCAAACGGATGGCAGCAGAGAGCATGTACCGCCTGCTCAGGTGAGACATGTTGTCGGCATCCAATTTCTGAGTCACTTTCTTGTACGATCCTTGTCCGTGTTTAGATCTACGTCGACGTACCTGAAGCCTCAAGTGACTCCAGGTAGGCAGCCGCACACAAACCAGGGATTCGACATGTCTTGTCGCTGTGTGTGTTGTGATGTCAGTGCTGATGGACGACTTCATGCGTCTGAGCCAGGGAGTGCCCGGCACATCCGTGGACCAGCAGCTCATCCGAGACAGAATCGCAGACTGCAGGGAAATCATCGCGTCAGACCTCAGCCTGGTAGGCTGGGCAGGCACACATGGACCCACGAACAAGTGGAAGCAGAAACACATTCACGTTTTGTCAGTTCATTGAGGCCTTAACGACGGAGCGTCACTTCCAACAGCTGAGTCCCGGCCTGCTGAAGAGCGTCCTCAACACTCTGGTTTTCATGATCGCCTACGATCCCTTCCCCGTCAAGATCGTCGAGTCCGACCATAGCCCATCGAAGCTCAAGGGCCTCAAGACGGGCAAGAACCCATGTGAGGTCAAGGGCGCGTCGCGTCTTGAAGTCACATTCGACAAGGTGACGACCGACAGACGGCGAAAAACCACTCTCACGCCAAGGACGATACACATGATGCGCATCGTCTTTTCAGGGTTTTGAGATTATGCAAGGGTGCGTCAACTTCTATGTGGGCAGCGACCTGGTGGCCAAGTATGGCGCTCAACAGCACGCCACACCCGACTACGTCCTCCGCATCCAAAACGACTCATTCGATTTCGAGTTCATCGAGCGGCCCGACACCACCAGCACGTCTGGCAGGGGGGAAGGCGGCGAGCGGTTGAGTACCGCGGGAGAGTGCAGGGGGTATCGCTTGTTGGTTCGAGCCTTCTACGACTCGGATGACGAGCCGCTGGTGCTCAAGAAGCGGCAGAGCATTCTTGAGAAGAAGGGATTTGTGTCTGCGCTGGTGGGCATGCACTCGGACTTCTCGGGCGGCGGGAGGGACAAGGAGCAGCAAGAGATAGATGAGTCGATCGAGAACATCCTCTCGCACCTCACAAATCTAGGTATGCTTGCACACTCTGAGCGTTTGTCGCGCGGTCCTTTTCACACGCGTGTCTTCTGTGGATATCTGCAGGCCCAGACCCGCCACACACAGCGATTCTTTCCGAGCCCCGCGTGTTCCGACTGATGCAGGGCATCTTGGAGCATCGCCCCGATCTGTCCAAGAGCTCGGCCTCCGGCTCGCGTCAAACCTCTCCCCTGCTGTCCAAGCACGTGTCGGCTGCTCGCCTCTACTACGGCCTGTCCAAGACGGAGGAAGGGCGGGCATTCTTCGCCAATCATCGCAAAGTCCTGGATTTGATCGTCAAGATATCTGCCGAGGCGTCAGACGAGAGCACGGTGGACGATGAGGGCCTGGTGCCCTACCCCCACACGGCGACCTGGTTCGACCGCCCCTACATCATATACACGCTGACCTCTTTCTCAAACAAGCCTTCCACGTGGTTCCTGCCGACCAAGCTGACCTACATCGCCCCCAGCCAGCCCACTGCCCAGCTGCAGTGCGACTTTGGACGGGGCGTGACGGTGTGGACCATGTCGTTTCATTTTTTCTTGTTGGCTGACCTGGGAGAGGAGGCGGGCAAGGGGGGCTCCACGCGATCGTTCATCATCTACAAGGGCACGGGGCCCACAGACGTGCAGATCGCCATCGGCTTTGTGTCGACAGCAGAGTCGGCTGGTACCACCCGCGGCAACCCCCTGTATCTCCACTGGATCACTCAAGTGAGAAGCGGTTGCCCGAGCAGAGAGACAGGCAATCCGCTGCTGCTGTTTGTCCCCTGTTCAGGATCATCCGATTGAGAGGGTCATTCCGGCCGCGTCCATCAGCCTATACGAGTGGAGCCACATCGTTGTATCGCTGGACGACAAGAACCTCACGGTCATGAAGAACGCAGATGTGGTCTTCCGCGAGCGACTGGACGCACCCATCCCCTTGCAAGCATCGTCCATCCCTGATCTTTACCTCGGTGCACTCCTGTCGCCTCACCCGATTTCATGCAAATCCTCTGTTTGATCCATGTAGGTTGCCCCGAGTGGGTTGAGGAGAGCGCCACGGTGCCCCACGGGTGGCTCTACAGTTTCTCGGTCTACTCCAACCAAGCATTCGACCAAGTCAACGCACAGGCAGTCAAGTACAGAGAAGAGAGCGCTGCATGGGCCTCCACACCTGTCCAGCACACGGTGTCGGACCTGCACGGCATCGACGATGTTCCCGACCCCATCCACATGCCGATCGACACCATTAAGGTGTTCGACTGTCGTGACCAAGTGGCCTCAGACGAGGGCATTGCTGTGCTTGTCGACCTGCTGCGAAGTGACCTGGAGACACAAGTGCAGGCGGCCGCCGATGCGCTCAAGAATCTTGCCGATCCCACAGTGGCGTCAGGCATGGCGCGGATAGTGAAGGTGCTGCAGAAGTCTGGCGGGCGCGGGTCTCGAGTGCAGCTGCTGGTGTCGGTGATGGAGAATACAACCAATCCAAAAATCTTCGCTGCCGTAGCTGAGCTGGCAAGCAGCATCCTCAACTGGGAGAATCCGCCGGGAACGCCTGGTCTTGACATCGAAAATAGGGAGCTGCTCATCTCGAAGATCCTGCGGCCGCTGGAGAAAGACAAGGGAATGAAGAGAGCTCGCGAGCCAGTGATTGTCCTGCAGCTCCAGGCGTGTCTCGGCAACCCCCGGAACGCAGACATTCTGGCGCGCGACAACATGGGCACTGTGCCGACATTGTTTGAGTTCCTGCAGTCGGAGAACCCCACGACGGTCGCCAGGACTCTGCAGCTGATGCTCAACATGCTGCAGCACCCTAAGGGCGAGGCCTGGGCCAAGGACATCTGCTCCAGCGCCAACCTCAAAACACTCATGCAGCGAAGGGAGTCGGGGGGCTCGAGAGAGATCAAACAGGGATACGAGCGCCTCCTTAACCGGGTCAGTTAGCTCATTCTGATCGATCGATCGATCGGTGATAGTCATCCATTTGTCTGTTGTCTTTCAGGTGTTGCGGGTGGCAGACTCTGCGACGGTTATGAACACACTGATCAACATGGAGGGCCTCAGCCCCGAAGAGGAGCGCTTCGTTGCCCAAGTCCTCTACTGCTCCCTCGCTGTGGTCGATGCCTCCAAGAACAGCGGTCCCATCGAGGTTCCACCGCCCCAGGAGGCGCGAGAGAGCGTCGACGGCATGGCGCCAGTCAAAGTGCTCACGCTTGCTGGCGCCCCGGGCATCAGCGTGTTTGTGCAGCCGATGGTCAGCATGCGGGCCCTTGGATCGCGAGTGTACCTGCGCGTCTACACCGACTCGCGAGAGCCGGTGGCTAACGATCCCAACGAGGTCTACTTGTGGGTGGCGCCATCTGAATCGGACCTGGAAAGGAGCAAGAACTGCATCATCATACACGTGAGTCATGCCCACAAGATAGCTCTGCAGTATTGTGAAAACGAAGAGAACTGCATGTGTGCAGGCTGTGATGCGTCCACACGACCCCCGTGAGGGCGGCAAGGGTGAACGGTGGTCGACGGGACAGATCCACGTCCGCGACGTCCACTTCAGCGACAAGGTCTACTACCGGCTGCAGTACCTGGGAGGTAGTAGGCTGCAGCAGTACTACGAGCAGCTCGGAGACCGCAGCGGCCAAGACCCAGACTCACCCGACGAGCCGCCACGCCTGCAGCTCATGGCACAGGCACTGGTGAGCCTCAAAATGGACGTCAATGTGGTTGTTCCTGGATTGTGTGTCTCTGTGCTTGGACAACAGGACATGGTGATCAATCTTGAGGCCAGAAGGGCTCAGACAAATTGTCAGGAGGTCTTCAAGGTGCCCTTGGGTTTCCCGCGCAACCGCACGGTGGCGTCGTGGATTCTGCGTCGTCTGGAGGAGATCGAGGATGACATCAGAAAGGAGATGGAGAAGACCAAGAAAGAGGACGAAGAGGAGGAGGGTACGCGCCTCAATCTAGTGTGGATCTGTATAGCACGGCAGAGTACATAATGTCTCCTGTTATTGTCTCTTGATGTATGTCGACGTCAGGGCACGAGGGCATCAAGGAGGGCAAAGAGCAAGAGGAGGAGGCCGAGACAGAGGTCGACGAGTCGGGACTCATCCTTTTCCACCATCGCCTCTTCCGCGCTGCCGGCATGGCCAGGGCTGCCGGCCAGTCACTGGATGTTCTGCGAGACGGAGAAATAGCCGCATCGGGGCAGGACATCGACGCCGAGGCCCGTGTGGAGGAGCAGAAATCGCAGAAATCGACTTTCGCATCGTCCTTCAGCCTTTCTGTGGAGGCCAGAAGAAAGCGAGAGGTGCAGCGGTGGATCGCCCAGTGCCTCACGGCCATCACCAAAGGCAACCCCAGGAAGGTGGCCGAGGACGCCTTCCGCAACCGCGTGCTAAAGCTGATCGACTCGACGGATCCCTTCATCTCACAAGCCATCTGCGAGTGCCTCAACGTCATTCTCTCGACCTCCTCCCAGCAGTCGTCCGTTTTGTCGGACGAGAATGTGCAGAAGCTGTTGGCGAGCATGGCCAAGGCCTTCGAGCAGCCAGACACCGCAGAGCGGTCGCTGCTGTCGATGGCCAACATCCTGCAGCGCTACGTGGAGCACATCTCCGCCGGACAAGTTCGGGTTAGCGAGCTGACGAATGAGAAGGCCTCTGTGCGAATCGTGCGGCCGCTGCTGGAGCTGTTGAACCGATACGGCAAGTCAGCTGTCTTCTCGATCATCCGGCAGGGCATGGCGCACGACATCATCACTGCAGACAGCTTCATGTCCGTCTCAGCTGCCAGAATGGTCAGCAAGCGATCGACAGCGAAGGAATCCGCGGAGACGGAAAAAGCGGCACAGCTAAATTTGATGCTCGCACCAATGGAGAGGGCCGTCAAACACCTCACGTCCAAGACGCATATCGATGCCACCGCGGCGTATGAGGACCTTGAACTGCTGTTCAATGCCGCATCGGTGCTCAAGAACATCTGTCGCACAAGCAGACGAGAGGAACATGCCCAACTGATTCGTTCGGGAATTGTCGGCCGCCTCCTGTTCCTGCTTGACGGGCTGGGACAGGTGATCCCCAGATGCGCCGATCGGCGACATTTCGACTACGTCGTGCCCGACAATCTGAAGACGCGCGAGGGCATCTTCGAGCACCCAACATACATCGTGCTGCCATACACAGCCAACGTGCGCATCTTCCGGGGCGCGTGTGCGGGCGTCTCCAATATCTGTCAGTGCCTGAGCAACCTGCTCAAGACCGACTGCCTGGCACTCATACAGATGCTGTCGCACAACGATGGCGAGGGCATGCAGGCGCTCTACGGCATCCTCCCCGAGGTGAACGTCGATGCCGGCTGCAACGATTTTCAGATCACGTCGCGGCCGACCGGGATTGAAGAGATCCGCCTGATGGTGCAAGCACTCATGGCCATCAGCCGTTGCTGCCTGCGGAAGATCCGAGCGCGAGCGGTGGAGGTGGTGTACCACTGTCTGCACCCTTACGGGCCGAAGGTGCCGCAGTGCCCGGCCAAGGTGCAGGACGTGGTAGAGCCTTGTCACGACTACCGTATCTACTACGGCATGCAGGGCGGCGACCAGGCTAAAGACCATCCCGACCCGATTATCCATCTGCCATCGAGACACGAGCGACACTTCACATTCACCATGTGGACGCGAACCGACAAGCCGTTGAGGACCGTCATCGATGTGGTTTACGACTGTCATTCCACGTCGATGACCAAGCTGGACCTCGACACAGCCATCGAGAAGCACGAAGATAAGGGTCCCATACGGGCAAAACTCAAAGTGCTCAAGAGACAGGACACATACTGGTTCCGATACGAGGAGGAGCGGATCGCCGGATACCTGCAGCTGCGGCGGGAGTGGACGTGGCACGGCAGAGACACACAGGCGGTCAAGCTCCTCACAGGGCACAAGGGATGGACCTTCTTCGCATTCCAAGTCAAGGTCATTGAAAGCCCCATGAAGGGCCGCCCTGACGACGAAAAGACCACAGGTGAACTGAGCCGGAGAAGACGCCATTGATTTAGATGCACCGGTGTGTCTCTGTGTATATATGTTTGTGTCTCAGCGCATCGTGGCGAGCTGGACTTCCAGGACACCCATGCGACCGCCTACCTGAAGTGTTTCTTCTTCGCCCCGCACGCCAGATCATCTGCCACGCAGATGCCCAAGGTTGATGAGTTCGAATTTGGCCACCCCAAATACGAGTACTTCAAGCCTGTCGACACGCGAGCCTGGAAGGCGTCGGCGGCCCTTGAGAGGCGCGACTCACAGATGTCCGACGAGGTGCCTGAGGCGCGGCCCAGCACAATGGTGACTGGCACACTGCCTGGCGTGAGGAGCAGGGGAGAGCTGTCGGCCGAGCGCGCCAAGTCTGGCATGTCGCTGGGCGGGGTCACCTCCGCGACACAACAGAGGATCCAAGAGCTGCAGAGGTATGTAGACACGCTTGGGTGTATATGCATGTTCATCGATCGCTGGCTCTCTCTTCCTCGGTTCTTGTTGGTCGTGCAGCCGCGGTCTCGACTGGCCGACACAACGTGAGCCAATGGAGGTGTTCATGCCCCTCCTCTTCCCCTTCCAGATGGAGAAAGACGCTGTGGCCGGACTGGTCGAGAAGTCCCCTCTCACGGTGAGCGTCCCGGTCTCCTTATGATCGGTTGACGCTTCTGCCTCCTGTTTCTCTGCATGACTTCGATCAGATCCGCATCGGCGAGAAGCGCGAGGAGGTCGTGAAGGCCATCCGCATGCCCGACGTCTTCGTCACCCACGATGTGGTGCAGCTGCTCGCGCCCTTTTGCGAGAAGCACATGAGCACCGACCTCCTCTCGCGGCTTTCGTGTCACTGCCTCTACCTCCTCCTCACAGCATTCGCCCGTCCACAGGGCACCGACGCAGGGGAGCTGCAAGACCGGCCCGAGGCAGCCGAGCTGCAGGAGCGGCTGCGGCAATTCACTTTCCTGCTCGTCCAGTTCCAGCACGTCATCACCAACACGCAGCGGCCGGATGAGCGGCTCGGGGCTCTCAGGATCGTCTGTGACGCACTCTGGAAGCTCTTCACGCGGGCTCAGAACTTTTACAGCGAGCAGGAGCTGGCCAACCGGCAGAAGAACATCGTCAGCGGCCAGGCGGACAACTATTACGACATCCCATTCGTCGAACGGATCATCTCCCTGCTGGCCGAAGTTTGTGTGAGGTAAGCTGGAACACAAAATTACAGAGGACGCCGAAAATCATGTACGCCGAAAATCATTACAGACGGGACGGGAGCGCCATTCGGCCAGTCCAGGATTTCATAGCACAGGAGCTCCTTGTGGTTCACGAGAAAATGGCCATCCAGCGCCGTCCCGAGCCAGAGGCATCACACAACATCTACACGCGGTTTCGACAGCAGCGGCTCAAGGACGCCATCAGCGAGATAGACGACAAGCAGGCCAGCAGAGTTCAGGCCATCCTTATGGTAAGGCAACACAGAGACAGAGACACCTCATTGGTTGATACGTCTTCTGTCTGTCTGTGTGTCCCTTGTCAGAAACTCGTCGGCAGTCTCAGCGAGAGTAGCATCTTCACTCTCATCCGCATCGGCACATCGATCTTCTTCGAGCCCGCAGAACTGAGCGGAGTCGACGCCGAGTTCCATCCGAGGGCCGACGAGAGGAGGATCCTCTGGGCGCACGACCGGTCGCAGCCAGAAAGGGGCAATGGCGGAGGTAGAGCCACATTCGCCACGGGATTCACCAGGAACTTCAGCAGGTACAAGTGGATTCATGGATCCCCCTTTCTTATGTGCAAGTGTGTGTCGCTTTGTTCTGACCTTCATACAGGCTGATGTCCGGCAGCGTGACAGATGAGGACCGGACTGAACGATCAGTGGCCCTCCGCTATCTCTATCACTCGATGCTTCGTTTGCTCGCGGCCATATGTGCGGACCGCAATGAGACCAACTCGCTGCGGCTGCGGCAACTCATCCCCCTGCCGGTGGTGCAGAGCCAGCTCGTGCAGCGGGAGGTGCTGGGCTACGCCGGACACAAGTTCGACTCGCCTGCCAGGATGGCCAGAGAACTCATCTACCAAAAGGTCCAATTGAGGTCTGTCACAATCAAAGTCTCTGCTTGATTTGTTTCTTTGATCAGACCATGTTGGCTCGCTCAGACACCGGTCGACTCAGCCGAGCTCGCAGCCGGGCGTTCTCGCGTGCGTACTCGCAGATCAGTGGGCTGACTAGTCTCGGTGATCAGCTGGAGGGCGAGGGCCCGCGAGACAAGGCCGATCTGTCAGACATGAACGCCGTCTCAGCCAACATGTCGCTGCTGCTCCATGCTTTCCTCAATCAACCGCCTTTTGCTGACCAGTCGCACCGCAGCGTTGTGAAGCGCCAAGTCTATCTCGATGGGAGCAGAGCCGACGACGAGGCAGTGACAGAGGTGGTCACTGGCGGGATGCTGGTGATGAATGGCATGACAATGGAGGACCTGAAGCGACTCTGCTGGATGTGCTCGTGGCAAATGGCGTCGCTGGCCCTGCTGGTCACCGACTTGTGCGACAAGAAGCTGCTCAAGAAGGCGCCCAGGCAGACCTACACCGACACTTTGTTCGGCTACATCCGGGTGCTCGCACAGGTGATGGCCAAGCTGATTGGCCTCGGATTCTTCGAGTGCTTCAAATCTGAGGCGGAGAAGTCGTCGGATGCCGATGAGAAGCGGTCCGCAATGCAGATATACGACATGTCGCACGTCATCGATTTGTTCACGGCCATGCACAAGGTGCAGAGCTGCTGGGACACAGTCATCTCGCCCGAGTCGAAAGCAGCAGTGACGGAAATGTGCCAGCTCATCAGTGTGGTGTGCTCGCTCATCATCAACAACCACATCGACCGATTCATGTTCTCGTTCAACTTCTACGTGCCTCCGAGAGTGCGGGCCAGCTTCCCTCCTCGCGGCCGCAATGTTGCCCTGGAGCGCTTCCAGCAGATGGGCGTCAAGCAGATCGACGAGAAGTGGATGCAGCTGGACCCGATCTTCAGGGAGACGATACAAGAGCTGACCATCACCTCACTGCCGTGGGAGCGACCCGACGCCACCGAAACCGAGTCGAGGCGCAACCTGTCCCAGTTCGTGCTTGCGCTGCTGGATTTCGCTGCAATGGGAGACTCCGCTCTGGCTATTGAGGTGACTCACTCAACGTGCACAAAAGGCATTCTTCTCGTTCACAGTGCCATGATTCCTGTCCTCTTTCAGTCAGTGAAGCTCCTGTCCCATCTGTGTCGGCGCCGGCGTGACTTGATACAGGCGCTAGACGATCTGCAACTGCTGGACACGGGTGATCGGGAGAAGTTCGTCGCTTTGGAGCCCTGGGTCAAGGAGACGGCCGTGGCCATCAGGGGCATCCAGAACGTGGAGCGAGTGCTGGAGAAGGAGAACCAATGGATAGTCCAGGAGAAACTCAAGAGCTACACCGTGCCATCTGAGAGCCTGGTGAGCGGGTGCAACGGATACATGAGTGATCGACACGTCTCGGCCTGAGTGTCTAATGGTCAGGGCGGAGGCGCCTGGCACGAAGAGGACCTTGCTGACGGGGCTGTTGTCCAGGTGGACGAGGAAGGAGCTGCCAGCTACGTGCAGCGCAACCAAACGGTCGTCATCATACTGCGATCGGCACACATGGCCGGCCTGCACGAGGAAATGAACCAGGACTTTCACATCAGAGGTGTCTCGAGGCGGCGAAAAGCGTTCGGTGCTGAGGCGGAGGACGTCAAGTTCTCGACCGATCCCCTCATCCTCGTGGGTGCAGCACCTGGCAGAAAGGTGAATAGTCACACACTCACTCAGTCCACCACATCAGCTCGCATTTCTCTGACGCTACAGACGCACATCGAGGCCACTGCGGGCCAAATTCCTCTTGGCTTCACCGGTGGCGACGAAAGGGGCCACCTGTATGTCAATGGCGCTTTGTGGGAGAGCGGCTTTGGCGGCTTCACGACGGGCAGCTATGTTGGTGTGGAGCTGGACTACAGTGAGGCCACCAACCCCGTCATGTACCTGTATGTCGACGGCCTGAGAGTGGCGGTGATTCCTCGGATCGAGTCGGAGCTCGTGCCTTGCGTGGGTCTGTCTGGAATGGGGCAGTCGGTCAAGATCGCCAGAGGACGGCCCAGAAGGGGAAAGGGACTCTTGCTGACAGGGGAAGACGTGAGCACTGATTTCACAAATTTCAAGAGAATCGATGCGTCTCTTTTCCCCTTGACTACATTTATATGCGTGCAGATGTCTGAGGAGACCTACACTCTTGACTTGGAGTACGATCCCGCCAAGGAGTGTTTCTTCCTCTCATCAACGGGCGCCACGCAGGAGGTGCCTACAGAGGAGGGCGCGGAGGCCCGACGGCTCCTCTATGAGGGATGGAACGCAGGTACACGGAAAGAGACACACATGCACAAAGACAATGTTGTCCTGTGTGCGGCAGCGTATTCAACAACGAGCGGGTCTCGTCGGCAGGAGTGGCTCGACAAGATCAAGGCATTTGGCAAGGGGCCCCGCTTCATGGTCAACCCCCGCAAGAGCCACACCTGGTGCCTCAACGTCATGACCCTGTCGGACGCATTCATCGAGCGGGCCGAAATCACACGAGGCATACAGGCTGCGTCGCGCAAGGCGTCCATGTCGGTCTTCACCGACCGCACGGGACATCTCAGGCGCAAGGTCGTGCGCAACTGGGAGCCTGTCATCCCGGCAAAGGAGGGTGAGACATCAGCACCGGGCGGCGGCAATGTGACCGAGGTGCGCACGGAGGTGTTGCCTGAGTTTGTATACGGCGCCCGGAAGCTCTTCCTGGTCTTCAACGAGCTTGACGCGCACCCCGTGACGCCTGAGACGGACCCGAAGGGTGTGAAGGTGCGGCTGTACCTGACACACATGCTGCCCATCAAGACGGAGAAGGACATGCTCATGAAGCTCTTCGACCACTTCATATCCATCTGCCAGCTGGGCAACGGACACCTGCTCTACTACCACAAAGTGGAGATACTCGCCCTGCAGACTCTCTCCTTCGTCCTCTCCCCCCTGCCGCACTTGCGTGAGTCTATCCTGGACGACCCCAGCAATCAGCATCTTGCCAGCGAGGACCAGCGCACGCCTTTCCACTCTGTCACCCGATTCCTGCGGATCTTCTGCAGCCGCAATCCACAGTATCGTTCGCTGTTCATCCGTCCGGACGTTTTTGAGCTGCTGGTGACCTGCATGGCCAAGGGATCCAACATGGGCGCGCACATCGGCGTCAGCTCCTTGATGGTGGAAATCTTCGAGAAGAACCCCCACGCCAAGGACTTCGTCACCCAGCAGTTCGTCAACCAGATGTTGGACGCCCTCCTGCATAACTTCATGACACGGCCCTCGGTGGTGCTGGACTGCATCCGCGTCCTCAACTCGATCGTCACTACTGAGCGCGACTCCATCAGGAGCAGAGACAACGGCAACATCATCCTCCTAGAACTCCTGAAGCGCAACTCAAGGGAGGCGTCCGATCTGCCATGGCTACCCATCACCATAAACGGGTTCGGCATCGTGTCGTCAGCCCTCAAGGAAGACCAGAACGTCATCGTGAGCCAGCTGAGGCGCCTGGCCAATCTGGAGGAGGCGAGGAAGGCCCTGGCCAAGAGGGGCGAGGAGATCATGTACGAGGAAGAGGCCGACCAACAGAGGCCCCAGCCGCGCCAGAGAAGGGGCGCAGTGCGGTACTCGAGGGCCCCCAGGCCGAGCACCGCCCGATCTGAGTTTGAAGCCAGCGGCACATACGAGCAGGAGGGCACGCTCACCATGGCTGAGGAAGCGTACGACGAGGAAGAGGAGTCTCTGAGCCTCAAGACCGCTCTCAACCTCTCACAACTCTTCGTCACGGCCTTCCAGCTGCAGCTCATCGAGTTGGTGCTGCGTTGCTCCTCCTTCGGACTCAACAAGACCGTCCTCCGCCAAATATCCAACAACATCCACGAGATGCAGGGCGCCCTCGAGCACAAGGGCAAAAAGGGCCGGGCAGATGATGCGGAAGAGGCGCTGCATCTGCTTAGGGCGCGACAGAGGTACTTTGTGCAGATTGTGCTGTGGCTGTCACAAGAGGAGACGGAGAGCGAAGTGCCGCTGGTCGTGCAGGACGCCTACCTTCGAATGGCCATCTTCCTCTTGAAGCCGCACGAGATCGAAGAGGTCCTCGACACATACTGGGAGGACGCCCTCGACAACATCGGACCCACAGAGGTGAGGAAGAGACACACAATTCCGTGAACCTGGGAACAAGCATGCTTCCCGGAACTCTCAGATGGTGCTGCTGCTCCTCCGTTTCTTCGAACGGTACTTCGCGAGTTTCGCCAGCCAAGCACATCTGTTCAGCCCCCGCATATCGACGGTGGTGGAGACGATCGACACGCGCATCTGCTGGGAGCGGTCGCCGTACTTTGTCCGTGACCACATCCTGCTGCTGTTCATCCAGCTGCTGCAGATCTACAACCGGCAGAAGACATGGACGGCTGGCTTCCTGGGGCAGGGGTACATACACAGGGGAGGCAGCATGGAGAGACCGCCCCCACAGACAGCCATCAAGCATAAGTTCAAGTAAGCCAAACAACACATACATGCACAATGCATTCGTGGATCCGGCGACACTGACTGCGGGTGGGCATTTGTTTGCGTGTAGGGCGACGTTCCACGGTGAGGGCTTTTTCGGAACATCACCTGCTGACGTCACGCAGGAAGAGACGGCGCTCATGCTGGCAGAAGGGGCTGCCCTCGTGAGCACTGACCAAGAGACAGATGAACCAGACATCACCCCCTCTCCCGTGTGCTTTCTGTCCAGCCCGAAGAGCAGACGACCGAGGCCAGCACGGGAGCCGGCGGCATCACGCGGCAGGAGACAATGGAGGAGGAGATCCAGTCGGCCGACAACCTGCTACTGGCGGGGCTTTTCAAGAGCCTGCTGGACCAACGCAAGTGGCGGCACGAAGAGTGGGGCATCAAGCAGGAGATGCTCATCGTACTCCGCATGCTCACAAACATGAAACTCACACGCAACCTGGTTGGCATACGAACATCCACCCAACACCTTTCTCTCCTTCGAGCTTGGAACAGCCCTCTTCTCCTTTCATCTGTCAGCCGACGGAGCCCCAGGGCTTCCAGGAGACCACAGAGCTGCGCAACTGCATTGCTGTGCTGGAGGGCCGCAAGCCACCGTCACCCACAGAAAAGGAGGAAGAGATCGAGGAAGTGGCGGGTTCACCCACTGCTGGCCCGCCAGGGGCGCCCAGCTCGGCTGGCGTCGATGACGAGCTGTACACTACCCTTACTCAGCCGCTGCTCACAGGAGGAGGCCCGGATCGTACCCAAGTGGGCATCGGGGGGTCGATTGAGCTGGCGGAGAGACGGGGGCCGATGGCCGTGCCGGACACTGTGGTGCGTGTGGAGGGGGCCGACAGGACACACAGGAGACGGCGAGCCTCAGGGACGGACGCCGGTGGCCCTGGGGCGGAGGAGGACGACTATGCCGACCTGCTGTATGAACTCATGGAGCTGCCCGATCAGGTAGGGACATGGGAGATAGACATGCAGACGAGACATGGCACGATGATCGGCTGTGTGCGTGTGTGCACAGGAGCTGAACGAGCGGCTGAACGTCGATGTGAACTTGTGGCGAAGGCAGCAGCTGGTGCATCCCACGTTCTATCTGGACCACACGGCAGACAAGATATGGAACGTCGAACAAGAGCTCCGCAGGACCCTCTCGAACGTACGCAAATACCACGGCACCAGTAGCCAGATGTTTCTATACATGTGCATGTCCATGCATCGGTCAGGTGAATTTAGAGCTGTGGAACTCTCAGTATCTGCTGATGGAGTTCCGGTGCGAGGTACACATCAACATCGGAGCGTCACGTGCCGTACACGGCATCTCCTCGGCCCTCGTGGCACAGCAATCCGACAGGTGGACAGCGGGGCGTCAGGGGGGGAGCAAGGCGACGACTGTTCCATTGAATTCACGTTCTGTGTGTGGCGTCTGCGTCTAGCCAAGGAGCGGGTCAGCCGACGACGGTTGATGCGATGCCCAGGCAGTATCAGCTGTACTTCGAGATCGAGGCCAACGGAAAAGACACCCTCTACCTCGAGTGCCTCTTGCCATGTAAGCACTCCATTGATCTACTGAACACGGCGCGTCTGCTTCCAATGCGATGTATCCATGTGCGTGTGCAGCCGAGGAGTCTCGGCGCAAGATCCGCCTGCAGCTGCTGGGAGTGTCGAGGCTCACCTTCCGCACCCGGTCACTGCATATGGATGCCGTGACGTCTACAAGCGTGACGGTGGCCAATCCACGGCTGATGGTCCTGTCTGCGCCCAAGGCCTTCGACCCGGCTGTGGTGCGGGCCGTTGTGGAGGAGGGGCGGTCGCACATGTCGACCAACTACAGGGAGGGGTCCAAGCAGGTCATTCACTCGCTGCTCCCGCAGTACATACACATGGCCGTCGACATTATCGAACGAGACACTCTCGGTCCGTGGCCAATCACGCACACAGGCACGTAAAGGGACACGAGCACACAGGTCTCTCTCTGCCTCCTCCTACCAATCAGACTGGAAGCAGCCGCGCTCATCAGGGCGTTTGAGCGTGTCGGAGGACGCTCAGCTGGAAAAAGAGCACCGGGAGGTGGTCAATATGCTCAGCAGGGCCCTCAGCCATGTCATGAAGAACGAGATGCTCAAGCGACTCGACGTCAAGGATGAGGAGCAGCTACGGCTCTCGGCCTCAAAGGACCTCTACCCCGTCTTTGAGATACTGACTGAGAAGGCCAGGCCGGGGACAGACGTCAGTCACCCTACAGCACACACACACAATTATACAACCCTAATGCATGTATCCGATGTCGCCCTTTTGCTGTCTCAGGCGCCGGACCCTGCTCTTCGTGACGTGCCCGCTCTGTTTTGGGACGTGGAGCCCCACCGGCAAGCCGAGACTATGCTTGGCTGGATCCTCCAGATGTGCCACGTGGTGCGTGTGGTGGCGTTCCTCAAGGACGACTCGAGAATCGACTTCAGCAAACAATGGGTATCCGAGCGCACCACAGACATCTTCGCGGCACTCCTGTCGACAGGGGAGGATCGGGCGGCGCGTGCGTCCTGTGTGGCACTCCTCAGCATCCTGCAGGTAATAGAGACGTGCTCATGACATTCACATAGCCTGCTACTGACATCTGTCCAATCAGGAGCTGCTGGCGCGTGATGAAGATGTGGAGCGTCGTTGGCAAGAGTTCAAGTCCCTCGCGCCAGAGCATGACGTCCTGGAGCCGTCGTTCGCCGTGCAGAAGGCCCGCTTCCTCTGCCCCTTTTCGTGTCCTGACGTGGGCCCTTCCTCTGTGCATCTCGCCCACCACCTGCGGATGTTCTTCGAGAAGGCTCAGGTGGACGTCATCGATCCGATTCGCCTGGTGGAGGTGCTGCTGCAGAGTGCAGACACCACACTGCGCTTCGAGTCGTACAAGCTTGGCTGCAAGATCTTGCAGGACGCGCAGCTGAACCTGCAGAATGCCTTTGTGGACGACCCAGACGAGAGAGATCAGCTGCGCAAGTGTTTCCGCTACGAGTTCGAGTCCTTCCCAGACAGGTTCAACGGCACGCAGCACCAGTCCAACACCGAGGTGCTGAGCATCCTCCTGCGGTTCATCCAGCACCTGTGCGAGTTCCACAACAGGGATCTGCAGGAGTTCTTTGCATACCAGCTGGAAGGCTACCAGCTGTCACTGCTGGCCGCTGAGGGTGAGATGCTGCCTGGCCGGCAAACCCATCCGGCGGCTGCTGGTGCCCTCGCGATCGAGGATATCACGGAAAGGGGAGAGGGCAAAGAGCCATCGGCAGCAGAGACGCCAGAGAACCTCGTGCAGTGGAAGTGCGAGACGCTAAAGAGCGTAATCAGCAAGATAGTGGCTGACCAGGAGTGGCAAGTGTCCATGGGCAACCGCAGGGCGCAGTACATCCTCCTCCAACAAATATTTGAAACCGGCACAGAGATGATTCAAGGTCACACACTCTCACACCCCCTCACACACATAATGGGCTGCATCAATGGTGCGTTGCTGTTGTCCATTGATGTTTCAGGCCCTTGCACGCAGAACCAGCGCATCTTCCTTCGCAAGGGCATCTGTCGCGACATCGAAAAGCTGTTCGAGCTCCAGAGGAAAGACGAGGAGGCGTTTCGTAACCTGATGGCGGACAACGAAGACTTGCGCGAGTCCTGGATGGACCTCTGCAAGACCATGCGGCTGATGGAGATCGCCATCCTGCGGTTCCTGTACTCCCTGCTGGAAGAGGATCTCCTTAATGTGGGCGACGACAACTTCCTCGAGAAGCAGCAGAGCATCCTGCAGCACAAGAACGAGACCATCCGGCGAATGGTGGAGGAAATGAACCCCCGCACGATGTGCAGGAAGATCATCACTCATTGGAACCTGAGCTCCGAGGGCGCCGACGACCAGATGAAGGTGCCGCACATCGACGACGCCGCTTTTTTGCCCACCACTGAAGGAGACATAATCCGGCCGAAGACGGAGATAGAATCTAAGGTGACCAGACCGACCAGAACACATCCATCTGTGTCTTGCCCTGACTGGCTGCGGCTCGCTGTTCGTCTTCAGGTGTATCCTCTGGCCGAGCAGGAGGTCCATTCGCTGGAGATCTGCTTCTGGTGCTACTCACTCTTCGACGCCATCTACAACGAGTCCCTCCTGGCCTACAATGTGGAGCTGCCGCGAGAGGTGCTCATGACATTCCACTCGGAGGGCCCGCGGTTCCAGAAGGGCGACTGGGCGGCAGCCAAGGCCAAAATATACGACTTCTTCAAAGAAAGCGTCACCAGGAAGGTACGAGAGCCGTCCGTCGAGTGCGTGTCTCGTGTCTCATCCCTCTTACGTGTGTAGACGCACGCCAAGTACTTGCACTATCTTTTCGGGCGTGTGGAAGTGGTGCGCGGCACACGGCTGCAGCGGCTGTACTTCCTGGTGCCCGAGTCTGTCAGAGCCCTCAAGGACCACTCACTCGTTAAAGCGTGGCAGGAGTCCTTCGTGCAAGAGGTCAAGAGGTCGTCGCCCGAGGAGAAGATCGATGGCTTTTCGGATCGTGTGATGAGCGAGTACATCACATTCGTGGAACACCAATACGAGCTGCTCAAGCGCCCATGGCCCCTCAACAGGGCGGGAGAGGTCATTTCCTTTTCTCTCAATGCCATTATCTTCCTGACCATCCTGATCAACATTTTCCTTATCGCCTTCTACAACAAGGCCTACACCGCCGACGATCCGGAGGCGCAGTGGCACTCCTTCGGGGAAGAGGCGTGGAAGAGCATCCTGTTCAGCACACTGTCCTACAGCCATTTACTGTTCTCGCTCTTGTGGACGCTGTTCTATATCGTTTCCTATAGTGGGTGGACGATGTCGGCGCAGATGCAGCACTGGAAGGCAAACCACCCGAAGCTGTCGTATATACTCACTTACTGGCCGATCCGCTTCGCCCTGAGTCTGTACTTCTTCTTTGCGGACAATGTGCTGCTGTATCGCTTTATATACGTGACCTTCTCGTACCTGGGCTGCCGAGTAAGGTTCTGCCCATTTGCCTATCCGTCGGTCCCCATTTCTCTGATGTCTTGTGTTTCAGGTGAATCCGCTGTTTTTCTCTTTTCACGTGATCGACATCTGTACTCACTTCCAGATCTTGCAGAAGGTCATGGAGGCCGTCATGAGCACCTACACACAGCTCATGGGTCAGTTACTGAGGTGGATGGATGCAGGGGGATGCAGACACACTCCAAGAGCAAATCGTGTGCATGCGTGTGTGTGTGTGTGTGTGTATGCGCCAGGTACGATCTTCCTGGGGTTTTCTGTGTCGTACTGCTTTGTGGTCGTCGGTTTCATGGCATTCGGACATGGATATGACTTCGCCGATAAGGACAATTACGAGTGAGGGAGTGAGAACCGCCACACGGCCCGGCTACTCGTGTCTCTCTGCTTATCTGCTTCTCAGGTGCACGAGTCTGGTTACGTGTCTGAAGGGCCATCTGGACTACGGTTTCCGCTCCGCGCCTTTGTGGCGTGAAAGCCACCAGGACTGGACGACCTTTTTCTTCGACTACTTTTACTATTTGTTCATCATCCTCATCCTGTCGGCCATCATCAGCGGTATCATCATCGACACCTTCGCGGAGAAGCGAAACGAGGCCGCTGCCAAGAGCGACGACATGCTCGGCAAGTGCTTTATCTGCTCGCTTGATAAGACGCTGCTTGAGAGGAAGAGAATACAGGTATGTGGTGCGGTGCCCCACCACCACACCCACACACACAGAGAAAGAGAGAGAGAGAGAGACAACGCAACACACGCCACGCCCCCCCTCTCCCCTCCCTCCCTCCCTCCCTCCCTCTGTGTCTCTCTCTGTCTCTCTCTGTGTGTGTGTGTGTGTGTGTCAGTTTTCCGACCACATATATGAGGACCACTACATGTGGGCGTACGCGCGTTTCCTCCTCTACCTGCACCAGACCAGCGCAGCCGACCTCACCGGCCCAGAGAGCTACATCAAGGAGCAGTGGCACAAGAATGACCGCAGCTTCTTCCCACTTGGCCGCTGCATGGCGCTAGAGGCACGGGAGCTGTCCGAGACGGCCTCGCTCATGGACAGGGCCGTCACTCTGAAGGATTTCGAGGGCTTGCGTGCGAGCATGGGTCGGCTGACCGATGATGAGGAGACGATAAAGCACAAGGTGGATGTGCTGGATGGGAAGATCGGCGAGCTGGCCGGCAGGATGGCCGGCCTCATCAGCGAACAGAAACGAATGATGCAGCAGCAAGGTGGGTTCGTCCGTGAACGGGACACGCCCATGGAGGCGCAGGAGCTTTCTGTGTGCGCATTCGTGTCTCTCTCTCTCTCTCTCTGTGTGTGTGTGTGTGTGTGGATGTGTGTGTGTCTATCAGAGATCATGGACGTCCCTGCTTCTGCACTGGGGCCGAGGGACTCCATCAGATAATGTACCCCCACACCACACCCGCTTGCCTTGCCAGTTTTGGAAGGAAAGCGTTTGTGTGCGTGTCCATTTGTGCGAGCGTCTCCGTGCACTCATCTCATCTGTGCACTGTGTATGTGTTGACTGGACTGTGGGGGTGCGTTTGTCCATTTGTATTGATCAGTTGCCTCGCTGGCCACAGAGCGCGGCTGGTGGAGTGGATTGGGTGAGGGGACGCAGTAATGAATGCATTTATTTATTGTGGCAGTGGGGCGTGACTGTGGACTCATTTCTTTGTGAGTGTGTCCCTGTTCCTTATACGCTCAAAAACACGCACCCATCAATTGCATGGCCTCAACACGCAGAAATAGCAGCATCCGAGCATCGATCTGCAGCGTGAAGAGAAAGACTGCTGGAGAGAGAATCGCCAGCAGCTCTCTCGGTTGCGAAAAACGATTGCCACGTACGTCAATATTATACGGAAAGATCAGTGACACGAAAGCATCTCGTATGTATGTGGCCACAAGAATGCAACAATGTTGCAAAAAACGATTGCGAGACATACAGATAGACTTGACGACATGCAGGCACGCACCATGTCGCTAGCACAGCACCGTCATGTCATCACTCGAAGCTGAAGTGGTCCAGGACGCGCTCCCAGTGGTCGAGGTAGCTCATCCGCACCTCGTAGGGGATGCGGAGGGCGCTCTCAGGGGTGAGCTCCTCTTCGTACAGAGTGGCCTTGCCGCTCGAGCCGTCAAAGTCCACGCCAGTCACGTGCACCCTGAGAAAGGCGACGGTCGTCTCGCCATGCCGATGGCCGTGGAGGATGACGTACCTGGACAATACACAGAGACAAAGATTCAGTCACTCAAGTCCGCCATCCTGGCTCTTGGCATTCCCATCCCAGTACCGGTGAGGTAAACAAGGGACGCGCAGGCCGACGATGCGGGCTGTGGGGCGGAAGTTGTCCAGCTGCCCACGGTCGTGGAGGACGTCGAGGGTGAGGTAGTCGCCGATGTCGATCGGCTGCGTGTTGAGTGCGAGGAATTTGTCATCGACAGCACCGTCGTAGCTGATGGCCTCGTCATGTCGGGGCGACCTCTCGAAGGGGAGGGTGATGGTCATGGCGAAGGCTGTGAATGAGGGGTGGATCGTCATACCCAGACCCGACCGGATGACAGGGTCGTCCACGCTGTACGACGCCTGAAGAGGTGAAAATGAGGATGGATACAGACAGAAAGAAGAACACATAACAAACTCACCTTGAAGGGATGGTCGTCAGGCAGATCGCTGTAGGGGACAATGTGGAATGCCTCCCCGCACAGTCGATAGCTGTCCGCCTGGGTGTCTGCCCCGTAGTCGAGGCTGTCCTCAGAGCCGGCCTCCGACTCGGTCTCCTCACCTTCGTCGACGCCCTCACGCTCACGCTCCTCCTGGGCTGACAGAGAGGGAAGGAAGGAGAACAGAGAAATGTGCTCTCCATCGTATGGCTGGGGGTCGTCTTCACACCTTTTGTCCTGAGCATATCCCGGCGGCCCCTCAGCCTCGTTCTAGTGAATGGGCACACAGGCATACCCACGCGAAGGGGGATGGGTGCGTGTGTTGTGTTGGGTGTGTGTGTGTGTGTGTATATGTGTGTGTGTGTGTGTGTGTGTGTGTACCGCTGCGACGGGTCGAGTTGGATGACCTTAAGGATGTCCCTGAATGCGAGCCGCCACTTGTCCTGCGCCTCGTACGCAGTGCAGCGGCGGTGGTAGGCCTACACACACACCACAGACATGAAGGCCTGAATGCAGCGTACCGTATGTCGTGATCGCTCTAGTCACCTTGACGTATTGCTGATCGTGCTTGATGCTCTTTGTGCAGTCCTTGATCGCTTCGTCGTAGTGGCCCTGCTGCATGTGACACGCACCCCTGACCGACACACAAGACGACACAACACAGTACACAGAGTCTGTCCAGTTGATGTTTTTTCCTCCCTCTTTTCCTCCCTGCACACACACCTGTTGGCGAGTATCATGGCTTTGAGGCCTCGCTGGTCCCGCGGACACACACGCACTGCATCTGCCCAACGGACACACACACACCATACACATGTCTTGGTTCCCACCACCCCCACGCACCCACGCCCCCACCTGAGTAGAGCTTGATGGCGTCGTCGTATCGCCCCTCGCGGTATTGCACATTCCCCGCCTCCTTGAGCCGCTCGCACGCCGCCTTGTCCATCAACACCAGGGTCTGCGGGTGGCCGTTGTTGGACACCAGCTGGCGAATGTCTTGTAGATGCCGATGGCCGGCGGCAGCTGTTTGAAGGCCGTTGTGCTGGGGATGGTGTCCATGATGCCCTGGGGCGGCAGGCGTATCCGTAGCTGCTCCACCACCTCGAAGTTGTTGGCCACCCGGGCGTACGGCGCCATCGACGGCCACACGGCCGCGCCTTCTTCAAACACCCAGGCGCAGCGGGAGAGGTACCCGAAGTAGGTGAGCCCATCGGGCATCACCACATCAGCGTGTGCATCTGTCGGGGCGCTCGCCGGGGGGGCTCCAGCTTCGTCATCACCTTGGCTGCTGTCCTCATCTTGATGCTGCCGCTGGACGTCGAAGAGTCCGTCAGGCCGTGGCGGGTCAGGGATCTCTCGATGCGGCGGAGCATCACCGTGTTGTCGATGAGAGATCCCTCAGTGCCGGAGATGCACCTGAAGGTGAGCATGTCATGGATGGTGCCGAAGCGGCTGCTCCGCCACAGATCCAGGGGCACCTGGTACGACATGATGACGCTTGGAAAGAAATGAGTGGGGAGGTGGGGGGGAGAAACTGTCAGAAGTGCAAGTCGGTCCAGGGTTTAGGGTCTAGGGGTCAGAGGCGCGCAAGGTGCGAGCTTGAAACAGCTCTTCCGGGGCTTTGTGGCGATTTTCTCGCAAGCGACAGCTGTGTGAGGTAGCTCTGGGCGTGAGCTGTCAGGGTGATTGATCGATCTGGGGAAAATGGCGGCCTCAGCGTGGCGAAAGGCGTCTGTTGTGGTGCGTGGGAGAGAATCAAAGGATGGCGATACGGCGTGTGCAGAGCGTGTGTGCTGCTGTTGGTGCGCAGGGCAGCGGTTTTCTGTTCAATTTGACAGCGGGATCCATATACACCTTCGGTAATAAGGGTGGGTGCTAGAAGAGAGGCCAGAGGGGCGACTTGTCTGTGTGTGTGTGTGTGTGGTATCCAATTCATGTTTGTTCTGTCAGCGAACATGAATGTCTACATCTGTTCCTACCTCAGGAAGGTGAGGCAGCCAGCCAGTCCACACACACACGCACACACACACACACATGCATAGCCGCCCACCCCACCCTTGTAGGCGTGCCGCATGTCCATCCGGACAAAGGACACGGGGATGATATACGCATCAGGTCAGGCAGACAGACAGACAGACAGGCAGACAGACAGGCAGACAGACAGGCATGTTCGTGAAGCGGTGTGCCCACCACCATACTGTCTGCACACGTGTTCCCATGTGTGTGTGTGTGTGTGTGTGTGTACAGGTTGGCGCAACGGCCCAGATATGGGGCGACTCGGGGATAGACAGCGACCTAGTGCGGAGCAAAGATCTCTCGCTCTGCTACGCATTGGGTAGATGTAGACTCATTGATTGATGCACACACACACACGCACCTGTGGTCACCCATGCCCTCAGCTGTGGTGGGCATTGGCCTGAGCGTCTTCATCGGCGGCCAGCTGGAGAGAAGAGTCGGGCCCAGGTCACACAGACAGCACACACACACAGAGGATCCACACACGCAGCCCGTGTGTGAGGTGGTGTGGTGTGGTGTGGTGTGATGTGTGTGCAGGGTGGGTGCTCTGGTCGGCGGGTGGCTGATGTCCCTGGGTGTGGCGCTGTCTGCCCTGACCATACAGCACTCGTACACCATGTTCCTGTTCACCTATGGCGTACGTCAGCCCGCTGCGAGGAGGGAAGACGCCACGCCCACACACACGCAGATGTGTGTGTGTGTGTAGATCATGTTTGGTGTGGCCAGTGGCCTGGCGTACCCCTGCCCACTCAGCTGTGCGTTCAAGTGGATGCCTGGTACACACACTCACTCGCGCCACGCGGCAGCCGACATATTTGTGCGCGAGCATGTCGGCGCGTGTGGGTGTGTGTGCAGAGCAGAGGGGCCTGGCAGGTGGACTGATTCTCGCCGGCACTGGCCTGTCGCCGCTCATATTCGGGCCGCTGCAGGTCAGTGAGTGAATGCTCCACACACGCACTTGTGGTGTGTGGGCATGACCAGACGATCTTTGTGAATCCGCACAACAAGCCGCCCACTTCTGTGCCGTACCCAGACCAACCTGAGGGTACGCTGCACTTCTGCGCAGTAAATATGATCTCTCTCTCTCTCTCCGTGTGTGTGTGTGCGTGTGTGCAGAAAAGTACTATGAGGACAGCGAAATAGTCGATCGTGTGCCGCTGCTCCTGCTCCACCTGGCCGCCATATACGCAACGGTACGATCCGTTCCACTCACGAAGGTTTGTATGATGTGTCTTTGTCTGTTATATACACACACAGATCCAGTTCATAGCGGCGATGAACTTTGTCAGCCCACCGGAGACACTGCCACCCCCGATGCCGCACAGAGGACCACCACGGGTAGGGTACCCATTCACACACACACACACACACACACAGAGAGAGAGAGAGAGAGATGCATACACATGTTTCCACGGTGTGCTGCATGTCATGTGCAGACGGTGCCGGAGCCAGCAAAGAGGTAAGATGACAGCGACACAGCACCCGATGGGTGTACTGACAGGCACAGACACTCATCTCATCTGTGAGTGGTCGTGTCGTGTTGTCGGTTCGTGTCGTGTGCAGCAGCCCTTTGGTGCAGATATCTCCCGTGTCGATGGTGCAGTCACTGTCCTTCTGGACGCTCTGGCTGCTCTTCTTCTTCAACGGGCAGATCGTGTCCTTCCTCACCACCTTCTGGAAGGTATATGCATGCATAGATAGCTACCCGCCCGTTGGATGGATGTGTGGTGCGCGTGTTGTGTTGTGTGTGTGTTGTGTGTAGGTGGTGGGATATCGGCACCTTGGCCTGAGCGATCAGGCACTGGCCTATATCGGTGAGTAGGTCGGTGGCTGAAACACACTTAAGGCCTCTCTCTCTCTCTCTCTGCGTGTGTGTGTGTGTGTGTGTGTCGTGTGTCAACCAACAGGCAACAGTGTGGTGGCGATGTCGAGTGCGGCTGGGCGGATTCTGTGGGGCATGGCCAGCGATGCATTCACATTCAAACGATGCATGGTGGGGGTGGGGTGGGGGAGGAAAGGCGTGGCGTGCACTGCATCGTCCACTTTGCCTGCCTGTCTGTGTGTGGGCGGGGCGGGAATGGGTGTGGGTGTTGTGTCGTCAGATCTACATAACGCTCCTGACGGGCTTCTTCGCCTTCACTCTCACCACGGCCGCAGAGTAAGCACGCACACTACAGACAGCCATGCCATGCACACCTTAAGCATAGCGTGACTGCAATCACTGCACAGGTACGGGCCTCCTGCGTTTTTTGCGTGGCTGGCGGTGCTGTACTCGTGCATCGGGGGCAGCTTCTCAATGTTCCCTGCCGTAAGGACGTCAGAGGAGAACCCATCCCATCCCATCCCTATGATGTGTGTGTGTGTGACTCTGTGTGTGTGCCCTGCGTGCCTCGTGTGTGTGTGTGTGTGTAGGTCACGGCCAAGACATTCGGACAGACATACTTCGGGACCAACTACGGTAGGGACACGGTCACACAGACAGACACACACACACAAATGAGAATGTGTGTGTGTGTGTGTGTGCAGGTGTGATGTACACTGCCCGCGTGGCCAGCGCGGTCAGCCAGGCGATTGTACTCGGCCAAATCTATCACAAGGTGGGCAGCCAGAGGGTGTGCAAGAGAACCACACAGTGTCGTGTGTGTGTGCAGATCGGTGATGAGGGCGTGATGCCCATCCTGGCTGCCTGCAGCTGCATCAGCCTCATGCTCACGCTGCTCTTCGACCCACACGCAGCCATAGAGGCATGCACTGCACCGACTCACACCACGCACCCCGCACAGCACATGTCAGCCTCCCTCGGTGTGTGTGTGTCTGTGTGAATCAGTATCACGACAAGGCCTTCCGGCAGTCGGCCGAGGCCGCCAGGCGGTATCTATCGGACGCGGCACACTGCACCAGCAGGGACAGAGAAAGAGACAGGGCCAGATGATGCATGTCGTGCATGGGTGGAGACATAGGCAGTCAGCTGCTGTACACAGGCATGTACGTATGTCAGCCTGCAAAAGGCGATAGGCGATTTGATTTGGCACCCGATGGGCACTTTTCTGATGGATGGATGGATGGATGGATGGGCCTCTGGGCGTTCGCTCTTGACATATACCGACCGACATTTGCTCAGTGTCTAGTCCGCGCCTATCAGGTGGCCCTCAGTCAAATGGACAATACCAAACAGTGGGGGGAAAGTCCCTTGCTCCCTTAGTTCATATGTAACGCAATTATCGTCATCCCATGCAGTGCGGCACCCATCATCAGCAAGGCGTCCACCCCACCTGCCCGTCTGCCTTTCGTTCTCTCTGCCGCTCGGGACGGGCAGCGAGCTACAAGTTAGTTATGTCTGCTGCGACCTCCCCCAGATGATGATGAACAGCGTGACGGCCCCGTAGAAGAACAGACTGCCGAACAGCAGCGCCTGACACACGTCGGCGAAGAACTCCCGAGGGTAGAGAGCCGACAGCTCACGCTCGAACTCACGCACACTGACACTCACACAGATCGACACAGAAGCATGTGTGTGTGTGTGTGGATGCGTGGAGGTACCCGCTGTAGACAGAGAAGAAGTTTCTGAGGACGTCATCTCTGTCTGTGTCTGCGCCCTGGCCTTGCCGCAGCGGCACCTCGAGGCCCGTCAGCCAACCCACCAGCTGGTGCAACCGGCCTGAACACACACACACACACAACACACACAGGTCCACACCCCTTCACCGGCAGACGGCAGAGCGACAGACAGACGTACCTCCTCTGGGCGGTGCTTGGAAGTCTCTTGTTGGTGTCTTGGTTGAGTAGAGGGCCATCAGCCGCCGGTGGCCCTCTGCAGACTGAGATGACGACCCGATTTGCTGGTCATCCTCACACAGCACTGACAGACACACACACTGTGTGTGGACAAACACACGTACGTCTTAGTGTGGGCGTGTGTGTCTGTGGTGTGGGCGGGTACGGTCTTCGATGAGCGTCCGTCGTCTGCACATTCGTTTCTCCTCCATCCGCTGCGCCGTCTCGGTGTTCCGATGCACCGCACACAAACTCTGCACACACACACACACGTGCATTTGTGTGTGTCTGTCTGTGTGGCCATACACACATACACACACACATACTTCGAGGTCGATCGGCTTTGTGAGGTGTGGGAGTGCGTGTGTGGACAGCCGAGAGAGCGGCCGCGAGAGGTCGCAGGCCTCCCACACTGTGTTGGTGGCCGCCACACAGGTGAGCAGCAGGAGGATGAACGGGATGAAGGCCTGCTCCACCACACGGAAGTGCAGCAGCTGCAGCGAGTTCCTCTTCTGCACACACACACACACACACACTATCTGGAGGCGTGTGTGTGTGTGTGTGTGCCTATAGGGACCTCCGCTTCCTGTGCCGGATTGGCGAGGCTGGCTGCCGTGGTGCTGTTGTTGGCTGCACACACGGACGGGCACACACACGCACAGACGGATGGATGAGCAACAACGAAGGTGTGGATGCGTGTGTGTGTGGGGGGGGGGAGGGGGAGGTTGCGTACTTCGGATGGGGTTGTCGTTCTCCTCGAGGATGCCCTTGTCTTCGAGATACTTGAGCAGCCACAACTGATTAAAATGTGACACACACGCACAAAGGGACAATGACAGTCCCGCAGGCAGGGAATGAGAGACACAGAGAGGGAGAGAGCTCCCCCACTCCCCCAACCCACCTGCACCAGGGCAGGCGTGTGGCTCAGCTTGCACACCACCTGTATGGCATCACATGCATCACACAGTCAATACGATTCAGTCAGTCGCCCAGTCAGTCGCCCACACCCACACCCACACACTGAAGTGTGTGTGCCCTGCCCTACCAGCAGGACGACGAGCGACAGGCGAGCCAGCTCGAAGCCACAGCCGCCCATCCACCCCTGCCCCACAATGATGTCCCGTGCCATGGGTTTGACCCACATGAGAGGGCAGAGCAGCGGCAGCGTGTACGACAGCCACGTACACATGCTCGACGGGGAACGCGAGTCGACACTGCAGCCAGCCAGAATGTCAGGATGGACAGAGAGATCCACACTGCTGATCTGATGCTTACGCGTGTGTGGGTGGGAGGGGGTGGGGTGTGTGTGTGTGCTGTGCTGTGCTTACAGGTCCGCCACTTCTCGCTGGCAGAGGCCTCTCATCTGCAATACACAATGAGTGCACAAACGCGTCACAGACAGGTATACAGGCTGGCCAACAGACACAGGTGTGCGTCAGGTGTGTGAGAGATGGTGCCTGTGAGTACCGACCGGGTCGGCATGGTAGAGCTCCAGCAACGTTGTCTCATAGTAGGCGTTGAAGGCCGCCGCCTGCACACACATACACACACCCACACACACAGATGGTGCGAGCACATCAACGAACCTGTCGCCAGAAATGCACGCACACAACGAGCGTATCTATTTTACCACGGCAAAGACGACCAGGAATGATGAGATGAAGATGAGCAGCATCTCGCCCTGCAGCAGCCACACCCCCAATGTCACCGACCTGACATCCATCCACATAGCATTACGATAGATGACACATACATTTGGATATATGCGCCCGTCCATCCATCCATCCGTCCATCCATCCGTCCATCCATCCACTCGTACGTGCCGAGGTTGAAGGGCCGCATGGTCGCCACCCAGCGGTTCTTGAGCTCCTGAATCCCTACGCCCATCCATCCCACACGCACACACATTCAAATGTGATCCACACGCACACACTCCTTCCTACTCATGGGTGCGGTGCGTACCAGGTTGAATGGTGTAGTCGAACCATGGGCTGAGCTGTGGCTCCTGCTCGACGCCCACCAGGATGGCCCAGCAGAACAGCGAAGCCATCAACGTGCACCTTCACACACGCACACACACACAGAGATGCACACACACAGGCGTGGGAGGGATGGTTCGTCGTTAGTTACAAAATGAGCAGGAAGCAGAAGAGGTAGGTCCGCTTGAGCTTCTGCATCGTCACCCAGCTCAGGTGAGACCTGCAGTCAGTGAGTACACACAAACCGCCCGTGTGGTGTGGTGTGTGTGGTGTGTGTGGTGTGTGTGGTGTGTGTGGTGTGTGTGGTGTGTGGTGTGTGTGTGGGTGTGGTGTGGCTTGCTTACAGTGCGATGAGGATTGCGGTGAATGAGTGCATCGGCACGAACCACGAGTGCGTCCTGATCGATCCAATGCCACAGACAGACAAACGTACGTGTCCTCTGGCTGACTGACCTGTGCCCCTGGACGGCCCACTTGACAAACATGATCACCGACGCCATGACCGAAGTGCTCACCTGCGGGGGCAACACACGAATGAATGCATGAGCCCGCCCACTGCACACCACACTGTCAGTCATTACTACCGACCAGTATGAGAGTCGTGTTGAAGTGCGTCCTCAGGGAGGTCCAGGGGAAGTGCGACAAGTCGTAGCCGTAGCACTCGTAGACCTACACACGACACACACACGCACGCATTGCAATGCAAGCAGATGCATCTCAGCCAAGCCATGAATTGAATGGATGTGTGTCCTTAATTGCTGACCTTTGCGAGCTTCATTCGGTCCCACCCCTCGTCGGCCGCACTGACAGTCTCGAAGGTGCGCGACGGCTCCAGCGGACGATTCTGCGGCTGCTGACGGGCCGCACGGGACCTGCTCATGAACACACGCCGAGGAATGTTCGTGTCAGTCGGGGTGGGGTGTGTGTGTGTCCGCCCATAGGCACCTACCTTCTCTTCTCGTTCAAGTGTATGTTGGCCATCCTCTTGTGCGTGAAGGCAGCGCACGGCGCGTGCCACAGACTGATCGGCCGATGGACCGACCAGTACGCCCAGACAGACAGACAGACAATCCTTTCTTCATCCACTCATTCATGGGATGGCTGTCCCAGCCGCCTTCCCACTTACTTACCCGAGGATGAACATATCTCCCATGTTAGCGAATTTGCTGAGCGCCATGCCCAGCAGGAAGGGGAAGGTCCACAGGTCGATAGGGAACACATCGCGAAATATGTGCGGGAACCGGAAGGAGGACGAACTTGAGCCCGCCATCACCTCACGCACCGCACCTACGGAGTGATGCGATGAGCGATGCTCTCTCACTCAGCGGCCTCCTGCACACCATACAGAGAGAAACAAATCAATCTGCATGTGATCCATTGGTGTGCGGATCTGGTTACTTGTAATCGACTCTTCTCGCAGATTTCACACAGGGCGAATGCAGCGCGGCATTCGTCCCTTCCCCAGAGCTCGCAGATGCAATGGCTCGCTGGGGCGTCAAAAGCTGAATCTCCAGCGACGATGAGAGCCTGAGAGTGTCGTCCGGCAGGCGGCCGAGGCGAATTAGCGGTAGCAGCAGCAGCAGGGGGCCATAAGTGAGAGCGGCGCTCTCTGGGCACTTTGGGCGTCGATTAGGGGCAGCCTGGCGCGGCCACTATGGCACAGGTGAGTCGAGGACGCAAAGACAGGCACGAATCATGGCTGTCTGTCTGTTTGTTGCCTCGTTTGACTTTTGGTGTCTTGTGCTGTGGCTGTGTGTGCGCGTGTGGATCAGTATGGGAAGAAGGAGTATTGGGACGAGCGGTATACCAAGTAAGCAAATGGGAAAACGGATGCTCACGTGGACAAAGGAGTGCGTCGGCGTACATGCCGCTCATGGGCTCTCTCTGCGTGTGTGGATGATATGTGTGTGTCAGGGATCCCGATGCGTTTGATTGGTACCAGCGGTATCCGGCGTTGAAGGAGATCCTGGGCGACCTGGTGCAGGTCTCGCACAAGATACTCAACGTCGGATGCGGCAACTCAAGTACGCACAACACACACAAGGACCAGAACGACACACAGAGAGAGGGAGGGTGGGTGTGTATTCCTGGACGTGACTGACGTATCAGGGTTGTCTGAGGACATGTATGAGGACGGGTACCACAGTATAGAGAACGTTGACATATCGAGCATCGTCATCAAGGGCATGCAGGAGAAACACGCAGACAAACCCGGAATGGCATGTAAGACAGAAGACCGTCGGGGACACAGCCCAGCCCACCCAACGCTCTGTGTGTCCGTGTGTGTGTTTCGGTGTGTGTGCTGGTCGGTCGGTGTCTGTCAGTTCGTCAGATGAATGTGTTGGACATGAAGGAGTTTTCTGACGGCCAGTTCGACACGGTTATCGATAAGGGCACCATGGACAGCATTCTGGTACGGCGGTGCCTGCAGAGAGAGCATGGCGTCAAAGCAATGCATGGGGGGCAGAGCAGAGAGCACCTGGGCTGAGGCGAGCAGACAGAGGCGTCGGTCGCCGGACTGGATGTCTGTCTGCTGTCTTGCGTCCATCAGTGCGGGCAGGATTCGACGCGCAACGTGCAGACGATGCTCAAGGAGATATTTCGAGTGCTCAAGTAAGTAACCAACCAGGTGGAGCAGACGCACGAATGGGCTGTGCGTGTGTGATGATTGCTCACATGTGTCAGGCCAAGTGGTCAGTACGTCTGCGTCACGTATGGGCAGCCATCGTACCGGATGACGTACCTGCAGGTGGGGGTGTGTGTGTTACATTGATTTAATTGCTTCTGGGATGCATGTGTGTGTGGGTTTCTGTCTGTCTTGCGTGGCGTGCAGCGTCCCGAGTTGGGGTGGAAGGTTGACATCAAGACGGTGCAGAAACAGACCATGGCCGTCTCAGGTGCGGGGCGGTGCGTGCGAGGCTGTGGCCGGGGCCCCCCCCACACACACATCACATCAGTCAGTGTCTTGTGTTCTGTTTGCCCTGTCTGTCCTCTGTGCTGTGTGTATCACACAGCCAACATCCAGGCAGACGAGAAGGACAACGTCCACTACATCTACGTCTGCACAAAGGTCGGTCGGCGTGTAAACCAGACAGACAGACAGACAGACCAACAGACAGACCAACAGACAGACGGACGGACAGGCTGCTCTGCTCTGCGTGTGCCTTTGTGGATGGCTGGATTGGATGAGTGCAGACGGCAGAGGGTGAGCACAAGATCCCGATGGACTCGGAGAACAGCCCCACAGAAGAGGTCGTCGCGTGATCTGATCTGATCGGGCTGGGCTGGCTGGTCGGACCGACTGACTACCCAGCCCAAGACACTGACATACGAGTGCATGCGAAGCGAATGCACACCTAGTGTGGTACACCTCTCTCTATGCTCATATATGTGGTGGATCGATCTGATGTGTGTGGTGTGCAACACGAGATGAGATGGAATGACTGACACGGGGTGGACGACATGCATGCCGGCTGGCCGGCCCTTTCCCCCTCCCCTCACAGAGAGAACAGAGGCAGGCCAGGTGTGTGTGTTGATATGCTTGATGGTGACCAACGACAGACAGATCGACGTACGAGTACTTAGTAGTCTTCGTAAAGGGAAGGACGGACGGCCGGATGCATGGTGAATTCGATCGACATGAGTGCTTGCTTGTCTGCGGGGGCAGGGTGTGTGGGGGTTGACCTACTCCGCTGCTTGCTGCTTGCTGGTCTGGTTGTGCGCCTGCGTGGGCTTCCTTCCTTGTGTGACCGACGTTTCAATGCAATGCCCCCATCTATTCTATGAGTGTGTGTGTGATGTGTAAAGCCCTTGGTTGTTTGTTCGTTCCCTTCCCCACCGACCACAACGTGCAGTGCAATGCATCAATGCATCATTGGAGTGTATGAGCAACAGGGAGGGATACACTCACACAGAAATGAGTCCACAGTCACCGATCAAGCGTGTGCCAATGAAAATGGTTAACGAACGTGTCATTCGTCCATCGATGCATCCATCCATTCAGTCATTCATTCAGTCAATCCGCCCTTCCCGCCTCTCAATCCTCAGTGTGCATCTCTCTCTTGCGCCGTGTTTGTCGTGTCGGCCGCACTCACCTCACTCACTGTCAGACAGTCACTCGAATGAGTCGCTGATGTATTCTCTGATGTCTTGCGTCTCGTGTGCGGGATCGTCGTATGTGATGCCTTCCACATTGAGGCCAGATGGGGGCCCGATCGGCAGCACTCCGCCACCTCTCACACGCAGCGACGGGTTGCTCTTGTACAGCAGCGCACGCTCCTTGTCCTGCATGATGCTCGAACCCAACACAGTGCCAGTCGTCAACTGCACACACACACATACACAGTGACAGACAAGGATAGAGGGAGATGGTGTGCGTGTCTGTCTGTCGTCTCTCTCTGTTAGGTACCTCTGACGGCGGCTGCGGTGGGATCACGGGGCCGTTCTGGGCGATCTGCTGCATCTGGAGCATCTCCCGCAGTGCGAGTCAGCTCCTCTATCTCTGGCCAACGACACACACACAGGAGGAGAAAGTGTGTTCGTGTCTCTTGTCAGTCAGTGTGTCAGCCGTCCATCCATCACGCTGTTTCTGGCTGTCGATGAGGAATTGAATGTTGCGCCGCCAAGACCCTGATCGAACAGAGACAGAGAAAGTGAGTGGACTGGCCTGTATGTGTGTTTGTCCACTCACTGAGTGATTGAGTGGTTGACTGACTGACCGAGTCGTGATGTTTGCTTTCGCAGCTCTCTGTTGAATTTGATTGCGCTCTCCCGTCTGTTTCTCCTGTCGCGCACGTCGCGGATCTGCCGATCGTAGTCGACATTGAGCACGGGGAACTCTCCTGAGAGGGACGCACAGATATATACCCTTCTCTCTCTGTCTGTCTGTGTATGTGTCTGTGTCTCCCACCGTCGTCCATGTCCTTGCCTGCAATGCATTGCCATGCCACCACACACGACGTGACTGACTGTGTGTGTGTCTATGTGAGAGTGAGTGTCTCTGTCTCCCTCTCATTCTGCTCACCCAGCCACGGCCGGTACATGAGTCCGCGGCCGCCATTCACCGGATCAACCATCGGCGCCTGCAAACCAATGGACGCCACACATCGATTCGATTGGTTCGCTCTTTCATGTCAGTGGCTTGCTTACAGGCCGCAGAGAATTCGGCGGGAAGTTCTCGTCTTCTCTTCTCTCTGGGTTCACGCCATCGGCTCGAGAGCCAACGACAGCCAAGGCCAGCAGAACCGTAACGACACACACACACGCACGCGTCATGACGGATGTGTTGGTCACTTGTGTTCTTTCGTTCGGCCTTTGCTTCTCAAGGCGCCTGATCGATCGATCGACCAACTAATGTGTCGCCTTCTTTGTATCGATCATACAAACACAGACATACAGACATACAAAAAGATGGGCGGATACTGTCAGTGTATCTGTGCAGTGCACGCATCGATGTCACAATGGTTTCCCGTCGGATTCTCCCAGCAGACATCAATTGACACCTCCAACCCATTCATTGATACATACAGAAAAAACACAAGTCGTCATTGTTTTCACACACACACCCGCACATCGGTGCAATGTAACACACGCGTGCACACACACACACACACACACACATAGCGTGCACAGCAGAGAAAGAAAGGAAACATCCCGCCCGCAAGCTCCCCAATCTCCCTCCCTCCCTCCCTCCCTCCCTGTGTGTCGATCGAGCTAGAACCAGCAGAACTTGTCTCTGTTCTTCTTGACCCGTTTGTCGAGCAGCTCCTCGGCCGTCAGCTCCCTGTCCATCTTCTCCTTGATGGTCTTGTAGCCCATGCCCGCCTTCTCGCGGTAGGTGAGGATGCTCTTGGTCTTCTTGAGCTTCTTCTCCAGCCGCTTCGATATCTCGTCCTTGAGCATCGCGTCTGACAGCCCCTCGCCATCGGCCACCGCCGCCTCCCCCTCCCTCTCGGCCAGCGACCGCTCCGCCGCACGCTTGATCTTGATGCTGTCCTTCTTGATGTGGTAGGCCGTGGTCGACAGCAGGTCGGAACTGAACTTGTCATGGAGAGTGAGGCTGCGCTGGCCCAGCACGCCCACGACAATGCGATCCTCCACCTCGAGCGATGTCGGGTGGTGCACCAGGATCTTGTCGCCGAGCTCCACCTCCTCTTTGAATTTTGTCTCGAAGCCGTTGACCGTCATGCCGGAAGTGACCAGGCGGCCGCTGCCCTCCTCCACGGGAACCTCCTCGTCCTCGTCGTCGTCTTGGTCCTCTGCCGCTGCCCTGCTGGACTCCTGCTCGGCAGCCTGCTCCTCCCTCTTCCTCTTCTTCTTGGACTTCTTGAGCACGTCGCCCTTCAGCTTCAGCTTGCCGCCGACGGCACTGCCATACTCAGCCATGACGAGAACCGGTCTACAAGGCCAGGGTGCCGCCGATGGAAGGCTTAGGGTTTGGATTGAAACCTTTTGCGAGCTGGACAGAGCTGGGAGGACGTGTGTGCCACGATGGTAAGGAGAGATAGAGGTGAATCCAGTCAGTGTAGCCAGGAAAGCTCGAGAGAAGCGAGAAGCGCTTTTCTGAGGCAGGGTGGTAGATCAGGCGGGGGGATGGCACGATCTGCGTGTGCCTTGCCGCTGGCGCACAGCTGTCGCGGAAGGGATCTGTGCACTCTGCGTGTCTGCTGCATCTCACCTCTCTGTGTGACTGGTGTGACCTGCGTGTGTTGGGTGCAGGTGAAGGGCAAGCCCACGACCAGCTCCAAGGGCAAGAAGGCCCCCCCGCCCGACCCCTTGGCGGAGAAGCGCCCAAAGAAGACTGTAAGCAACCACTCTCACATGTGGCGCACACACGAGTCTCATCTGAGCGTCGGTGTGTTCTGTGTGTCTATGTGCGTGCAGTCGAAGGATCCGATCTTTGAGGCCAACAAGCGCAGCTTCCGTCTTGGTGGTGACATCCTGCCCAAGCGAGACCTCAGCCGGTGAGCGAAGACACTGGCAGGGTGTGGTACGGAGGAGAGGTTTGGTGTCCCTGTGTGTTGGTTGTATGTGTGTGTGTGTGCATCGATCAGTTACGTCAAGTGGCCGCACTACATCAAGTTGCAGCGTCAGCGTCGCATTCTGCTGGCGCGCCTCAAGGTGCCCCCCGCACTCAACCAGTTCAACAACACATGCTCAAAGGAAATGGTATGTGCGTCCCGGCGGTCGACACACACACACACACCATTACACCAGTCAGCCACTCGATGACCGTCGAGCACGCTTCTGTGTGTCCCTGTCCTCGATGCAACTGTCAGGCTGGCCGCGTGTTAGCTCTGTTCAACAAGTACAAGCCGGAGACCCACGCTGAGCGACGGCAGCGGTGAGGGACCACACTGAGTGACGCACTCGTGACGACCAGCTGTGCACATCTCCTCCTCGCCATCTGTGCGTGTGTTTGGGTGTTGGTGGGTGCAGTATGCAGCGTGAGGCTCAGCAGCAGGCGGAGGGCGGCGACGTGACCATGGGGAGCAGGAAGCCCTACCTCATCAAGTTCGGCCTCAACCACATCACCGACCTCGTCGAAAACAAGATCGCGAAGCTCGTTGTCATCGCTCACGACGTCGACCCCATCGAACTGGTTGGCATGCAAACACACACACACACACCTCTGCAGAGAATCCTCCATCACTTCGTATGCCTGTTTGTTTCTGTCCACTTGTGTGCAGGTCGTGTGGCTGCCTGCGCTGTGCCGTCGCAAGGACGTGCCGTACTGCATCATCAAGGGCAAGTCCCGGCTGGGCCAGCTGGTGCACCAGAAGACGGCTGCCGCCGTGGCGCTGTCGGAGGTGCGCAAGGAGGACACGGCGGCGATGGAGCAGCTGCGCAACGAGTGCCGCATCATGTTCAACGACAACACCAAGGTGCAGCGTGAGGGCAGCAAGGGCAGCAGGGGCGTCAAGAGCCAGCACATCCAGGACCGCAGGGAGCGACTCGCCAAGCAGGAGGAGGAAAAGAAACTCAAGACACGCATCTGAAGGACCACGCAGATGGAGGGATGGATGGACGTGATAGACAGACGTGATGGACGGGCTGAATTCGGTCCGGGCGTCTGGATGGCTTCCCCTTTCGGTGCTTCCCTCCGAAGGGGGCAGGGGTCCAGGCAGGTGGGCGGTGTTCGGCCATCCATTGGTCTGTCTGTTTTGTCTTGTCTGTCTGGTGTGTGCACGGGACGCGTGTGCGAGACAGACGCTGCTGCGTGGCGTGTGCTCGATTCCTTCGTGTGTGCCTGCATTCATTCATCCAAATGAGTGGACCGATTTGAATGAATGAAATGGATGAATGTTGGAGTTGGCGTTGAAGTAACCGAAAGCGACCAGAGCGTGAATCAATGTGTGGTGTGGTTGTGTGTATGGTGCAGAGGATATACAGCTGCACCGACGCACCGTGGGTGAATCCAACAGCGTGGTTTATTCATCATCCACACCATACGACAGCCAGCAGAGCGTCATCCACCCATCATGAAAGAGTTTCGCCCAGTGTCCACCTTCGTGTGTGTAATGTAGATGCCATGTGAAAATTGCGTGTTCCGTCTCGTAGCTCGTCACTGCCCCGATAGACAGACAGACAGACATTTTCCTTGCCTCTTCATTGGCACAGACCTCCCCATCCACCCCCCTCCCCCGGCCCATCGCGACTAGAGACAGAAAAAGGCAGGTACCAAAGACTTGACGGTCGTCAGGTGTGTGGCGATGCAATGCAGCTCGGCCAGTGAGTGGGTGGATGGATGAATGTGTCACATATACACATATACACATACATATGTACACCACAGTTAAGTCATTCGTTGCGTAAAGTGTGGTCCCTCTCTCCCCCTCTCCCCGACCAGACCAACGCCCCCCCAGAAAAAAAAAAAGGAAAGAAAAAACCCCGTGTTCGCTTCCCTCCACCGCATCAAATCCATCCTCATCTATCGCCCGACGGCACACCGACGGATGAATCCATAGAGATCTCTGTCAAGTCGCCCTCTAAGCTGCTGGCGGCGTCGGTGTGCGCCACGCCCATGTCACCGGCCGGCCGGGCGGGGATGCCGTCGACCTCTGCTGCCCGGGGAATCTCAGCGATGGCCTGCTTGCCGCTGAGGGAGTCGATCTTGGCCTTGCTGGCAGCAGTGGAGTCGGATGGGCGGCCCTTCAGGTAGGGCGACTCGTCGATGGACACGCCGCTGGTCTCCAACACAAACAGAAAGACGAACACACACGCGAAGAGACTGCAGCCTGCACACACAGAGGGGTGAGAGCAAATGTGGGTCCATCCGTTCCTGTGTGTGGGTCGGTGTATATGTGTGGTGATGTACATGAGAAGATGGAGAAGATGAGTGTGTTGTTGAGCACTTTGGTCAGGAAGACCACCGCAATACACGCCACCCAGTTGAGTGCCGATGCACTCCCCACAGCAGGACCCTTGATCTCCACCGGGTATATCTCGTTGAGGTAAACCCACAGCACCGGCCCGTACGCAATGGCAAAGAACACCACATAGCCGAAAACCGAGGCCACCGGCAGCCATATCATGACGCCGGCACTAACGGCGCCCGACCCGATCAGCAGCAGCACGGCGGTCGGGGCGGTGGCGACGAACTGGCCAATGGTGCCAATCACCAGGAGTTTCCTCCTCCCCGCCCAGTCGATGGCTTTGACAGTCACCAGGGTGAGGATGACGTTCATGACGCCCATGCAGGTCGACAGCAGGGTGGCCCGGCCGCCCGTGAAGCCCGCCTGCTCGAAGATGTGATTAGACGCTGCGATGAAGGCGTTGATGCCGCTCAGCTGCTGAAAGGCAGACAGCACCCAACCCACCAGCAGGGCGTATCGGTACCAGGGGTCGCGGAAGGCATCGAAGAGCCCCACTGTCTTCTTCTCGGATGCTCTGCGCTCCTCCACATTGCGTTGAATGTCGTCCAGCTTCGCCTGGGCCGTCTGTGCCTCGGCGTCTGCCTCGCCCGACGTGCAGTACATTTTCTCGAGGATGGGCAGGGCCTGGTCGGCCTTTCCCTCCTCAACCAGGAAGTGGGGCGTCTCGAAGGGGAAAACGAAGAGGAATATGGTGAGAGAGATGATGGAAGGCACGGCGCTGAAGCCGAGCATGAAGCGCCACCAGAGGGCCTCTCGCGTCGGGATGGTGTCAGGCGATGGCCAGTCCTGGGGATCGTTGCGCTGGACGTTGCCGAGGGCGATGGCCACCATGATGCCCACTGTGATCAGCAGCTGATTCATCACGCTGACACACACATACACACACAAACAGAGAAGAGTCAGGCATTGACCACCTCCCTCCCTCCCTCTCTCTCTCCCTCTCCTCCCTCACCCGTAAGCGCCCCTCTTGTCGGCGGGGGTGACCTCAGATATGTACATGGGCACAGCGACGGTCGCCACGCCCACACCGACACCCACAATGATGCGGGACAAGAGCAGCGACCAGAAGTCCAGTGAGGCGGCCGACAGCAGAGACCCCACAATGAAGAGGAGGTGGGCGATCATCAGCGTCCGCCTCCGCCCACGGTGCATCCACCTGCCGCCCAGCAGGCACCCCACAGCTGCGGAAACAAGGAAAGCAGGTTGGAACCAGTGTGTGTGTGTGTGTGCGCTTTCTGACCTGCGCCAACGAAGACCCCCGCGGTGATGGCACCGTCACGATTGCGGGCGGCATCGCACTCTGAACGAGAAGCACGAACACAGCTGTCCATACATCACTTCTCACCAGCCAACGAACTCACCAGCTGTGAGTTCGTCTTGGCCGCACCATTTCATCAGCAGGACGATCTGACCAACACAACACACGGGAAGCACAAATGCGCCACGTGGTGAGGGCTCTCGCCCCTTCCCTCCCGCCGATCACCTACCATCTTGAGGCAGGTGTTGAGGACAGCCAGGTTGTAGCCGAACTATACACATAGGCACAAGCACACGGTGAATTGTCCAACATCCCACGCATCGGGCGGCATAGAGGCACACAGACAGACGGAGAGCCGCCATGCCGCCCCTCTCCCCCTTCTCTCACCTGGAAGGACCCGAGTGTGGCGTTGGTCACAACCTGCAGCAGCCACCACTTGGAGGGGCCCGAGACCTCGCCCTTCATGGCCGTCATCATGATTTCCTCTTCTCGCGGGAAAGTCTCACCTTTTTCTCAGGCCGTTAAACCGTTGAGATGGGAAGGGAGTTTTTTCCCTGTGTGGCATGATGACATCAACGGCGCTTCCCAGATGTGGAAACGGCGCTGGGGGACCAGTGGGCGACCACCGAAAACTCACTTTAATTGTTTTGTCTTGATCGAATCATCGGCTCTCCTTGGGCTCTCCCTCACAGCACAGCACGAGGCATCCGCTGGGCAGCCAGCGCCTCATCGACCTGGCGCGGCCCTCCCATGGCGTGGCCCTCCCATCCTGCCTGCCTGCCTGTCTGTCTGTCTGTCTATTTGACTGTCGGTCTCTGTCTGCACACGCATGTCTCCCCAGGTAAAATTCGACCATTTCCGGCCACAACCGCTCACTTCACAACTATCGGCAGGTAGTGTCATACAGCTGTGCACAGGTCACCTTACTGCAAACCTTACTCGCTTCAACAACAGCAAGCACATTGCCGCAGGCCAAACAAACAGGTCTGTACACAGGGTAAGTTGACCAAACTTCATTCGTCTGTCGGTCGGTTGCAAGCCGGCACAGACCGTCCTTTATTGTCAGGGACACCAACGACACAGCAGCTAGGCCCGCCATCCACCCTCCCCTTGGCCATCATGATTCTATCTGAAGTCCTTCACCTCGACCGAATCGCTCGTCACACTCACCATACGGCTGTCAATCTCTGACAACACCCAACACATACACACAGACACCAGCAACATATCATCGGGCGATTCATTGGCTGCCGTGTTGAGCTAAAGGCATACCGCGATACAGCGGCGCGAGTCGGTCTTCGTGGTCGTGGAAGCCGCCCTTGGGGCAGGTCCGCAGATAGGCCAGGCCGTAGTCAGTGAGCATGAAGTAACCAACCCGCCCAGCACCGCCGGCCATCTGTGGCGCCACAACTATGGCGATTGACTCGGGAAGCAGCGCCTGCAGCCAGCGAGACCGGCAGCCAGCACAGCATGTGTGAGTGTGTGTGTCATGAGGGAGGGTGTGTGTGTGTGTGCGTGTGTGCGTGTGTGCCGTGTTGCAGTTGGTGACATACCTGGTATGCAAAGTGGTTGTGAAGGTCGATGCTTGACATGAAGCACGTCTGAGAGGGAAAGACATCAGCACCGTCGATGAAAATGTCGACAATAACAATCTCACTCACCTGTGTCGGGTGGGTGTGTATCCACCCCACGGTCATCAGGCCCCGCTCCATTTGCCACGCGAACAGCTCCTCCTCGTTCAGGGCCTCTGACACGACACGACCACAAACGATACATTACCAGCACACACGCGGGCGGAGATACGATTGCACAGGCGTGGTATGTGTGCATTAGGCCTGCCTCACCGCAGGTGTTAGCGGTGCCCTTCTGACGAGGGAACAGCAGATGACTTATTCGCACAACTGTAGAAAGCCATACACACACGCGCGCAGCGGGACCAATGACCCATCCCGACCGACAGACAGACTCACACACCTCCCTGAATGCCTCCCGCTTGCTGACCTTTTGGTGATGTCGTGCCATCCACATGGCCTGATAGGATGGCACATGTCTCGATCTCCTGGCTCGTGTTGGGGTAGGCAATCGCCACAAAGGTCTCAATCAGGTCACTCGGCATGACAACAGCCAAGTTCTGCTCGCCACCCACCGCCCAGTCACACCCAGCAGCAGGCGCCGTCGCCACCGGCTGCTCATCGGCCCAAGGAGGGGCCGTGGGCATCACCTGACTGCACACAACATATACAGACAGGCAAGTGCATGGGGGAGAGAGAGATATCTCACCTCATCATGACGGAGGGCTGCGATTGGTTGGCCGCTGCTGCGGTTGTCGGCTGGTTGGGCTGACCGGCGCCGAGCTGCGACAGGTGGCGCAGCTTGGAACTCGCGAAAGGGCTGCTGGCCGCCGTAGAACTGATGGATGGATGGATGAGACAAAAGAAGGCAGACAAACCCACATCAATCCATGGTGCATCAAATCACGGCGTTCCACTCTGTTCGCTCACTCATGCGATGTAGGCGACTTCGCCGACGTTGCCAGCGCCACATGGTCGTGCATATGGCGCCCCCGCAGTCTATTCGGCTCCAGATCGTCCCCATCGAACGGCCCGGCACCCGCAACACCGAATGTCCTTCTCTCATCCGAAGCGCGGCCAGCACGGGGAGCCGCTCCATTGGACAGAGTTGGCGGTGAGGGCGCGTCCTGGACGACGGACGGTGCGACGTCGGGGGTTTCTGTCAGCCGAAGTCCGATCTTCTCCTTCAGAGCCTGCACACACAACACGTTCGACGGACAGACACTCTCAAGCGAGCAGGTCGTGTGTGTTGTTTTACCTCCAACTCGGTCAGGTACGCCTTGACCTTCTGCTCCTTGGCGAAGTTCTGACGATGAAACGATGAACAACACACATACACACACCCAGGCCAGGGAGGGAAAGAAATAGGCGGGGAGAGATGCAGTCATGCTGTGTGTGTCGCATCGATCGCATGTCGGCCAGCAGGGCCTTGCCGCTGGTTAGCTTACGTCTTTTCTGTACTGTGGCGTGTTGTAGGCGTTGTGCTTTTTGATGACAGAAGTGAAGAAGCGGCAATACTTGTACATGTCCAAGAACAAAGAATCCATCTCCTCAGCCCGGTTGCTCCGCGTGTCCTGAACACACACACGCGCCACCACCTCGTAGAAACGGCCGTCCTTCTGCAGAGTGTGTATGAGTACTTACATTGATTTTGAGCTCCAGTCGGTCCATTGTCTGGTGAAGCCGCGACAGGAGAATGGTGTTGTTGGGACTGAAGGACAAGCAGACACGACGGACGAACAAACAAGCAAACAAACAAACAAGCGGGGGAGTCGTCACAGTATGACGCGTTATATGCACTTGTGTGTGCCTTGTGTGCCATCATGTGCCACACTGACGTGAATGTGTCGGCATCGACGCTGTCTTTCAGTTTTCGAATGTACTCATCCAACGCTGGACGACCACTGCCCATAATCACGACGCAATCACGAGATGAAAAACCTTCAGTTTTCGCTTCTCCACGGGAATGGTGTGGTGGGAAGCCCTTTTTCCCCGCAAGAAGTGAGTTGGGGTGCTTCCCCGCTCAGAAGGGAGAGAGAAGTGCGAGCTCAGATGTATCGCTGGGAGGCAGATCAACCCATGACATCGCCGAGCTCGTCTTCAGCGCCGCCACTAGCAGCCTCGTCGGCAGACGTCAGGGCGAACAAGATCCTGGTGAGTAGAGAGAGAGAGAGGCCGAGAAAGTGCCCTTTCCTCATCTGTGTGCCGAACGTGTAGGACATCGTTCGGCGTGTCCGGAGTGAGCAGGCGCAGCTGTTTGAGGCCCACATGAAGCTGGAGCTGGGGCTGCCCGACCTGCAGCAACAATACGAAGAGCAGACATCAGGTAGGTAGGGGAGAGACGAGGGCAACGCCGCCAGACAGCCATTCTCCCGCACTTCCTCCGTGCAGATCAGGAGCGGCGTTTCTGTTCAGATGCGGATTCGTCGTTCGAGGTCAAAGGGGCCGCCATGAAGGCACTCATACAAAAGGTATGTCAGACAGACAGACAGACAAGGAGAGCGGCGGGCCCTCCACATGACCGATCTCCTCGTGTGTGTCTTGGCGTGGTGTTGTCCATCCATCCATCCATCCGTCCATCCGTCCTCTCAGATGCAGGAGATAAATCAGCTCCTGTAAGCTAAGCTGCACGTCCCGTCCGCCTGATGCACTGCACGTTCAAACACTCACTGCCTTCACATTAATGCCTTTCTGTCCTTTTCCTCTGTCTCCCTCTCTGTCAGGGGCACGCTTCCCTCTCTGCAGCAGCCGCCTTCCCTCTCACACGAGCAGGCGGCCAAGCCGGGCGACACACACGAGGCGGCGGCCAGCAAGGGCCCAGCGGTGCCTCCAGCGCAGCAGCTGCGCTGAGGCCCAATGAGGGATGGCAGTGAGGGAGGGAGAGGGGGACGAGCGTGTTGATATTGAGGAGAGGCGGGATTCTCTGTGTGCGCATATTGGGTGGGAATGGGATGGTTGACTTGAGTTAACACATTGCACTTACTTAGCAAACATATGATGGCATGGACGAAAAGTTCCGTCGCCTTGTTTGTTACTAAATCTGTCAGTCAGTCAGGGCACTTCGATCACTTGACAGACAGACACGGCCGACCACAATAAAAGCGGCAGATAGATCGACTTGTCACACACCACACCACACAGCACACCACGGCAGGCAGGCAGACACGGCACGGCACGAAAGGAAATACAAACCAACGAGAGGGAGGGAGGAAGAGAGAGGGAGAGGGAGAGGGAGGGAGGAAGCATCAGGCAACCGTGGGAGGCTTTGCGGCCTTTCTGTCCATTTCCTTATCATCCCATACCCACACTCATGGACACACACCCACCCAGCTACTCTCCGGCAGACAGACAGACAGCTGCACACACATCCATCCATCCATCTCCACAGCCACCCGCACCCGCACACGCGCCATTGCCCTGGGCTGCCTGTCAATATTGTTGCATTACGGGAAGAGCAGACGAGAGAGAGGCAGAGAGAGACCTCAGTTGTAAGTGTGCAGGCCAGGCGTGTAAGTGAGTGAACATAGTCAATAAAAAAGTAAGAAGCCGTGGAAGTACGTGTGGATGGATGGATGGATGTGTGTGTATGTGCATCGCTGGGCGACCTGCCTGCCTGCCTGCCTGCTTGCCTGCCTGCTTCAACAGAGAGAGAGAGAGAGAGAGAATGAGTGGGGGCGTTGGGTGCGATGGAGCGATCGATCGGTGAACCCGGCGGGCAGGCGGGCAGGTGGCTATACACACACACACACACACATTCACACACGCACGGTGTGGATGAGGGCACGCCGTCAGTCACAGATAAGATACGAGCAAACAAAGAACATGGTGGCGTGGCGGATGAATGGATGAGGGTGTGGGTGAGGGTGTGGATGTGTGTCTGCATCACATCACACGCAGGCGTGACAAACACGCCTACCTACCTACGGGTGTGTACCAGCCAACCAAGGACACGACCTAGGAGTGTATGTGTGTGTGTATGTTAGTTCCCCGTCCGTCCGTCCGGCCCTCTGGGACCCATTGCATCCACTCACTCACGTCCGACCCTTCACGCAGGCAGACCAGGCAGGCAGCTATGCCCACCCTACCCTACCCCACCCTCCCCCCCTGTGCTGTCCTGTGCGTCAGTCAAAAAGTGCCCCTCCCCTTTTCTTCCCCACAGTCCGTCCATCCATCCCTCCCTTACTCACTCAACTCACTCGGCCGGCCAGTCGAAGCCATCGTGCAAGACAGACCGCAAGGCAAGCCGACACACTGACTGATGGATACTGCTGCCAGGCCATATGCTATGTGCGTGTGTGAAGCGACGTCGCACCTACCGTACGCCACGCCACCCAGAGAGAGGGCTAGGTAGCCAGCTAAGCTGCCCAAAAACAGCACAGCAGCTCGGCTCGCTTGACCAATTGAATTAACAGCAATGAAGCTACAAACGACAATTAAGAAACAAAAGAACCATCCACACACACACCCATCCATCCCTTCAGACAGACAGACAGACAGGGCCACCTGTCGTGCCAATCAAGACAGTCAGTCACTCTGATACGGCCCTGTCCACCCGGGTGGCGGGTGGCTTCAGGTACGTCACACTCACACCCACTCCCCCCCTCTGCTGCTGCTGCTGCTGCTGCCCACCAGACAAGATTGTCAGTGCATCCCTATCCCCCACAGCACCATCCCTGTTAACCCCACCCTGCCCGAGTGCTTGCAGAGCCCCACCAAGGCGCTGTCGCACCTCAGCGGCAGTCAGCCCCGCAACGGCGGGATCGCGAGCCGGCGACCGAGGCGGAGACGGCGGTGAGTGCATGTCACGCCGTGGCGTGACGATGGCTTCTGTCGAGGGCGGCGAGAGAGCGGAGGTGACAGAGGGCGGGGAGAGGGCGGGGTCGTCTCCTTGGGCCTCTTCGAGAGGGGGTGGGGGGCAGGACGGTCCGATGCGGGTGATCGCACCCATGCTGCGTCCAGGGGCCCCCGACTTGAGCATCTTCTCCCTCAGAGTGGCGACCGTGACTGTCGCCGGCGGCCGACTGGCTTGCCGATGGCTCGTGGGGCCTTTGTGCTGCATCATGGGATTGCTGCTGCGGTCACTCCCGGGGGTGTTCTTCCGCTGCAGCATGGCGGCCTCGGTCATGGCGATGGATGCAGGCGGCCGGGGGGGCAGTCTGTGTTTGTTGGCCTGGCGCATCATGAGGGCGATGTTGTGGGGAATGGACACGGGCGACTGTGCGGGAGCGAGCGGGAGGGGCGGGACGGCTGGGTAAGGGTGGGCTGACGTGTCGTTGGAGGGCGGGGGAGGGGGCAGCCGCGTGGCCAGCCCGGCCAGCATCCTCGACGCGCTCACAGAGTTGAGCGACCTGGACCTCTCGAGCTTCTCCTGCCTAACGAGGCCGGCTGGGATCGACATAGGCATGTTCTGGTGAGAGGTCGCGGGGTGCTGGCTCTGCCTTGACTGCCCGCTGCCGCCCAGCCCTCCGAACAAGTTCATGTCGAATCGCTCGAAGAAGGATGCCTCTCCCCTGCTGGTTGAGGCGGGGGTGAGCGAGGCCACCCGCGGGATGCGCGAGGCGGATGAGCCGAGTGCCTCGCCCTTGCTGTTGGTGCGAGGGGTGAGGGGGTTGTGCTGCGCGAGTTGGCCGCCGGTGTTGGCGGCCCGGAGGGAGAAGGGGAGGGAGCCGACGTTGGAGACGTACGAGTCCTGCGCCGCGACGGGCTGGTTGTAGTAGGGCGACTCGCTGTCGTTGACAATGTACGAGTTGACGGGCCGGTCCACCACCATGACCTCCTTGTGGTACTTGAACACAAACCGACTGCAGTGGTGGACATCACAGAGAGAGAGAGAGAGAGAGAGGGAGAGAGATCTTTCTCTTTGCGTGTGTGTGTGTGCATGTGGGCGTGGGTGCCGTACGTCTGTAGGTGCGCCTGTGCCTCGACGAACTTCTTGAGTGCCTCTGATGCGACAATTTTGCCGGGCACGCCGTTGCTCTCCATCATGTTGCCGGTGAGGACATCGATGCCCCAGATGTCGTAGCGGATGCGCTGCGTGCCGATCAGTCCCCCGACGCAGTTCCCGAAATGCATGCCTATTCTCATGTTGAGATGGGGGATCTGCTCACACACACACACACACACATACATCTTGATGAGTGAAGGGCGGGTTGTGTGAGTACCTTGAGTCTCTCCCGCACTTGGTGTATCTTGTTGAGCATCGAGTGGGCCATCTTGAACATCTTCTCGGCCCCCTCGACGCCCTTGCTCTTCCGCACACTCACACTCTTGGAAATCTCCACCACCACTTTGCCCACGCCCTTCTTGCCACCACCACCACCACCACTATTCGGCAGCTGCTCACTCTGACCGTCCTTGCCGCCTGACTGCGTGGTGCCGGTGGCCTGGGTGTGCTGTGACGCGGGCGACTGGCTGCCGCTCGCACGCGGGGCGATAGCATTGTTGCTGCCAGCTCCTTTGTCCTGGCAGCTGCACTCGTCGTTGATTGCTATTGCTTTGGTGGGTGCGTGTGGGGGCGACTCGGTGTCCGGGGAGGTCGAGTGCACCGACCCGTGTGTGACGGCGACGTAGGCGTCGCCGATGGTGCAGACTTTGTAGACGCCGAGGTCGGTGGTCTCCTGGTCGAAGATGGAGAACAGCTCGGTGAGGAGCTCGACGACCTGCCGGGGCGGCACCCCCTTGGCCCAGGACGTGAAGCCTACTATGTCGGCAAACAGGAAGGTCACCTCCTTGTGCTCGTACGCCAGCTGGATCGCCTCGCCCTTTATCACGCCACTCAACACCTGCAGTGCACATCACAGCCACATACACGCGGGAATGGATGGATGGATGGCCCCCGTCTCGTGTGTGTGAAGAGTGGTGGTAGGGAGAGAGGAGGAGATTTGTGTGTAGTGTACCTGTTGCGGCAGCACTCCGTCGAGGATTTCGTTGGCCCTCCGCTCGTTGCGCTCGGACTTCTGCTTGTTGACCCAGTTCAGCCGGTCGTAATACTCCTGCACACGCACACACACATGGGGAAAAGAGCGAGCCATCAGCCATGCACACATACACACACACGATCGCCCATCGCTCTCTCCCCCTGCCGCAGTGAGCAAACGTGCCTTGTAGTATGACGTGATGGCGTTGATGACCATGAACATGGGAATCATGAGGAACGCCTCCCTGGCCGCCTGCCCGTTCGGCCCGCTCCGCCAGCGCGTCCACAGCGTCAGGTACGTCAGCACAGCCGCACACACAATGAAGTCCAGCAGCAGGATCCAGCAATACAGCAAACCCGAGGCGTGGTGCAAGATCGTTATCCTGCAGACAGATGCGCACGCATCGATCAACTCAGCGGTGGGGGCATACCATACGTGCCATGGGCCAGGTCAATGTGTGTGTGTGTGTGTGTGTGTACCAGAAAAAGACGTCGATGGTGTTGACGAACTGGTAGTAGGCGAAGGTGGGCTCGGTGTTTTCGAACATCCATGAGGGCTGCGAGAGGCTCGAGATGGTCCCCGCCAGCACCGCCACCGCCAGAGCGATGATCAGCGGCCGGCTGTTCTTGACGTTCTTCCGCATGCAGGTCCGCTTGATGTGGAACAGCGTCAGGAGGGCAATGAAGAGCACCACAAAGAGGCCCCGGATCGTCCACACGATGCTGATGTCCAGCTTTCTCTCGCCGAGGGCGGTGTCGCCCGTGCCGTAGGCGCCGGGCATGAAGACCATCTCGATGGTCTGGATCACATAGGCCACCTGCAACCACACAGAGAGAGAGGGAAATGGCGAGTGAGTGCTGTGTGTCGGGTGGGGGTGATCAGGGCTGTTGGTTGGTATGCGATGCTCACGAGCCAGAAGAAGAGGGCCTGTTCGATGCGGTTGACGTTGTTGCCCTCGTCGAAGAAGTAATCGCGGTACATCTCCTCCTCACGCTTCTCCCGGAAGAG